TTTTACTGACAAGTGTACACCCCGATGCTGAATGATAATTACCAAACTTTGAAACATATAATCATTAACATAGAGATTTTTTTCTGGGTTACATCTTCTTTTTATTCTCGAGTACAACGTTTCAGGGCTTGTTCTGACCCCATCATCAGGTAAAACTCATTTTACAACCATTTTACCTGATGATGGGGCCAGAACAAGCCCTGAAACGTTGTACTCGAGAATAAAAAGAAGATGTAACCCAGAAAAATCTCTATGTTCATCAAATATCATCTTCTAAAATGCCAATCAAGCATATAATCATTAATCAGGGAGAATAGAAGACGTTGTAGATTATCCCTGATATAATATATTATTCTGGTTGACACGGTTGAATATGTACTGGTATGTGATTTCGGGAAGATTTAAGAACACAAAATACCAAATTTGTCCCTCTGTTTGAAATCATTGAACGGCAATGATTTGAACATGCCATTTAACAGTAAAGAGGAACAGGTACGTGAGTGAAGGAAGAAAGTGAGGAGTTACTTCCCCTCTTCCGATGATGACGTAACGGATATTCGGCCTATTCCGGTTAATTGGATAAATTTATATGATAATTATTTTTCATTTTCCGGGCAGTAATAAGATTCCATGCTAATGTAATGAGAAAAACAGCACAATACACTTTATGTTAGGGTATAAAATAAAAAATGCACAAATGTAAGACAACAATATGGCGGGGATTTGTTGCAGTCCCTAGCTAGAAGGAATAAAGAAACGGTTGTCATTCGATCATGATCGAATGATTTGTAGATTTATCCGTGTAACATGCTTTTACAAGAATATTTCTGTTAGTCTATCAAGGTATCACCATGTGTGATGTCTGCTCAGACGTGCTGGTGCTTCTTGAAAACCGTAAGTGAAAACAGCTTCGTCACAATATTTTCAACATGCGCGCCTTTCCTAGGGGTCAAAATCTGAATAATAATCGAAACGTGCCCCCAGTGTCAACAAATTTATAATAGATATTTACTTCGCGATTTTCTTGTTTGAGTGAAAACTCATATAAAATTGTGAGTTTGCATTGTTGCGATGAGACCAATATTCAAGCCAACCAATTTTGGAAATTTTTGCCATCAATGTCTGGAACAGGGAAATAATCTACTAGCAGAATATGACTGTCCTAAAATTGAATTAATCTGCTGCATGTTCTGTACGATATATTCCGTTTTAAAAGAAACGACTAATGTTATGCCTCCCTTGTTTTTCTTTACTAATATATGTGATGAGCTCACGATATGTACTCGGATAGTTATGAGACATAGGAACGACAGACAAACGGTATAAATGTCATTTCACAAACCATCATTAACAGTACGCACACAATCCTGTTTCGATACCATCACAATCACTACATTATCTTTGTCCATCCATTAAAAATGATTTTTTATATATTGAGGAAAACCATTTTAAGATGTCAATACTCTATCATGTTTGTGTCTGAGAATCATGGACATGTATAACTGCTTGTAGTGTTACTAAAACATAAGTGATGCTACAAAAACATAAATGTCTGAAATCATTGGCAGGCATCCACTAATATATAGTTAGTCGCAACAATCTGCTGTCTGGCTTGATCAAGTCTTTGTGTCACATTGTCAGTGTAAACAAAGAAGAGAGGTAGTTTGATGAATTATTGCTTGACAAGACTACATCTTGACATTGTTAGCATCTCAACTGATGAATTAGGTGTGTAATTGGCCTGAATCTCTATATTATCATGTTTTGTATTGCTGTATTTTGTCATCAGAGGAAATCTCCAAGAATCACCAAATCACTTCACTTCTCTTCACTGTCAGTTCTTCTCTGTGGGGTAGCCCAGTGGTTAAAGTGTTTGCTCATGACGCTGAAGACCCGGGTTCAATTGCCGTCATGGGTACAATGTGTGAACCCAATTTCTGGTGTTTTTTGTGTTTTTTTAGATCTTTTTTTATTCCATTTCAAGTTGCATGTACAGATAGAAGAGTGACATGTGTTGGCATTTACATCAAGTTAGTACAGAATTGCATACACATATGAGGGTGTACATATATAGATAAATAGAAGTTAGTTTGAAAACATTATTACTGTAGTGAACACAATAGTTTGAGGAAGTCAAACTGTATCTGTGCTAAATTAAAATGTCAGAGTACCATATCTAAGTGTTGCATTTCCTAGTAAAACAACTAAATTTATTATTTTTCTTTGCAATAAACCTTTCGAAATAGCATATGTCTTGAAGTAAGTAAGTAACATTTCTGGTGTTCCCCGCCTTATATTGCTGGAATATTGCTGAGTGCAGCGTAAAACTTTACTCACCTCTAACTACAAGTGGTATGTTTGTACCATGTTTCCCTTGCTTGTTTGGAAAATATGCCAATAACTATTGATAGTGATAACTGTTAAAGAAGGACCTTTGGTACTATTTTGTGCACACAGGGACACAGGTGGACAGTTGTATATTGTGCTACAATTTTCTGTGATCAGAATCACCCCTTGATTGATTGATACTATTATTGTGGGATGTAATTCTGATTGACCTGATTATGTGTGAAGGTTTGTCAGCACCATACACATGCTCGTGGGTTTCATAGAAGTGGTTATGTCTGAGACCTGCACTTCATGCCATCCTCCAACATCAAGCTGACACACCATGATATTACTATTAATTTTGTTTCCCACTAGCCCATTCTTCCTGCATACCAGACTAGTTATTGAAGTATTCCAATCTATCACTATCTCTGTAAGGATGTCTGTCTGACTTTGAATTATTGTAATCATTATTATTTTTTCAATGATCTTTAATTTAAACAAACATTTAAGAGGGTCAAACATGTATTCAGTCAAAGTATGTTCACATTGGGGCCTGTAGAGACTGATACTGTGGACATTTGTCAGAGGGTCAGACACTATTGGGAACACTGTTATTGAGAATTCCATGAAAACTATCTCTTAAGGTTTCTCTTTAGTATACAGTGCTTTATTTATGTGTTTGTGTTGCATTTACCTATCATAATATAAGCTCCACTGTGGCCATGGGTATACAGTGCTATAGTGGTTTTACAGCATATTATAAGCTTGTCATAGCCTGAAGACCCTGTGCTCCCTGAAGACCCTGTTTCACATGGGTACAGTGTGGGAAGCCCATTTCTGGTGTCCCCTGCCGTGATATTACTGGAATATTGCTAAAAGCGGTGTAAAACCATACTCACTCACTCATAATGTAAGCTCCAGAAAGTGCTGTTGATGAAAAGTAATCTCTTTGTCCATTTCAGCCCTATCTTAACCTGCATTTAGTCATAATTGGTTTTAATTACATGTGTGTTATTGACAATGGGGCCAAACAAAAAAAATGTTGTGGTTCCGATTACACCTCTTTAAAATTTAGTGTAGGTAGGTAGGAATTCTTTTTTTTACATTTTTTTTTAGAAGTAAAGTACAAACTAATAACACATTTATCAATGTGTAATTGTTTATTCAATCAAGCTTGCGGCCATCATGTTGACTTTCTTTATCAGAAGGACCAATGTCCGTTGGTGCCAGGAAAAAACAATGGTATCTGAAAGCTTATTTTATTCATACCTCTAAAACAACTAGTGTCGGCACCAGAATTCAAGGGTCGGTTGGGTAATCGGAAACACAACATTTGTTTTTAGGCCTGGATTGAAGAAGACTGGATGGCTGTGGACAATAGAGTGTCATGCTAATTACTGGAATATGTTAATGAGGTGCATATCACAAGCAGAAGTATGTGATTTTCTTGAGGTTAACACAGATCATGCTTGTGTGTTAAATGATGTTAGATATGTTTGTTGATTGCTGTAGATGATGAGCGTGTGCATCGTGGAGAAGGCCTTCGCCTCAACAAGAGAGAGATCAATGCTGTACTGCACTATGTATGCACATGGCCACAGAGGTATGCATTTTGAACATTTTTGTTGAATTCAGTCATTCAGGGTTGGACATATCCAGCTAGTCAAAGAATGTATTGAGTAGTGGTAATGTAGAACAATTAGATTTTTGGATTTTGACTTGTCTCAGACCAGCAGTCTTGTGACCTTGTCTGTCTGGGTGCCATTGTCCAAAGCAATCTTAGCACTAAGGTGGCCGTAACTCCCATACCTTAACATGGACTTGAGGTAGTCTCAGCGTTAATGTTGTTTTATACAATAACATCCTGGGTCTCGCTTGTACAAAAGCGATCTTAGCTTAAGGTGACCGTAACTCCCATACTTTAACATAGACTTATGGTAGCCTTAGCTTAAGGTTGTTTTGTACAATAACATCCTGGGCCTCTCTTCACAAAGCACTAAGGTGATCGTAAGTCACTAAGGTAACCTTGGTGCAGTGTTAAAGAATGGGAGTTAAGGTTAACCTTAGTAAAGGTTGCTTTGTGAAAGGAGCCCCTGGTCTGAGTCCCAGCTGGAAGCTGGTGGTCCCCAGGGTGTTGAGGAATAATGTACTGAAACTGAGGATTGAAGACAACCCAGGAATAGAAATGCAATTGTTTCGAAAGGGTGCCAATGGTCACCAGACAGATAATTTAGGTGTGCCTTTGCTAAAGTCAGTGTACCCATATATACTTTTGACCGTTGTTTAAATAAATCATTAAACGTCATGTAAAACTGTAAACTTGAGAGCTTGATTTTCTGAAAACTTCATGACTGCAAGAATACTTATGCTTCATTTGTCCTGGACGTATAAGCTAACCCACAAACTATGTTACCATCCCAAACAGGATTTCCTGTTATGTGTTTGTGGCATTCAAATAGGCCACACCCATGTTTAGCTGTGAAATGAGAGTCTTGAAAGCCACCAAGAAATAATTTGATCGGGTGCCAAAACAGGTTTTGAATCATTTGAGTTTGTCAAATTTATTGCATTTTTCATTAAATGAATCATGGTGAGTATTTTTTCTATTATTTTAGTCGTGTCGCCAGGGCACATTGAAATTATTTCATCAGTCCCAATTTGATATTTACGTGCCACTGTACATAAATCTAGCACTATTTTGATCCCTGCAGTCTGTCTCAGCAGGGGTGGTTCACTATCCTGTCCCAGCATGGTTGGTTCACTATCCTGTCCCAGCATGGATGGTTCACTATCCTGTCCCAGCATGGGTGGTTCACTATCCTGTCCCAGCATGGGTGGTTCACTATCCTGCACCAGCATGGATGGTTCACTATCCTGTCCCAGCATGGGTTCACTATCCTGCATCAGCATGGATGGTTCACTATCCTGCATCAGCATGGATGGTTCACTATCCTGTCCCAGCATGGATGGTTCACTATCCTGTCCCAGCATGGGAGGTTCACTATCCTGTGACAGCATGGATGCTTTACTATCCTGTCCCAGCATGGGTGGGTCACTATCCTGCATCAGCATGGATGGTTCACTATCCTGTCCCAGCATGGATGGTTTACTATCCTGTCCCAGCATGGGTGGGTCACTATCCTGCATCAGCATGGATGGTTCACTATCCTGTCCCAGCATGTGTTGTTCACTATCCTGTCCCAGCATGTGTTGTTCACTCACCTGTCCCAGCATGGGTGGTTCACACACCTGTCCCAGCATTGGTGGTTCACTATCCTGCAGCAGCATTGGTGGTTCACAAAACCTATGACAAAATGGGTGGTTCACTATCATGCAGCAGCATGGGTAGTTAATAAAGTAAACCATCCATTAGCTGTCTGGCTAATTTACTTACAAACTGTCAAGATATAGCTGTTGCTCAAAACAATATCACTCACTCTAATGCTTCAAGTTCTTGAAAAAATTACACATGACAAAAGAGTATTCTTCATGTAATGCCTTGCCTTATAACCCATTTAGTATGTTTTTAGTTGATAGCTTGAATGATGTTCACATGGTTTAGAGTTTGAAATTGAGCATGAAAATCATGATATATAGAGAATCTCATCCAAGTGTCTACTGATATCAATTATATCAACACGAAGTTGAAAAAGTTACAAATATCCGAGGTTGCCGAGGTAGATACGAGGGTGAGATTTTATTTATCATCAAAAATCACTCTTCATTAGTTTTCAATGAAACATGTACATCTTTGAACACTGTACTACCATTAGACTTGCAGCGATGTCATAGCATTGTGATGTCATCAAGTTCATGACATCATAGCATTGTACAAAAATCTACTGTGAAAATGATATCTCCTAGAATATGTGTGGATCAATGATTGCATTGTTATATGTGACTCATTTCATGTATTTGTGATTGTTTTACATATTTATTGTTATCATTTTCCCTGTTCATTGCAACTGTGAATATTCATTGTCAGACAATGCATGTGCTGCTACAAGGATTTCAAGAACTTTGAGCGACTGAACAACATCGTACAGGTTATTCTGGTTGTGGCGATACGCTTCATCCAGACACTACCTATTGACTACGAGAAGGAGACAAACAGAGAGATACTGCAGGTGAAGAAGGATGCAGAGGAGAAGGAAGGAGCAAGTAAAGATGGAGACAAGAATGAAGAGAAGAATGAAAAGGATGATCGAGAAATGGCTGAGGAGAAGGAAGAAGAAGAGGAATATTGGAGTATGGAGGAGAAGGAGAGACTGTTGCAGTTTGTTACCAAGGTCTTCCTGATGAACTTCCCCTCCTACATGGCTTACAAACATATTGTGCATTCATCACTTGAGGTGAGATATACTGTACAATACTGGGGGCACTATCTTGCTGATACAGCATTTTTGAAAGTATTTCTGGTATATTCATCGCTTCAAGTGGGCTCTTTCATTAAATGATGTTTTGGCCTACAATCTAAACTGCCTCATTCTTTTCAATCATATGTCTACTGAAGTCTACAAATATATGTTCTGTCACCAGAGTTTTGGGTAATGGCTAACTGTGTTAATGGCATAAGCTGAATCTGTTGATGAAGATGACAAAATTAGCAGTTGTCTCAGATTCCGTGAAACCATAGACATCAGTACGTTACCACCAGATGCTTGTTATACAAGTTGGCTAGAGTAATGATCTGGTGACAAAGCTGATGTCATCTACCCACTCGAGCATTAGGGTCATCATTCAGGCTATCCTATCAATCACTTGATGGCCTGGGATAGACTTGATGTTCTACAGATTGCTTTGATATGGCTGGAATATTGCTGATTGTGGCATAAAATGTCACCCATTCATTATTTTGTTTAACCACTCACTTGGTCATTTGACAACCTGACAATTAAACAACATTGACAAGAGCCCACATTCATTATGTTTAATCTCTCGGATACTGTGTATTATTATCACAATGTGACAATTAAAACTACAATTACCAGGGCCTATCCAAATGATGGAAGTTTATTGTTAACTTTTTACTCTTACGGCAAAGACATGTTGTAATTTCTGGATACCCTTACCTTAACTTTGACCGATAAGAGGCAATGGCCAGCTTATTGTCTGGAATATTATTTGTGAAGGAGGTGACATGAAGGATTATTTATGATGACTTCCCCCCAAGTACTTAAGAAATGTTTGTTTTTAACACCTTAACATAAAGAATGTACCGATTATGGTACAAATCTTTAAAAAAAATAATTCAGTTATGTGAAATAATAGTTTTTGAACATTGCTAAAGCGGTTTCCTTAATTTGCTTTGAGAACTGGTAGCGTTCCATCCACATGTAGTTATCAGTTAGTAGTGTAGCTGAAACTTGAGTGAAAGGATAGGTAGTTGAAGGAAAGCAGTTCGACAATAGCAGTAGTGATGTAACTAGACAGGGGCATCATGGGATGGTATCACAAGGTGGACAGCAGTGTACACATTCTAAAATGGACACTTTTAAATGTAGATTTTTTACTATGCATTTCGCTCAAGGATGAACCGAAATATTTATGCTATTGTTATGATTTTTATCTGTCTTAAGACTGTGAAAATGCATCATAACTTGAACTTGTAATAAAAAAAGATAATTTTTTGTGCTCAAGTCCATTACCAGACACATACTGACAGAGAATAGGATTCCAACCTGTGTGAAGATATTGTTGTGTTTGATTATCCATAAATAACATGAACAACTTTATGTGATTTTTTGGTCCATTTTGCCAAATATTACAAAAGATTACATATGTGTGTTCACAGTGTTACGGGTTTATATATTTTTTTGTATTGCTTACCTTGATACCTTACCATTACATCCCTGTTTCTCTAGTGTTTTGTACAAGGTATCTAGTTGAATTATGCAATAGTGTTGGTCATTCATATGCTTATTGTGTCATGTCTGTGCGTCTGTCTTTTACAGGAATTATCACAGCAGGAAACCAGTGCACTCAACAACTACTGTGAAATTTCTGTAAGGACCCATCAAGGATTATAATAATTTTTTTTCTACAATATGTCAGAGTTTGCGTATATGGCCTGCATACATACATATGGAACTCCTTTTGAACAGCCTAAATAATTTGCCTCTCCACTCAATATTACATTGGCTCTTAGACCTCTTTTTCATGGTAGGATTATCACAGATACCTCTGAACCAGGCTTGAGCAGAAAGAAACAATGAAACATATTTGCTGAATATGCATATGAATTAATTTCTTACTTATGATGTGTGAAGCCCATTTCTTGTGTCCCTCCGCCATGATATTGCTGGAATATTGCTAAAAGCGGAGTAAAACCTAACTTGCTCTTATTTAAGACATGACCATAATTTAAGATTAAATTCACATTCATTCAGACTTTTTAGGGGTGTAGCTATGATTTCAAATGAAGTGCCTTGGCTGGCCAATTGGAAAGAATGGGGTTTTTTTGCCAAAATTAGGAGTTTTTAAAGAAGTTCTTTTCCTAAATCATGAGTTATTTTAACATTGAATTGTAACATTTGAAATTGAATTGGGAATTTCTATTAACATTTGCTGCAGGCTGCAAATTGGCCAATGTGGTCTTGATAACGCTCTGCTGTTAACAAATATAATCATACACAGAAAGTGATAAATTGATACCAGCAAATAAAAGCTGACACAAAGACAGGTTTCATTTCCATTTATGTTGCACAGGTGTTGTGATACATCAAATCAAGCTCTTGAAACAAAATTGTAGGTGTTTCAGTCTCATAGACTGACTTCTGGTTCTTGTCTAAAGCAAAGTCAAGAACAAAATTATGAAGCTTGTCTTGTTATCAAATGAAACCCATATGTTCACTTTAAGATCAACTGGATATTTTTTTAAGGGGGAACCTGATTTTGGAAAACTATATTTGAGAAAAATCTATGATCATTCTGTACTAAAAAAATTCCCTGCTTCTTTACCAAATTGCTGTCGGTGCCTGACGCAAACACTGATATATTCACATTAAATGTGTTTACATATGGACGTGTATTTTTATATAGTCCTGTAGCTATCGTATGAATGCCCATAGAACATGGTTTGTCCAGTATCAAGGTGATCAACCTGCTGGTCAGCTGCATTGTTAGAGATATCTTATCACAGGACCTTTTCATAGCCAACAGACCACTCATTTTCACTCATTTCCAATAGCCAATGTACTTCTGCTACTGTTATGTTGGTTAGGAATCATTAGACAAGAATTCGGAGACTTGTCTTCTACTTGATGACAGATGAACTAAAACTTGACTAGCTTGGTTATCCTTAGTTCTCTAGCTTACAGTGGAGCCCTATAAGCCTGTTCCCTATCTACTCTGTATACTTCAGTGTATGTCTGTTTATTTCAGGATCCAGAGGTGCCACTGTATCTGCTGAGGAACGTGTGTTTCTTCTGTGACAGTAACGGCATCACGTCACTACGACAGTGCTTTGAGAAAGCAACACCGGATACGCTTCCTTTCACCTTCGCCCATCTCCTGATCACTCTTATAGCTAATGTGAGTTTACAGTAGATGCTTGTCTTGGTTTCGTTTAGCAAAGTAAGAACAGATCCCTTGAATGCCTTCTTTTTGTAAGAGTTGACTGAAATGAAGGTCACATGGTCACAATTATCTTTTTCCCTCTGAAGGGTAACTGGTAAGGGCAAAAGATATTTTCGTTGTTCCTAAGTGATGTTCAACTAACAATTCAGTTTGTTAATTGTCAAAGACAAAGGAGTATAATTTTTTTTTTAAAGTTTGAAGTTTTATTTCTTGCTATGTTAAGAAACTAAGATGATGATCACTATATTGCAACATGAGGCTATTGTGGACAGGACATCAGTTGGTGACAGGTGCAGGAGTTGTTGACCTCCTCAAACTTGACTTTATTGATTCCTGGTGCAATGTGTTATCATCAGTGGTCTGACTTGGGTCTGCTCAATTTTAATGAAAACTTGAAGGTCACAAATGTCCTGGCTCATTTTACATTTTCAACATCTTGCCTGAAACCACACGACCTTGATAAGTGTTCACAGATTCTGACTTGATTAGATTTTCAAGATGGCTGCCATAGAAGTAGTTTTGAATTTGCCATTTTTCATTTGCCATTTGCCATTTCTCTACCACTTTTTTTATTCTTGGTTAATCATTGATATGTAATATATATGTATTAGGTTAATAGCATAATAATATGATATATAATATGTTTTTGAATTTTGATCCAGCTGGGGCCTTTGTCCTTGAAAATCCCCTATTGTCCCGATTGTTTGTGTTTTTTGTTCACTACCTAATGATATTGATGTGGTGGTGTTTGAGAACTAAGTTCTGTATGTTTTCTTTTGTAGTTGAGGTTATGGATGAACATCCCCACCGTGCTGCAGTGTATAATACCACTTAGAACTTCTGTGATAAGGTAGGCGTCCATTAGCTGCTGCTGCTATCACTTGACCTATATTTACAGACCGCTGTCATATAGTTAGAATATTGCACAGTATAAAACTACAATCAAATATGGCATAGAGAATTTGGTATATTTTCATTTGTAAGTGTTAATGATTATAAGCGTCATTGACAGTAGTATCTACATTATGAGCAGAGTACTGATCAAGGTTTGAGTTAAGCTTTTATAAAAATGACCCTTTTACTTTTATCCCCATTTTCAAACTTTCTTGTTCATTACTTCTATTTCAGGTACATGTGCAACTTATCCGACAAAGACTTACGAGTAGCTGGAAATCGTAGCATGACGGACCTCATGTGGGCTGCAGTGAAGGAGCCACTGGACACACACTTCACCTTCGACAAGGAAGGTCTTGACCTTGCTTTTAAGTACTTCACGTGTTCAACACTGACAATCAGACTAGCCGGCATTGCGCAGATCAATGTAAGTAGCACATAACATGTTAGCGTGATGATAGTCTGCATAGGTATTTAGAGGTTGGATAATGACAAGCAGTATTGTGGATAACTAGTTCTTTGTTATGCATTCAGTGTCCCCTGCCTTGATATTGCTGGAATATTGCTAAAAGCGGCGTAAAACCATACTCATTCACTCACTGTTAGCCATACACCTTTTGGAGTTACTCATTGCTGCTTCGTCATTCACCTGTGTTACGGTTAATAAATTTGCTGTGACAAAAGGTTTAAGAGTCCCCTTTGAACCAGCAAAATAGAACACAGACAAGTCTAAAATATTCAATAATATATTGAGCAAACAATGAGCAAGCTACAATGAATGCCAATACAGATATCTAGTACAATGCAATTGAAACACAAATCTAAAATATTGGGTCACAAATCTAAAATATTAACTCACCAGTCTTGACATTCATGGTGAGAACAGATATACTGATTGAAGGTTGTTTACAATGACAGTTGTAGAATAGTCAAGCACGGTCTTGAAATGTTGACAGACAGACTTGACGACGGTAGGCAGATGTATCAGCTCGATGACAGCAGACAGATGTGTATAACTCCAGTCATGGAATAAGTTCTACGCACAACGCAACAACCAGCCTTTATATAGCTCTTACATGATTCTCAAACATTCTAGCAAAGCTAGGCAGCTTCATTATGCACTCAGAATGTTCACGAAATCGGTGGAGCAAATGGCATGATGAAAGCCGTAAATAAACAAGATTGCCAAGGGAGGCAACTCTAAAGTGCTATCAATAAGGCGTGCCGCTAAAAATACTATTCCCATTGAACATATATGATATGCGAGATGTGAGCCACAACCCACACTCAAAACTTTAAACATTGTGACCCATAATAATATCACTTAATCAATGTTATTACAAATTACAAAAAACACACACTGAATGAGTTTAGTTTTTCGCCGCTTTTAGCAATATTCCAGCAACATCATGGTGGGGAACACCAGAAATGGGCTTCACACATTGTACCCATGTGGGGAATTGAACCCAGATCTTTAGTGTGATGGGCAAACGCTTTAACCATTAGGCTACCCCACCCTCCCGCTCAGGGTTAGAATTTGTCTTCAGCAACCCATATTTCTTGTAAGGACTGCCTACCAGGATTTTCTGTGATCATTGAGATTCTGAAGCAGGAAATGTTCCAACTGCTGGCAATAGGCAACGGATGGCCACCATCAGATTGATTGTCATTGTGCCTTGATATTTTTGTGATAAAGCCCTGATACTGCTGTTTTATGGCTTATGTTACTGATGTAAAGACAATGTCTATTATCATTCTGTCATATTCTCACCAATTCAAAATGCCATGTTTAGTTTTGTATGAATGCTTTGTCACTTTGGAAACATTATTTGAAATACATTTTATGAGAATGTTGTAAGAAAAAAATATATTCAAGAGTCCTGTTATAAAGACATATCATGTACATTTGAAGACTGATGCAGTTAATCATGGAACTATGTGACATTGTATATTAATATAATTGTGTCATTACATACAACTAAAGGTTGAACACTGATCTGAGAATGTGGTGAAAAGTGCCTGTTGTAAGTGTCCATGAAGCTTTCTGTTTCGTTCCAGAACCAGATAAACTTGTACAATGAGAGCTGCAACAATGAAACACTTGTAGATGCGGACAGGTGAGAGTTTACTGGATTATTGTCAAAGAAAATGTCTTTCATAATGATTTCAGAAGTTGAGAATTAAGTGTGATGTTTGAACAAAGAAATTGGGCACAGAGAATCATAGAGACCTTAGGACAGCACAGTTGCACTTGCCCAAGTCTTTGTCTAATGTTAAACGGGTTTGGCTAAATTTCAGGCATTTTCCATATCAATATATTGGCTTGGAAATATTTTATATTCAACTTTTGTTGATCTAATCATGTGAAACAATAAGTTACGAACAGTCACTTCTCTCTTTAGCCGTCTGTTGTGTTTAACACAAAGGCTGAGCTGTCTGTTGTATTCAGTGCAAGGGCCGGGTTGTCCATTGTATTCAGTGCAAGGGCCGAGTTGTCCATTGTATTCAGTGCATAGGCCAAGCTGCCCATTGTATTCAGTGCATAGGCTGAGCTGTCCGTTGTATTTAGTGCATAGGCCGAGCTGTATGTTGCATTCAGTGCAAGGGCCGAGCTGTCTGTTGTATTCAGTGCAAGGGCCGAGTTGTCCATTGTATTTAGTGCATAGGCCGAGCTGTCCTTTGTATTCAGTGAAAGGGCCGAGCTGTCCATTGTATTCAGTGCATAGGGTGAGTTGTCCATTGTATTCAGTGCATAGGCCGAGCTGTCCATTGTATTCAGTGCATAGGCTGAGCTGTCCGTTGTATTCAGTGCATAGGCTGAGCTGTCCGTTGTATTCAGTGCAAGGGCCGAGCTGTCCGTTGTATTCAGTGCAAGGGCCGAGTTGTCCATTGTATTCAGTGCATAGGCCGAGCTATCCGTTGTATTCAGTGCATAGGCTGAGCTGTCCATTGTATTCAGTGCATAGGCTGAGCTGTCCGTTGTATTCAGTGCATAGGCTGAGCTCTCCATTGTGTTGCAAGGGCCGAGCTTTTGTTAGGTTCAATGCAAAGGCTGAGCTGTTCGTTGCATTCACCGCAAAGGCCGAGCTGTAAATTTGTATGATGTAAGGTGTTTTGTTTTACAAGTGCATATTATTCACTTTGTTATTTTATTTCAGAGTTGGTAATGAGGTGGCACAGTGGCTGATTGACAACAAGATAATAGAGCATATATTTGGTCCGAATCTTCATGTGGAAGTAAGCATGAGAAACAGGGGCAATAAATGTTGCATATAAATTCTGCAGAAATTCCTGGAAAAACAGTCAACTGCATCATTAACACTTCTCTTAAATTATTGAAAGCAAGCATTACAAGAAAGTCATTATATGTCAGTCTCTGAAATGGTGGTTGGTTGGTAACTCATTGCCACGCTGGCGTTTAAATTGTCATGAGTGAGTATGGTTTTACAATGCTTTTAGCAATATTCCAGCAATATCACGGCGGGGGACACCAGAAATGGGCTTCACTCATTGTACGCATGTGGGGAATCGAACCCAGGTCTGCAGCGTGACAAGCGGACACGTTAACCACTAGGCTACCCCACCGCCCCTCAAATTGTCATGAGAGGAATATGGGTTCTATATGTATATGTGCTTATATGGAGAGCAGTTACAGGAAGATATCATTTAGATTTGGTTGCCTATGAATAAGATGTAAAGCTTGTTTATTTTCTTGCCGTAAAGCTAACGGTAATTGACTGCTGTTGACTGTTGTTTGTTGTTTATTGCAGATAATCAAGCAGAGTCAGATAATCCTAAACTTCCTGGCGATGGAGTGGAGAATAACCAATGAGCACATAGACTGTGTGTGGGCTGCTAGTCAGGTTAGTTTACGTAGACTGTGTGTGGGCTGCTAGTCAGGTTAGTTTACGTAGACTGTGTGTGGGCTGCTAGTCAGGTTAGTTTACGTAGACTGTGTGTGGGCTGCTAGTCAGGTTAGTTTACGTAGACTGTGTGTGGGCTGCTAGTCAGGTTAGTTTACGTAGACTGTGTGTGGGCTGCTAGTCAGGTTAGTTTTTACGTAGACTGTGTGTGGGCTGCTAGTCAGGTTAGTTTACGTAGACTAGACTGTGTGTGGGCTGCTAGTCAGGTTAGTTTACGTAGACTGTGTGTGGGCTGCTAGTAGTCAGGTCAGGTTAGACTGTTACTGCTAGTCAGGTTAGACTGACTGTGTGGGCTGCTAGTCAGGTTAGTTTACGTAGACTGTGTGTGGGCTGCTAGTCAGGTTAGTTTACATAGACTGTGTGTGGGCTGCTAGTCAGGTTAGTTTACATAGACTGTGTGTGGGCTGCTAGTCAGGTTAGTTTACGTAGACTGTGTGTGGGCTGCTAGTTTACAGGTCAGTTTACATAGAGTGAGGTCAGTGACTGTGTGTGGGCTGCTAGTCAGGTCAGTTTACATAGACTGTGTGTGGGCTGCTAGTCAGGTCTATGTACGTAGACTGTGTGTGGGCTGCTAGTCAGGTCTATGTACGTAGACTCTGTGTGGGCTGGTAGTCAGGTTAGTTTACGTAGACTGTGTGTGGACTGCTAGTGAGGTTAGTGTATGTAGACTGTGTGTGGGCTGCTAGTCAGGTTTATGTACGTAGACTGTGTGGGCTGCTTGTCAGGTTAGTTTACATAGACTCTGTGTGGGCTGCTAGTCAGGTTTATGTACGTAGACTGTGTGTGGGCTGCTTGTCAGGGACAGGAAAACAACCCAATGCACTGGCAACTGCTTCTGTTCATGTATTAAGTACTTGTGTACCTGTTGCAGCTAAAGCATTGCAGTAAACAAGTGTATGACATCCTCATCTCTTTGATCAAAAACCTGGATCTGCCTCCTGTACAACATCTGCTGAAACTGGTCTCTGCTCTAGAACCGACGGTGCTCACAGAATCTGTAAGTTGATGATTTATTTTTGGTTATTGTCAGAAGGTTATGATAGCTGTAAATGACAATGTTTAGGGATATTTTCTGCATGCCAAATATGTAAAACTAGATGTCCCTCTGTTAACATCCTAGCTCTGGTGAATTTCAACTTTCACCAGATATTTGAATGTGGGGCATTTCAACTTTCACCAGATATTTGAATGTGGGGCATTTCAACTTTCACCAGATATTTGAATGTGGGGCTTTTCAAATTTCACCAAATATTTGAATGTGGGGCATTTCAAATTTCACCGGATATTTAAATCTGGGGCATTTAAACTTTCAAAAGATTTTGTAATCTGGGGAAATTTAAGTTCATAATTCATGCCTTATTTCAATCACATCTCAAGTTGTACAACCTATTTGTATTAGTATGACTATCAACCACAACCTTCTGTGCTGCAGACCCTTTACCTGGCATCTGCATTAATCAAGTACATCTGGAACCAGTGTGCGACGGCACAACACCACGGTGCAATGGTACAGCAACATCTACAACCACACCTACAGGCGTCCTACACAGCCATCAGGCAGGACGAGGAGGAGATGGAGATCGGTGAGAATATAACACACGTTTACATGACCCTGTGATGATCCGGGGCTGAATAGGTACCTCATATTTTCCCGATTTTGTGTCTTACTAACACGATAAACTGTGCATCAAGATGTGGGATTTATTTGTATGTTTGAAAGTTTTTAATATTGTTTTTCGCAGATGTTTTAGAAATCATTGTTATGAATTTTAACAGAAGTCATTCACTCGTTGAATAGCGACTGCAGCAGTGCATACTTTTGTCATACTGTATCATGGTAACCCCTGTGAAAATCATCATAAAATTGGTCTTCAACAATCCAGACTAATCAGATTGGGTGGCTTCCAACTAGGTTGATACATGTCATTGTATCCCAAATGTTTAGTTCATGTCATGTAGCTGGACTATTGAAAGCTGTGTTAACAAACAAAGTTTAATGGAAGTAAACTTCAGGGTCATTGTGTCCTGATTGCTTAGATGCTCATGATGTCAATCACTGAATGTAGTCGATTTTGGGGACCTTCACGTAAATTTCAAGGTCGAGGCGACAGATTGAAGATTTTAGCATGTTAACCTGCATTTTAAGCTTGTCAGCGAGATATCTCAAGAACCGTTCACTGGATTTTCTTCATATTTGACACCAAGCTTCATCTAAGGAAGGCGCAGGGCCCAGGCAATTTTGGTGACCTTCATATAAGTTTCAAGGTCATGGCGACACTTTGAAGATTTCCGCATTTTAAGCTTGTCAGAAAGATATCTCAAGAACCGTTCACTGGATTTTCTTCATAGACTTTCAAGACTTCTCTTGAATGTTTTTATAAGCAATTTCTTTATTACTATTTTTTTGCATATTTCATACACCATGACATTCAGGTCAAGGTCAAAGTGAGTCTTAAAAGTATTTGTGTTTGAACAGCTACAGAGCAAGATATCAAGAGAGGTTGACTGGTCATGTTTTTGTTGTCATTTAATTTCATCTTAAACTATGACCTTCACTTTCATTACTTTTTAAGTTTGATTTGATAATTTGCAGTGGGGGATTATGTTACCTTAGTGACAACTGCTTGTTTGCAGACTGCCACTAAATAGCTGGAATATTGCTGAGTGCGGTATTCCACAACAAACAAACAAACAAACAGATCACTGGATTATTTACAGACCAAGTGTAGCCAACAGTGAGTGAGTGAGCTTAGTTTTACTCTGCAGTTAGCAACATTCCAGCTCTATGGCGATGGTCTGTAAATAATCAAGTTTGGACCAGACAGTCCAGTGATCATGGTATTATGCAATTGGGATATGATGACATGTGTCAACCAAGTCAGCGAGATCTTGGGTTACTGAAGATCAATTCTAACCTGAATCTTCATGGGTTTGCAGCCAACAGACAGACAAAATATGACAGTGGTAAAGTGTACTCACACTCTCAGTTTGTTGTGTCATATTCTTTCTTACATACCTGCCTCCGGTCCTCCTCAACAGGTGATAACATTGGGTGACATTGAACAGCTAGCAACATGAATGTAACGGCTCCATTTCTGATGTTTTAAGCTATAATATGATTTCAAAATTGGAGTAGTTGTATGAAACCTGAATGAGATGTCATGTTGGTTCCACTGTAGGAAATTTTTGTTTGTGAGGTGAAAAATGTTGTGTTGAGTGCTGCTTTGTGTTGCAGCTGGTCTGGGGAAGCCAAGCAAACACAACATCAGCAGCAGTGAGAGCATCCAGGAGTCCGAAGAGGGGGAGCACCTGCATAGGGTCAGTAGTTGCTAAGAGCTTAATTATTTGTTGCTTTTGTTTTTAATTCAGTTAGTAACAAATAATTGGGGAAAAAAAGAATTGTAGAGTTAAAGTGCTTTTTCAGTTAGCAATCTTTCATGAAACTTCTTCCCAAGAATGGTGTACATTACACAAGTTGATGAAGAGGACATGTTAGGTTGGCTTAGTGAAAATTAAAGATGGTTACCAACACTGGAGCCTTACGCATTAATGTTTTATCTAGATTTGCAAAGATGGAAAGATATAATTAATGTTGACACCTTTAGTTGTTTCTTGAAAGTTGCTTCAACAAAATACAATGTGAAATGCTGTGTTGATTGGCAGGTGAAGCGAGGGCACCTGGGTGCCGAGGAGGGTCTGAGGGGAGCTGTCAGGGACCACTGCTGTCAGCACCACCATCACCACAAGGTTGTAGATGAGTCCGAGAGCAGTCTCGGGGTAGGATCGGACTTCAGCAATGAGAGCGAAGAAAGTGGCATTGAGGGAGAGGCTCAGACTGAGCAGCTTCGGAAGATGAAGATTAGACAGAAAAAGTTGGCTCGTCACCCAGGGGAGGCGAGTGAAAGTGATGTGGAATGTACTGAGTCCAGTGATGATACTGGAGAAGTGAAGGAAGGTGGGAAGGGATTCATTGGGCATCGGAAAGTCAAGGGCATTAAGGGGATGAAGAAACTGGGCAGAAAGATGGAGAAGGTGGAAGAATCGGAAGGCGAGAGTTCCGAAGTTGATGAATGTTGTGGTCATAGTCATGATGAGGAGGAGTCTGACTACTTAAACTCTGATGAAGAGTTGTTGAAGCAGGCAAAGCTTGTGCGTTTGAAACAGCTTTGTCCTCGTGAGAGTGAGGATAGCTCGGACTTCGATGATATTGAGGAGGAGACCAAAGTGTTCCGTAAGATGAAACTGTTTCAGGCTCAACAGGAAATTCAGAAACAGAAGAAGCAGCTTGTTGAACAGCGCCAACACCAGTTGTTGCAGCAGGCGGCACACATGATGTTGCGGCGACAGGGGAAGCTGTGTCACCATGACCACGTCAACATCCAGAAGGTCAGCGAAGTCATGCAAGATGTCATGCATGAGGCTCATGAAGATGCTGGAAAGGAGCATAATGCCAGCGGAGATGGTCCAGACAAGGTCAAATTGGCAGAAATTGCAGCACAGGTAACCACACTGAATGATTGGAATTTGTTGCTATTTCAAAAGTCATTACTGGATAAATCAGTTTATTGAACCTGCCACTGCTTAATATCTACATGGTTTTCTTTTCCTTTTTGGCTGCATTTATAAGAATTGTTTGTCAATGTTTTCGCTTTGCAATTTTTGGAGCTTATTCTTCACTGAAAATATTGATTTGTGACTGATTGATGAATGGGTTTATGTGTACATTCATTGATTTAACAAAGGATAATTACATTTATTATTGAATCAAAATTAGTCACATACAATTAATCTCTGAAGTCTGGTCTATATGATATTCACTGTTTATCACAGATATGTTTTGACTTTGGCAACACATAGACCAAGAAATCTGTCTCCACTGTAGTTACTGTTTTTTTCAGGAAGGGGTGTCGTCTGGTGCAGCTGATTCACATCAGCAGCCTGCGATGTCTGGGAAGGGTCAGGACACAGACGTGTTTGACTGTACCTCCATCATACAGAAGATGAGAGCTGCACAGAGACAGAGGGCATTACAGGGGTAAGTTCATCAGTGTACAGATATGTGACTGTACCTCCATCATACAGAAGATGAGAGCTGCACAGAGACAGAGGGCATTACAGGGGTAAGTTCATCAGTGAACAGATATTTATGCTCAAGTTCAATCTCATTTAAATCCGATCTTACTTCATGTTACTGCTAAACCATAGTCTGAGGTAGTGCTGGAGTGATTGATCTATCTCGCTTGGTTCAGCATTTATCGATGGGAGAGTAATCAATATTCATAAAAGATGAAATTAAACTTTAGGAAGTATGTTTCTTATTGTTATGTTTGACCGCCTCCGTGGTGTAGTGGTTAGAGCGTCCGCCCGAGAGCGGAAGGTTGCAGGTTTGATCCCCGACCGCGTCATACCAAAAGACGTTAAAATATGGTACTTGTTGGTCCCTGACTGGCGCTCGGCATTAATGGGTACAACAAGGACTGGTCTGCTCGGAGTCAGTATAATGTGTCTGAGTGGGGTATTCATGCTTCACTGCGGCATGGTATCTCAGTGGGCTAGCACTATAAAACCAGCTTAAGTCTGGGCTAGTACAAGCAGCGCACATACATACACACTCATGCATGTTGTCATATGAGCGAAATATTCTCAAGCACGACGTTAAACCCAATTTCACCTCACCTCATATATTGTTATGTTTATTAGATAAAGATATAATCAACTGATGCAGTTTCCTGACTTGTAAAACTGCATTCAACGATCCTTGTCCATGTCTCAACAAACTTTGTCTTGGAGCATAACTCTTAAAGTGTTATGATTAGATTCACCAACTTCACACACATGTTAATCATTACCCATTGATGTGCCTTTGTCAGCTATTTTTAAAAAAATTTCAGAATTTTGTTATATTAGCTGTTACAACATCCATAAACAACATCCTTGTGTGCATGTCTCAACAGGAACTATCCAAGATTGTCTTGTAGTTGTATTAATTGCCTGTTTCCTTTGCACAGTGTTATGATTGTGTCCTGTTACTGCCAACTTGAGTTGTGTGCTGGGGTTTATGATTATATTGATTGTTGATCAATTACTGACCTCAACACTGATTATTGATCTTTTACACCCGGTCACAGGTGGGCTCGATCCCAACACCTCAACCTCAGGGTCATGTCAGTCTCATTGATATCAGATCTTAGTTCTAGCTACTGCTAAACAATGATCCATGGAAATCACATTAAGCATCACATCAGAATGACCTTCGTGTAACCTTTGACCGACTAATAATGTGACTAACAAGAAGTCAACATTAGCCAGTCAGAAAGCAGCTTTCTCGAGCTTTACAGCTGTTCTTTCAAACTGGCAACTCCCATAAGCAGATGACTCTTTAAGTGATATTGATTCAAAATTTTAAGACTTCACAATAGTTTACTGGAATGTCTAATTAATGTTTGATAGTTTATGGCAGTACATACTATTGAAAGTATCTTCAATTTCAAATGTTTATCCCATTGAAGCAAAAATAGATATTAGTGCTGGTATTGGCATACAAACTGCGATACGATACATCCCGATACTAAAATTTTAGTCACGATGATATATTGTCAAAGTATTGTGCACTGAAGCTGCGATACGATACGAATCCCGATACAAGGGTGGCGATATGATATGTATCACGATACTAAAATCTTGAATTCTAACACCAACTATAAGACACCTTAAGATCAAGACAAAACCACTTTTCGTCAAATTCTGCCAGCGTTTTTCAATGTTCAATCGGAAATGAGATAATTAAGTTCATACACAGACTTTGTGAATGTTAATAAAATGTGAGCGCTATGTTTGACACAATTCCTGACGCAAGAATTTCCGAGAAACTTATAAAGGGAAAATAAGTATGCATAGATTTTAACAAACCGAAACATGAGTCTCATTAACCTATTCAGACAATGACCTACTTTTCAGCCGATCTGAATTTTCTCGTGTGAAAGTGAAAAGAGACACCATAACTATGGTTACACTGAATTCCAATTCCTTGTTTCATAATAAAATGGTATTTACAAGTTAATTTTAAGTTTAAACTTTAATAACATCGTATTTCTATATTTTATGGCGAGGTGTCGGCAGCATCACCTTAACTAAGATGTCACAGACTGCCCCTGTTTGATGAGGTCGTAAAATGATTCACAATTCATCTGGCTCACTGGTTATACCTGTTATGTGTTCTTTGCGCTTATTCAGTGTAGTTTTGTGACGCACAATGTGATTGATATAATATCAAGTCCGTACCAGACTGCCAAACTTTTCTAGCGGCAGAGCCTCGTTTTGAGATTTCCATGATTTCCAGATTTCCGTTTGTCAGAGCACGCTGTACGACGGAGCACGCTGTAAGGCGTGTTTGCAAGGATTAGAAGGAGCGTAGTGTTGCAATATACAAGTGCTTAGATGTATCAAATAATACTGATTAATATTTATGTATCCAGTTGGATGAATTGGTCTCAAAATTCTGGACTGGTTATTGTACTAAGTTGCGCAATAGGACGGAACCCAGTCAGCAGGAAACGACACTGTTGTGTAATCAATGTTTCGACTTGCACCAATTCTTTCTTGACAGATATCGCGATTCGGCGATATTCAAAGTAAAACATTGATGTATCATGGCCCATTTAAAGTATCATATCGGGACATACGACAATGTAAAATTATGTATCGATTCACTGTATCGGTGGCCCATGGATTGATGCGCATAACTCAAAAGCCATTCAATATTTTCCAACAGAACTTGGCTGATATATGAGACAGTTCTTGAAGTGGTGCCTTTGCTATTAACAGATTTTTGGCATTTTTACTTTTCCCGGTTTCCATGAAAGGATTCGGACTTGGTCTCAAAAGGGAGAGGTGAGCTTCGTTTCTGGAGCACAGCTCGAAAACCTTTTGATATCTTGGAGCAAAACTTGGCAGATATATGAGGCAGATCCCAAAGTGGAGCCTTTTGCTGTTTACAGACTTTTGGCATTTATATTTTCATGATTTCCATGGAAATGATATGGACTTAGTCTAAATAATATCAAGTTGGATTTTAGGTAACTGTCAGATGTTCTTTCAAATATGTGGGGCCTGGGGGGATTTGTCATCTTCTGATGATTCTTGTTGCTTTCTTCCAGGGAGTTCACTGAGGACATCCTGAGTCCGGATGATGGCAGTTGCCATAGTTCCCACATGAGTGCCAAGTCTGACAAGAACATGGCCGATTTTGATGGGGAGGAGGGTCTTAGTGAGGAGGAACTGGCCCAGATCAATGCCCACGCCCACTTCAACGCTAGTCAGATGCAGCACCTTACCAACATGGCATCCATGTACCACCTTCCTCCATGTGAGTCCTATATATTAGTCTGGTAGGATGGGTACAGCATGTACCAGAGATGTTTATTTTTGTCAGTAAAGGAGCAATCCTTATTTCAAAATGTAGTATGTCAATATCAGATTATGATTTATCAATTTCTTATTTATGCGGCAGAAGTTTTCTTCTAAAAGCAGAGTTCTTGGAAAATAGATAAAGAATATAATGAAATGATGGGGAGAAAACACTATTTTCTGCTTCACACTCTCTCTATTAAATCCCTTGAAATAATTTTCAAGTCATCAGATCGAATAACTTTCTAAAATGGTTATAATCTTTGAAAAAAAAAGATATACAAATAAATGTGGGGAGAAATTTTTTTTATCAACAGGGATAGGAGAAGACACGGTGTCCATATTTGGGAAGCTTGTTTTACTTTTAGGGGATAACAAGAAGGTGTTGATTCCCTGATCTGAGAGATCTAGATGGTTCATAAGCCTGAAAGAAGATCCGAGAGTTAGACTGGAGCCGTGTTAGTCATGCAGTGGTATCACGAGACATGATAGTTTGAAGGAGATACTTTGTTTCACGGGCAGCCAATGGCGGTCCTTTAGTGTTGGTGTGATGTGCTTTTTCTGTGTGAGTGATCTGGGGAGGTAATCACGAGCAGCTAAATTCTGTATGCATTGGAGTTGGTCTGTGACACACAGTGACTAGTGTTGGTAAATGTCAATTGAAACTATCAATATGAGTAAGAGGCATGCCATCAAACATTTTTGGAGGAATATCAGCTTCATCCACAGCCATGAAAGGCGAAATCTTGTCATGAATGTTCTTGGATCTTTTTGTAGAAATAATCCGAAAATGTCTGTGCTATTACTTCATTGTCATCAGATGTCAGAAGTGTCGATTCAAAGTGTTTACTCAAGATACTGAACAAAACTTTGAACAGCAACTTTGGACTTGACTCGTTGGCTTCAATCTTAGAATTGAGATGTTGATTTGTCTGATGACCGTTGTTGAGTGATTTTTTGGCTGAAATATACATTTGGCAATGAATTTCCAGGAAAGATTGTTTTCCATCTAACGTTCTGCTTTCCTCTTGTCTTTTTTCAAAGCTTGTCGAACTTCAGGTGTGAAGTCCCAAGCAGATGTTTTAGTCACTGATATGACTCTGTCCTTAACTGGTGCATGTTTGTCTATATAGCAGCTCAGATAGAACTCTGTTGTATAGCAGAACAAGACACTCGGCATCAGATGATGGCTCAAGTATAAGGTCTGAGTTTAGCAAATTGTCTTTAACAGTATCCATATCCAGGAAGCGCATGTTCCTACAGCGAGTAATCTTAACATTTGGACTGGGTATTGAGAGGTCCAAGCTCACAAAGATATGGAAATGGTCAGAGGCTGTAGATCCTATACAGGTACACAACTGACAAGCGGCGTCTGAAGCATGTGTAACTATCCAGTCAGAGTGTGTCCCACCTCTGTGGCACCTCTGACACAAGTTGTACACAGTTGTGGACTTCAAGGAGATTAATTATTAGTTTAGTGTCATGGTTATCCTTGTTGTCAAAATGGAAATTGAAATTAAGCCTGCAATGATAATAGCTACTTTGTCAACTTATCCAATCTGTGCCGAGGCGGTGCCGAGCAGTAATTGCTGCCAATGGTGGCCATACAAAGAACTGACTTTGGCGCCATATTGAGGACTCAAAGCAAACAGAAACACAACAGTAAAGGCTTTGTCTGTAGGCGTTTGAATTTTCACCTTTTACCATTGGGATTACATGAAATAATAGCTCTTAAACTAATGCAAGAAATTAGATCTAAAAATGGCTAGTCGCGTTTTTTTTTTTGAAGAGTATATTTCTGGATTACGCAGTTTCATGTAAAGACCTCTTCTACAGTTGATAAACAGGGTAAAAGTATATTCATTTTTCATATTGTACTTGTTCTATACAAAATATATGCCTTGTGAAGAAATGGGTGTTTTTATTCATCATTATAACTTTTAGAGCTAAAAGTGACTCTTTAATGTAAATTTAAGACTAAAATCAAACTAAAAGATCTGGTGACCTTCCTCGGAATCCCATAAGCTCCTTGACTATATGTACCACCTTTGTCCATGTAAGTCCCTATCTGTACCCTTAACTCCATGCGGAGTCTCTTGTCTGTATCCCCTTTCCATGTGAGTCCTTTATGTACCACCTTCCTCCATGTGTCCTTTACCTGTGCCCACCATCCTCACCACTGTGAGTCCCTTTATTTGTACCACCTTCCTCCATGTGAGTCCTTTATCTGTACCACCTTCCTCCATGTGAGTCCTTTATCTGTACCACCTTCCTCCATGTGAGTCCTTTATCTGTACCACCTTCCTCCATGTGAGTCCCCTATCTGTACCACCTTCCTCCATGTGAGTCCCCTATCTGTACCACCTTCCTCCATGTGAGTCCCCTATCTGTACCACCTTCCTCCATGTGAGTCCTTTATCTGTACCACCTTCCTCCATGTGAGTCCCCTATCTGTACCACCTTCCTTGTTTGAGTCCTTTATCTGTACCACCTTCCTCCATGTGAGTCCTTTATTTGTACCACCTTCCTCCATGTGAGTCCTTTATCTGTACCACCTTCCTCCATGTGAGTCCTTTATCTGTACCACCTTCCTCCATGTGAGTCCTTTATCTGTACCACCTTCCTCCATGTGAGTCCCCTATCTGTACCACCTTCCTCCATGTGAGTCCTTTATCTGTACCACCTTCCTCCATGTGAGTCCCCTATCTGTACCACCTTCCTCCATGTGAGTCCTTTATCTGTACCACCTTCCTCCATTGAGTCCTTTATTTGTACCACCTTCCTCCATGTGAGTCCTTTGTCTGTACCACCTTCCTTTGTTTGAGTCCTTTGTCTGTACCACCTTCCTCCATGTGAGTCTCTATCTGTACCACCTTCCTCCATGTGAGTCCTTTATCTGTACCACCTTCCTTTGCTTGAGTCCTCTATCTGTACCACCTGCCATCATGCCACTCGTGTACCTGGTACTTCAGAAAAAGCACCATGATAAAGCTGTAAACTTGATGACAGCTGTTTATAAGAACATCCTCCTACTCCCTGTAAAATTCCTTCCAGCTGTGATACACCACCGACCAACCCAGCGAGATGCCGGGCTGCAGAGCTGTCCTGAGTTCACCATTGACGATGTGTGCAAGAAGGGTACCACATTGCTGTGGGACATTGTACAGGAAGATGTGGCAGTAAGTCTCACTAGTTTAAGCAGATTCACAGATTACGACGGTGGTACTTCATGACAAGCTCATGCACACATCGGGGTGATGGGGTAGCCTAATGGTAAAGCGTTGGCTCGTCACGCCGAAGACCTGGGTTCGAATCCCCACATGGGCACAATGTGTGAAGCCCATTTCTGGTGTCCCCCGCCGTGATGTTGCTGGAATATTGCTGAAAGCGGCGTAAAACCAAACTCAGTCAGTCAGTCAGTCATGCACACATCAATCAGCATCATTTGTTGCAGCACTTCACCCTTCTAAATGTAACTTTGATGTTAACGACAATCAAGATAGTATATTACGTGGAAATCCCTGCCTTGTGTTATGATACACATTTTACTTCCTGCAGCACCTGTTGCCAGACGGACTACTGTTGGGAGCAGAGAAGGCCCTCCACAACCTTGTGTGTTTCTCCACCGACAAGAGGATCAAGACTAAATTTATAGAAGCCTGCATAGATAACCTGGCCTCACACAAGTATGTCACATTTTAAAATGTTTTGTCCTCTTGCCTTTTGTATTCATTCCATACCTTATACCTGACTTCTTTCATTAATGGTTGTATTGTGTTGTCCTCTATAGTTAAAATGTTTTCGATTTAATTACTAGTTTTACATTTATATCTGTGATATTCTAGTTGTTTTACTGTCCTTTGTTGACAGGATTTTATACTCTATCTCTAATTATTGTTAATATATATGTTGTTTTAGTCACGATATGGCTGAAATATTGCCAAAGTGACTTTAATTTTAACTCACTCACTCACTCATTAATGGTTGCCACTTCGAGTATCACAAAGCTCTCTCATATCATGGTATCTTTTTAAAACAAAACACCCCTGAGAATTAGGGATGACAATCTTTCTACAGCAGCAAAAATGCATCCAAATGGATTGGATTGTCAAACCTTCTGACTGTTGACCATCATCGAAGCCTGATAACATGGACCATTACTTACTTTAGGAATCACTGTATTGTCCAGTCCAGACTCTATTGTTTACATGTTTATGGAATATTGCAGATGACCTTAAGCAACTAACACACTCACACCCTTAAAATAAAAACTTTAAATTCAGATTATTTTCCCATTATGCTTATGATGAACTATGTGTGGAGTATTCTCTAAGTGTTATTTTTCTTCTTCATGTTTGTGACCAAATCCTCTTATGAAATGTTTGAACTGTCATCCTGTTTGTCAGGTCAGTTGTGGTGTCCCTGCGACTCCTGCCCAAGATCTTCAACTCCTTCCAGCAGTACCGGAGTGGGGCGGACACTCATGCCGTCACCATGTGAGTATGTGGTTGGCATGGCAACATGTTTCCTCTGTTAGTTACAATCCAACAAGTGTCTGCACAGAAGGTTGGTGGTTGGATCAGTTGGCTGCGTCATACCAAAAGGTGTAAGGGATGTGCTTGTTGTTACCCTGCCTCGCACTCTCTATGGAGTCACGATATGGCTGAAATATTGCCGATGTGACGATAAACGTTCACTCACTCACTCACTCACTCACTCACTCACTCACTCACTCACTCACTCACTCACTCTCTATGGAGGAGATAAAACAACGACAGGGCCCCGTTTCATAAAGCTGTCGTAGCGCTATGACTGTCTTACTTCCTATACTGTAGCGTGGACTTCCAACAGTTATAGGCTCGTCAGCGAAAAACCGAAGTTGAATCCTGTGAACATGGCACAATGTGTGAAGCCCATTGCCCGGCGTCCAAGTCCAGTGTTTTTCTGGAATCGGGCAAAAAAATTTGTATATCAAACTGTACCAGTGTCAGTTGACTTTCAATGTTAAGCTGTTGTTTATTTGAAAATGAATAAGAACCGGCGGTACAGTGGAAAATTATCAGGGCAAGTGATTTTACATGTGTCACTGTACCGGTGTACATTAGCAATTTTAAAGTTATTTCCACCCCAGGGCGTGGTGTCTGAATCGGCTGATACAATGAAACAAGAAAGTCCAAAACTACCCCCACCACCCCCCAGTGCATGTATGACACAGTATAATCTTGGATGCATCACTTGAAATGAAAAGAATAATAGAGAGATCTCAGATCTTAACCTTACGAACTGTTACATTGCTTGGTATGGAAGGGACCCATGAAGATCTGTGTTAGAATTGGTCGTAAGAGGCAACTGACGGGAATGGCTGGTCAGGCTTGCTGACATAGTTGACACATGTCGTATCCCAATTGCATAGATTGATGCTCATGATGTTAATCACTGGGTTGTCTGGTCCAGGATCAATTTTTATTTACTGACTGCCGCCATTTAGCTGGAATATTGCTGAGTGTGGCGTTAAACAAGAACAAAACAAACAAACAATGGTATAGAGACAATATGTGAAACCACAACTAGATATATGTACCGTGACTGTTTTGATTTTACAGGTGGTCAGAGAACAATCTTGGCATGATGAAGCATTACTTCCGGGATCTAGTGTATTACACTGAGAACAGGAGGAACAGGTCAAACTCCCTGTAAGTTGTCATGGGAATATTATGAGGAACAAACATGCATATACTGCCACTTTACTTGCTGTCATTGTGAGTAGGTAAAGCCTGCTTTGGTAAGGGATCTATGAAGTATTTTGTTATGGTCCATATACAGTCAGGATGGTTGGGTATCCTTGTTGTTAAAGGGTTCGAATCCCCACATGGGTACAATGTGTGAAACCCATTTCTGGTGTCCTCTGTCGTGATATTATGGGAATATTGCTAAAAGCAGCGTACAACTAAGCTCAGTCACTCCCCATATACAGTCATCCCTCACAATAACGCCCTCTGCGATACCACGTTTTTGGTTAAACCGTGAGGTAATCTGTTGCTCCCATAAAAAAAAGTTCACCAGCAATCATGCATCTTAATGTTATCGTCCGCTGTTGTGTTGTAAATTAGCAAAATGGCAATGCTTGGCCTTTACTCTGTGTTATGTATGATGCCTGTGTCTCATAATGCTGGGGGGGCGGTGGGGTAGCCTAGTGGTTAAAGCGTTGGCTCGTCACGCCGAAGACCCGGGTTCGAATCCCCACATGGGTACTATGTGTGAAGCCCATTTCTGGTGTCCCCGCCGTGATGTTGCTGGAATATTGCTAAAAGCGGCGTAAATGTCAGTCAGTCATAATGCTGGGGATGGGGTGGGTGGGCGAGTGGGAGGTCATCCATTTACCCCAAGACCCTTGTTATGGCAAGGATGACTGTAGTACCTATAGAGCTTTTTATGAGCTGTGTATTAGCATTACATATACAAAATAGATCACCCAATTGCAGTCTAACACCCTGTGTCAAAATTATGACATGTCAACTTTTGGATGCCTGAAATATTCATGATTTAGTCATCATTTTATGTTTGTGTCAAACTTGGGATAACTTGAAGTATTTACTTAGGCCCTTTAACTTCAACACAATGCTGTTTGACTGTACTTTTATGATAGGAATTAAGCTCTTTGTTGCAGGTGGATTGATGCAGTTATGTGTTACTTAAGGTATTGTTAAATATTTGAAACATTGGTGACAATGTCCGAGAGGGCCATAAGGGAAGGAGCACTCTGTTTTAGTTGTAAAGAAACGTTGCCTTTCCCCCCAGGTACAGCCACAAGGATGAGACGGGCGTGAGGCTAGACTTCCTGACCTGTGTGTTCTCCTCCATGGGTTCTCCTGACAGTTTCAGTGAGTTTCTATCGTTATTTATTGATAACAACAACTTCAACTTCTAGATAGCTTATCTCATTGGTTGGTTGGTTGTTGAACACACCACAGTGTTCCAGCTGTTAGATGGCTGTCTAATTATTTATGTCTGGACCAGATAATCCAGTGATATAGTGCATCCAAAGTTGGGATGTTTTGAAAACACCAAATTGAGATACAAAGACATGCAATCAACCTGATCCATGTAGTCACCTTATGACAAGGATAGGTTTTGGGGACCCATATTATTTTCTAGAATCCCCACGGGCGTGCTAAATCTGAAACTAGTTACCTGTGAAGATCAGGTTAGAATTGGTCTTCAGCTACCCATGCTTTTCGTAAGAGGCGACTAATGGAATCGGGTGGTCAGACTCAATTAACCCTAGTCCGATGGAGCGGGGTCCATACGGACCCCAAGACTATAAATATTGTGATAGAATCAGTCAGTGGTAAAATATCTTAATGGGACATTAGGTAATCTTCAATTTACCATTTTTCTTTCTTTAAATCAGGTTTAAGATTCAGAAACAATTTCCATCATAAAGTATTAGATGTGTTATTGCACAAACCCTACTGGGGACTGATGGGGCCCGTGCAGACCCCACTGACAAATCTTTGACCAGCATTCAGAATTGTTCAAGGCAATCAGATTCATTGAACCCTTCCAAGTCTTCTCTGACTTGTGGGCCTAGAGCACGTTCTAAATGGACTATCAAAACTTATTTGAACTTATGCAACAGGAACTTGGTGGTGATGACACTGATGAAAGTGATGATGGATCTGATGAAGATTATCAACCATCTGAAGCATCTGAAAGCACAGATTCTGACTGTGACTTAGAGATTGAGAGTACTTCCAGCTCAGACAATGAGACTGATGTGCGAAGACAAGCTCCTGACAGTTATTGCAGCCGTGATGGAACACAGTGGTTCAAGCACCCAATGTCATTAGCTCGAACGCCTCAGAGAAATATTATTCGCCAGCTGAATGGAAAGGTCACCAATGTCAATGGAGATTTTCAAAATCCAATGGAAGCCTTCAGTTTGTATGTCTGTCCTGAAATTGTTGACGATATTGTCAAATGGACAAATCAGTTCGCTGAAACTAAGCTTGGCACACAGTGGAAGCAAACAGATGGTATTGAAGTCACAGCACTGATTGGGATATGGATTATCGCTGGTGTTACCCACAACAACAATCAGAGTACAGAGATGCTGTGGAGCACCAAATATGGATTATCACAAGTACGGTCAACCATGTCCAGGGAGCGGTTTCAACACCTGATGACGTATCTCAGATTTGATGACAAAGCCGAACGATCCCAGAGACAAGAACGTGATAAACTGGCCCCGATTCGTAAAGTGTTTGATACATTCAATGCCCGACTTCAACGCTTTTATTCTCCAGGTGCGTATCTCACAGTAGATGAACAATTGGTGCCCTTTAGGGGAAGATGCGGCTTCAAGCAATATATTCCCTCAAAGCCAGACAAATATGGACTCAAAATATTTTGGATCGTTGATGCCAAAACGTTCTACCCACTGAAGGCGTACCCCTATATTGGAAAGGAGGCTGGTAGAGTGCAAGTTGGTCTTGGAGAAAAGGTCGTCATGGATCTGGCACGACCTTATGCCCGTTCTGGAAGAAATATTACAATGGACAACTATTTCACTTCTCTGAATCTGGCTCTGAACCTTCAGAAGGATCAACTTACTCTTGTTGGAACGGTGCGTTCAAACAGAACATTTGTTCCAGCTGAATTTCTACCAAAACGTGCACGAGAAGTGGAATCATCCATTTTCGGCTTTCGGGAAACTGCAACTATGGTGTCGTATGTACCAAAGAAGTCCAAAGCTGTCATTTTGCTCTCAACCATGCATAGCTCTCCTGATGTCATTGTCGACAAGAATCACAAGCCTGAAATGATTCTGTTCTACAATGAAACAAAAGGTGGTGTGGATTCCCTAGACCAGCTTGCACACCGATATAGTGTCAAGAGAAAAACCAACAGATGGCCTGTTGTGTATTTCATGAATATGGTCGACATAGCTGCCATTGCTGCCTATATCATCTGGCTGGGAAAGAATCCACTGTGGCAGAACAAACAGAGAACAAGGCGCCGACATTTCCTTTTGGAACTGGGCGAGGCACTAACAGGACCAAACATTCAAAGACGGATGGCATCAAACACCCGGGAGCAACTTCGATGTGACTTTGCAAATGCTGGTTACACAGCTGAAGTACGTACAACAAGCAGTGAAGCAAGTCCACCGGCAAAGAAAAGACGCTGTCATTCTTGTCCCAGAAGCAGTGATAGGAAGGTGAAAACATGCTGCACCAAGTGCATGAAACCAACATGTCCACAACATGGACGGTTTGTGTGTCATGACTGCGCTCAATAATAACTCAGTGCTGGAAGTAACAATTTTTCGTTTCAGACATGGGCTCGAGTCAATAGTGAATGTTGACACTACTGAACAATGTTGTATTTCGTTACACTTTTAACTGTCCTGATACGTCATACATGGTAATCATTCATGTTTTTCTGTTCTAATTTAGTTTGCGTAATGCAAAGTTAGTAACTGAGTAACACATTCTTTGTGAAATTGAGTTTAATACAATGTATGTAGTAAGAAAGTGTGTTCTTCAGCACAAGTATCCTCAGTATGGGGCAGTGGAAGATCTGGTTCTTTCTGGTTTGGCTGGTCTTGTTGCCCGACACTTGGCACAGGTTTGGGGGACCCTCAATTTCAATGATGCTATCTCTGCCAATGTGACATGGCGACCCTGCAAATAGAATCATTCCCATATAAGCATTCATTTGTTGGTACCTATTCCTTCACACAGTACATTGTACCGATGTATTACTTTTTTTTATAAGGTGAGAAATAAAGTTATTTTTGTGTGAATCAGTGTTCTACATATCGTGTACGAATAAAGAGATCAAACATCAATTAAGTTATTGAACAATGTCAATATCATACATGACGTAACTTTATATTAGAAAAGCATTATGAAATGGATTACATGCGCAGACGCAAATGTATACATACTTACCTTGGTAAGGTATTGGTCATCGTATTTTCCTGAAGTTTCCTCCGGGAAACGACCCCTCACTGCCTCCCGCACAGCAGTCGGATAGACCAAGGTGGTTCCCGGGGGTGCCAGCTTCTCTCCATACTGCACACATAAAAAACCCAACTGTTTACAGTGTCTGAATAACTTTTTTGCAGTTTCTTGTCTTACAAATCAGTGTATGAAAAGTACTACATGAAAACGACAATGATGAAACTGAAATTATTTATGGTTTAACATACTTACCACAAGCGCACCATACAATGCTCGATACACATCCTTCCGCTTTTTCCCTGTGTGGAACACGATGTGTTCCAGTCCAACAGGGCAATTGAGACTATGAAAGAAAGAAATAGACATTGATCTGTCAACCATATATTTGCTATAAAGCACGTCACGAGTTTATATTGCATAGTGAATTTATTACATAGTGAAATTGTTATATTTACCTCTCAGAAGTAAACGCTGATCGCAGTGCAGCCTCCATGATTCCCGATGTAAAATGTGGCGCCAGAAACCCCATGAACTACAATTTGCGGACCCTTAGCGGTTTGGGGTCCAGATGGACCCCAAACAGACTTTATTAATATTTGGGCTTCCATCGGACAAGGGTTACCTTTCAATAATTTCTAAGCATAATTTTTAATAACAAAATTGCTGACACCCCCACCCCCAAGTACATGTGTACAAAATTGCTGACCCCCAGCTCCCCAGAACAAAATGGGTGACCTCCCCTCTCTCTCCCCTCTTTCTTCCCTCCTTCCTTCCTTTATTTTCTTTCTCTCTTCTCTCTCTCTCTCTCTCTCAAAAAAAAAAAAAAAAAAAGCCATAAATTATGAACCATCCCTAAGTGTGTATGATCCAGTCAGGTTGCCTGTATGCCTGTATTCACTTTTCAGTATTGCTTACATTCATGACATGGTTGTCTGACAGTACTATGATCATGGATTAGATGCCTGAATTTGATTGATTGTCAACACCTTTGCTCATTAATTCCTGCCCAAGCGGTAAATGTTTTAGCTTTCCTCTCTTGTCTCATTCTTGTCTCACTTTTGTGTCTCTCCTATCTCACTCATATGTCTCTCTTGTCTCACTGCGCCTCGCTTACTGTCTTATTCTTTTTTCACAGTTGTTTCACTTTGTCTTACCCTTCTTTCTCGTGTCACCTTTCCTTCGCCCTTGTCTCACTTTTTTTTCAAATTTTTCTCATGCTTTTCTCACCCTTGCAGGACACATGTGGGAGTTTCCAGATTATCCAACAGGGCCTGACTCTTCTGAAGAACCACTTGGAAGCCTTCCGGCGTCGCTATGCCTACCACCTGCGCAACTGGCAGATTGACGGCAAGGGCATTACCAGCCATCAGCAGCATCGGATGGAGAAGCACTGCACCTCCATATGTGTGCTGCTGCAGCCAGCTGGCATGACAGAGAAGGTAAGGAGATCTGACCTTGGAGAACCCCTTGAAGATCTGTGTTAGAATTGGTCTTCAGCATCCCATACTTGTTGTATGAGGTGACCAACAAGATCATGGCCTGGTCTGGCTCACTGACTGCCCTGATGGATGTCACTGTATTACAGTCTCAGTTACTTACCTGTCCCTAAGCTTGAATATTACTTGAGATTTTGAGTTTTAAGTTCCCCTAAATATGTCAGGAGATATACAGTAAACACGTAAATGTGTTAAATTGTAATTATAAAAGTGATTTTATAGGATGCCAAACACTAAATGTTACAGCCTGAAATGACTGACTAAATAAGTATCTTCTGATTATGGTCAGGCTCGCCGACTTGGTTGACACTTGTCATCGGTTCCCAATTACGTAGATTGATGCTCATGCTGTTGATCACTGGATTGTCTGGTCCAGACTTGATTATTTACAAACCGCCACCATATAGGTGGAATATTGCTGAGTGCAGCGTAAAACTAAACTCACCCACTATCTTCTGATTAATGATCTCTGAATATAATAAAAGGTAATTCCAGATATGGCCTTAGACAGTATTCTGATTGTTTAAGAGATGACAAGAGGGTCAGTGAATTGTGTTTAATGATCATGTAGATCTGATACAGAAAGACATCTATGTGTGTATCTGTGCACAGAACCAGCTAGAGATGATGACCACTGACCTTGTTGCCGAGCTACGAGCCGAGGTGGCACGGTGGTGGGAGGCGTTACAGAAACAACAACAGCTACAGCGTCAGCAGGCAGAGGGCTCACGGTGTGCTGTCCCCGATCCTTGGTGCCATGCTTGGGGACGGACCAATCCGGATGATCACACAGGGGCAGGAGCTGACGGTCGACATGGATGAGAAGACACTCGGGGAAATGCAGTTCAAGAACATGCAGGTGCGGGAGCACAGTTGTTTGTTTTAAATTGTGTTTTTATGTAAGCACTATCACAAATGTCAGAAAGAACACAGCCCATATTGAATGATTTGGTATCCAAATTGTGGTGTTAAACTTATGTAACTATCATTGTTACTATAATTATGTTAAGTGCAGGCGAAGTGATAGACTGGCTAAAGAATGTGGGAACACAAATACTAGTCACTGAGCAGTTGGTAGATAAAGAAGACTGCTTGTAAGTGAATTTTTGAAGTGGAGATAATGGAACACATCTTTGCTTCACATAATCTAAACTTTGATACCATTTTTGTGTTACGGTTGTGATATGGCTTAAACAAGAAAGAAAAAATGCACTCCTGTGTATGATGAGGCAAAAACAAATCCTAGCCCATATTTTTTTTCAATGTACAAATAAATGTCATTAAGTTCATGTCTGAAGATTGGGGTGATGGGGTATCTGAGTGGTTAAAAGGTACCACACAAAATGTATAGGCTCGAATCCCCACATGGGTACAATGTGTGAAGATCATTTCTGGTGTCCTCCACTGTGATAATGCTGGAATATTGCTAAAAGCCACATAATACCATTCTCTCTTACTCGTTATATTGCTGGAATTGCTAAAAGTGGTGTAATCCCAACTCACTGTATGGGGATTTTGAGTGTTACAATACTGCACAGCTAGCATGGATAACTCTATTTACAGTGTCTGTCTCTTTCTATATTTTCTCTGGCATGTTACATCTAATTCCTGTTGTCACATCCACAGCTTGTGTTCGTGTCTGTTGGTGCCAGCCGCCAGCCGCGGAAGATGGACGGATCCCTGCCTTCCTCCAGCCTCCCATCACCGCTCCGGGACAGACTTCCCATGATGCTTCTGCTGCAGGAGCCTCACTTTGACAACCTCTTCATGCTCCTACAGAGACTTGGCGACCTTGATGTGGAGTTGTCCGACATGGTCAGTTGGCCATTGTATTTCATATCACTACTCCTGTAGCTGTCTGATAGACAATCACATAGTACAAGCACCAACACTAGACAGTCATATGACCTGACTAAATTTTGTGATTACATCTGAAGTTAATCTGACTTTGAAACCAGTAAAGAATGCACTGGCAGGCCTTTAGATCTAGTTTTAAATAAGTATATGTAAGTGTATATAAGTTTTTGCAACACTGAGTGACACTTTTTTATTTGTGTAATTGCTGGATGATGTTTTTCCTTGCTGAAGTGTGACAATTACAAGATCAAATAGGCTTTCATCTTGTATTATACTCCTTCTAATGAAATGTGTCAGCAGTCACCTGATAAACTTTTCATTAAAAGTCCTCTAGTTTTATTCATTTGGTTGGCTTGTGTCCCAGGATCCACTTGAAAGGGCTGGTCTTTTGGCGGAGTCGCGCCGTCTGTCTCGGAATGTGTGGGAACTACTGATGATCCTCCCGACCAGTCCGAATCATCTCAATGGGTTCAAGAGTCTCATCATGGAGAGGGTGAGTAATATGTGCCTTGGGCCAAGTTCATATGAGGATGTAGAGTACATCAGGGAATATAGAAACTGCAGTAGCATCATTTCAAAATGCATCAATACATAGTTCTGTTTTCTGGTTTTTCTAAAACACACCTCCAAACTACTGTCAGCAATGTTACTGTTTTCCTTTAGTGCCTGCCCATTTGCGTTTGTTGTGAAATGTATTTTCATTTCTAGACTATCAAAATATCAGTATACTTGAAAAATATTGCATGGAATTATACTTTGGTCACAAGTTATGAGGAGAATGTTCCTTTCTGCCTCACCGATGACAAGCTGGCTGTACATATTTTCATGTGGACTGTTGATTTGTATTTAGTCTGGTGAGAGTGGGGATGACCAGTTGACAGTGGCGTGGAACAACCTGCTGCCCCCCTCCAGCCCCCACAAGCTGTACTACTCACTCCAGATAGTGGAAGTCCTGTCTCACAGCCAGAAGCTCAGGCGCAAGTCACTGGTAACACCTTGTTATTACCACTAAGATAACCATGTTCGGTTGGGCAAGGCATGAATATATTTTTACATGTTGGAAAAGATTGCCACAATTATTCTTAGTGTCTATATTTACACACTTCTTTGATATTTGGTGTGTATCTGCTGGCAATTGATTTCTTTGATAGTACCTTCGTGGTTTCAGGTGATTTAATGGCATTGTCAATTCTGCATTCACTGGCTATCCCTGGTATTTGCTTTGCTAGTAAATTTTAATACAAATGGTCCATAGTCAGGGACAATGTTTAACAGAAATCATGCCACTAGTTTCACTTTGTGAAAAGATATTAGCTTGGACTTAAAATCATATTGTGGTTTGCTAGGGTTGTTCAAGTATGTATGATGTATACAGTGTACATGTACATGTGAATTGCACTGCACACATTGCCTGGTTGCAGATGCGGTCAGGGGGTGGAGATGCATACTTATCGGGTGGTGACACAGAATCAGGCAGTCATGATACAGCGGAAAATCTCTGGAGCTCTCAGGTATGTTATCTGTAACTAGTAAATGGTAAATCGGTTTGAAACTCATCCCCAGTGTCCCAGAATGTCTTGTTGATTTTGTGTTTGGATTACCTACCCTGAAAGGCTAATCTTTGATTAAATGTTGGTAGGTATCTTTAAATTACCCACATTACCAACCCTTATAAGTGACACTACAGACATCCTGTTCTTGATGTTGACACAATTTTCGTGTGTTTAACCAAATGAAAATTCAGGGATTTGGGTGACATGAGAGGATAACTAGGTTCCCCAGCCATAAGTTGCTGCGAACTGCTGATGCAGCATTAAGAACGTCATGTGAAGTTTGTCTTGAACTTACTACTTTCTGTTTCAGTTTATTGCCAAGGGAGGTCTGAGCCACTTGTTCAACATCTTCATCTCCGGAAGTCTTCAGTCCAAAGAGGGAGACAACTGGAGTCAGGTACCACACAATGTTACCATCATCTGGAGCTTGTGATTAGTTCATGATAAATAAAGTGAAACATCATTAAAGAGATACATCTCTTACTCAGAATCCTGATGTATGTTCAGAGGTTTTGTGACCACTGGTTTCCCTGTTCAGATGTATTCACATGTGAGGCTTTATTGTATTATTCATATGTCAAATGGAGAAAATAACTTTGTTGACCTTTTCTTTTTCTGACATTGTTATAATTGATTGTCCCCCGCCTCAACACGGAACAGGGGACTATGTATTCAGCGGCGTCTGTATGACGTCCCGATTCTTATGATATCTCATGAACTGTTGTACCCAATGTCTTCAAATTTGGTGACAGCCTACATTAGGGGATTACCCAGACACCAGTAGATTTGGGTGACCTTGACCTTATCTTCAAGGTCACCACGATACTTCGAACACTTTTCAAACTGTTGTTAACGTGATATCTCATGCACTGTTGTATCCAATATCTTCAAATTTGGTGACATACTACATGGGGGGATTACGCAGACACCAGTTGATTTGGGTGACCTTGACCTTAACTTTGACCACTTTTCAAACTTATTTAAACGCAATATCTCATAAAACATTGCACCCAATGTTTTCAAGTATGTCGACGGCCTACATTGGGTGATTATGCAGACACCAGTCATTTCAGGCATTTTGTATGTGACCAAAACATAAAAAGTAGTAAATATAGATATTCCAATTTTTAGCGGCTGGGGACATTGCCACACCAGTGGCGAACACTTGTTGATTAACTATATATGCTGTATCGAAAAGGTTTCTTGCAAAGAAAACTAATAAATTTAGTTGCTTAACTAGGAAATCCAACACTTCGATATGGTATTCTGACATTTTAATTTAGCACAGATGCAGTTTGACTTCCTCAAACTATTGTGTTCACTACAGTAATAATGTTTTCAAACTAACGCCTATTTATCTATTTATGTACACCCTCATATGTGTATGCAATTTTGTACTAACTTGATGTAAATGCCAACACATGTCACTCTTCTATCTGTACATGCAACTTGAAATGGAATAAAAAAATAAGATAAAAAAACAGAAAACAAACCATTTTGTTCTCTAGTGGAATCAGGAATGCCTGGCCTACTTGCTTCGACTGGTCAGTCAGTTTGCCGTAAACCGTGCAGACCTTGAGACTGGGTCAGAAGAGCAGTCAGAGACGTATGAGAGTCCCCCGCAAGAAGGTGAAAAAGTCCAAGTCAGCACATGAGAAGATCTTCATTCCTAGACTCAATCAGGTGAGGATGAACAGACTAATGACACAGAAGGGCACAATTATATGATCTAATGGCACAGTGCTTGAAAACTGTAATGTTGTGCCATTGTTTTCAAAGCAATATGAACGCAGAGAAGAACATTACATTCATTTGTCATTCTTGAGGAGAAAATAACTAAATATACTTGGGCTGAATTTGAGGATACTTTACACCGATACATAACAGGACATTCTCTTGTTTGATGTTAGAACATTGTTTGTCATACACGTGCAAGTTATGATATACTCATAGTCATAGGTAATTTACATATTGAGAAGGTATGTTGTTTATGGCCTGTTTTTCACCTGCAGTCCACCATCAACATGCTGAACACAGAGACTGTGTTGAAGATACTCATGCAGATCCTGTATGATGCTGCATTGCCTGAGTAAGTTCTCATAAAGTTACATTGTGATTAATTAAGATTAGGTTGTATGTTTTAGTACGTGCACCCAAGAGCCTTCAGCATTGCCGAACTCGTTTCTTTCTCTCCTTGATAATTATCCCCATCAACGCATTTTGCAGGGGTATTAAAATCGCTGCGCACATTCGTATTTTCTGGAGCCGGTGCACATTCACTATTTTCTGGAGCAGAACTTTAAAACTGCTCACTATTTCTTCACCAAACTTGGTTTCATAGATTACTTCGATGAATGATGGTGTACTTCCTCGGTGCCTTTTGGTAGTTTTTGGAATTCTGAATAAAATATTTTTTTGTGTTTCCATGGCAACAAGTTTGGCTTTAACTGAATTTGGTGGTAATGCTCCATTCTGGAGCAGAACTTAAAAACCTTTCAATACTCTCCTTCCACTTTGCATATACACACCAAAACATTTGACATAATCATAACGTAGATATATTCATGAAGAGTATTTTGCCATTGAGGGGGACATTGATGACTTTGTCTTCTTGTTGCCTTTACTTGTTTTAAAGGTCAGTCCGATGTTCATTTTACCTAACTTTTCAGGGATACAAATCAGCTGTACATTGGATCCTGGGGCAGGGCTGAAGGTGAGTGTTGGTATATGCTGATCTGTAGATATATGAGTTTACATTTGTAAACAGGTGACTTAAAGGATCGAGAGGCCAGACTTGGTGACTGTATGTTATTCTAACCCAAAGGTTTGGATAGTTTTGTTTTACGCAGCAATATTCCAGCATTATCATGGCGGGGAACACCAGAAGTGGGTTTCACATTTTCAATTTGTAGCTTAAGAGACTCAGGATGAATTTGTGCAATGTTGTTTAATGCTACAGCCTGAAATACTTTCACACTTTCTGACCAGTGAAGTTTAGAAATGGATTTTCTCCACCTATGCTTATCGTGAGAGTTGATTGAGATGGGGATGTGTGACTTTGCTGATTGTATACCATATCTTAACGGGTGGTGGGGTAGCCTAGTGGTTAAAGCGTTCACTTGTCACGCCGAAGACCCTGGTTCGATTCCCCACATGGGTACAATGCGTGAAGCCCATTTCTGGTGTCCCCGGCCGTGATATTGCTGGAATTTTGCTAAAAGCGGTGTAAAATTAAACTCACTCACTCACTCTTAAATCTGAATTTAACATGAGACACTCCCTCAACCTGAGAAAAATACTCCAGATCACATGGATGTGCTCTTTTCTGTGTCTCTGCATATAGCCTGTGGTTAAAGCATTTGCTTCGTCACACTGAAGACCCGGGTTCGATTCCCCACATGGGCACAATGTGTGAAGGCCATTTCTGGTGTCCCCTGCTAGAATATTGCTAAAAGTGGTGTAAAACTAAACTCAATCAATCTTTCCCAGTGGTCCACTGTGCTCTCTCCTTCCTCATCTCCCTGGCCTACTCCTGTGACGAGGTACCTGGACTGCTGTGTACCGCCACCAACTTCAACGCATGGCTGAAACGGCTCACGCTGGAAGCTCCAGAGGTAGGAACTGTCTATAGGGTTTTGACTTATTGTGTCGTTTTGCTGATTGATTGTAATTTCAGCCTCAAGGTTTGTGTTGTTACTCATTAGGTTTTGTTTTTCAAGCCCATTAATTCATGTTTTCAACTATTTTTGATCTGTAATTGAAGAAGTATGTTTCTTCCTGGAAACAATATGACAATTCATGGTCAGAACTGAGGTGAGATGAAGTGAGGTGAAATTTGGTTTAACGTCGTGCTTAGAATATTTTGCTCATATGACGACGTGCATGCGTGTATATGTGTATGTGCGGCTGCTTGTACTAGCCCAGACTTCAGCTGGTTTTATAGTGCTAGCCCACTGAGATACCATGCCGCAGTGAAGCAGGAATACCCCACTCAGACACATTATACTGACCCAGCCGACCAGTCCTTGTTGTACCCATTAATACCGAGCGCCAGGCAGGGACCAACAAGTACCATATTTTAACGTCTTTTGGTATGATGCGGTCGGGGATCGAACCTGCGACCTTCCGCTCTCTGGTGGGCGCTCTAACCACTACACCACGGAAGCAGTGGTCAGAACTGAAGTAGAGGAGACTAAATGATTTGATGACTGGGTTGATCACATGTGATGGTTGGAGACATTGCCTATAAGGCTGGTTTAACCACTCCAGAATCAATAATTTACAGGAAATTGTATTACTGCTTGAACATTGTTGTGGCTTTAAACACCTTTACCTCAACCTCACCTTTAACTGAATATGATAGTGATCAAGGTAGGTAACTAACTGGTGGTGTTTCAGCCATACGTACGTAAGGAAGCTTGTATGGGCCTGTACCGCCTGCGACTGGGGAAGACAGTGGACAACAAGCCAGGCTACAGCTTCCTGCTCCCCATCCTCTCCAGTCTCCTCAGCTTCCTACAGGTGGCGCTGGAGTTTAAACCACAGAAGAACACTGAGGTATGCTCTTTGAGTGGCTTGTTCCCACATTTCAGATTTCACATATGCCTTTAAGAGTTTACTTGGGGTTAGAGATGGGGTAGTCTATTGAAATTGGTGCCCAAAACATTTGATTCTACTTTCTCAAAACATTAGCTCTTTGCTCCTTTTCTGTAGATTTTAGATTATGATGACAGTTATAACCTGAGCTTATATAGGTATAACCTGAGCTTAAATAGGTATAACCTCAGCTTAATTGACCAAGCAGAATTATTACTGAGCTTGACTAGTGAATTGAATCAAAGACTAGCTGTTTATGCTTTGAATTGAATTGTCATGTAGAGGACCAGGTATGAATTTGCCATTATTAAAGTCAGTGTTTTTCACAGGAGGTGTTAAGGCAATAGTGGAAAACCTTGCTTCTATGCAAGACTAAAATAAGGTTGTATAAGACTTGGTACACAACCCTATAGCTGTAATCAAAATGACCTGTGAATATCCGTGTTAGAATTGGTCTTCAGCAACCCATGCTTGTCGTAAGAGGCTACTAATGCAAGACTAAAATAAGGTTGTATAAGACTTGGTACACAACCCTATAGCTGTAATCAAAATGACCTGTGAATATCCGTGTTAGAATTGGTCTTCAGCAACCCATGCTTGTCGTAAGAGGCTACTAATGCAAGACTAAAATAAGGTTGTATAAGACTTGGTACACAACCCTATAGCTGTAATCAAAATGACCTGTGAATATCCGTGTTAGAATTGGTCTTCAGCAACCAATGCTTGTCGTAAGAGGCTACTAACGGAAGTGGGTGGTCAGGCTCGCTGACACATGTCATTATGTCTCAGTTGTGTAAATCAATCCTCTTGATTGTCAGTCACTGGGTTATCTGACGTGATTATTTACGACTGCCATCATATAGCTGGAAAACTGCCAACTGCGACACTTAGATATTGTTGAAAATGTTTCTATTGATGACATGAGTTATTGACTGAATCAATGTCTGCTGCATGGAGCTGTGGTTGATGTTGGGTTTTCTGTGACAGTTTGACAGTAAGGAAAAGGAACCGTTTGGTCCAGGGTGTCGGGACTACTTCTGGCTCGTGTGCAGATTTGTTGACAGCATTTCCAAAGAGGAAGCCAGTTCAGTAAGTCATGAATGTCATGCAATGTCTTTCAATACACTCAGTGGGTCAGTGGTGAATTACCACTGCCATGATCAAGCCAGACCAATTTGGACATGATCGAGAACAAGCACAGATTTATGGACTTGAAGTCCTTGTATTGTCACTGATTTTTTAGATATCTTACAAGAACTGAGACAGTGATGCATATAAGAAAACATCTTGGATATATTTTGTCATATTTTGTAACTTCTGTTTATGTGTCATGTTTTCAAAAATTGGTAATAATGTTACTCTACATGATTTGGGTTTTATTAAATTAGAAAAATATGCTGTATACCTGTGTTTGTTAGAGGTCCAACTAGACTGAAATGAGAAAATATGCCTTTCAGGAAAACTGTGTGGATCTGAACTCGTTAGCAAAAGAGGCCTACCAGCATATCATGGAGCGTCCATACTTGGAGACTCGGGTTGGATATGAAGAAGACGATGGCTTGATTGGTCTGCTCAATCTACTTACTGCGGTGCTCAAGCACAACCCACCATTCAAGACATCATCAGAGGGCAAGGTGAGTGCACACTGATGTGCTTTCTGATCTCCCAAACTAAATTAATTCATGGATTTTTGTATGTAAATTTTCAATGTCCGCTGCTGAAGTCTGTCTAATGCTAAAGATATGAAGAAGACTTGGCAAATTTTGTTCTTTTGGGGTTTTGTTTTTTGTTCCTGATGACCAGTTTGGGTAAGAAAATGTTACAGGTTATGATGCATCTTGGTGATTTTACAGGATATCTGGTTTCAGTCTCTTCTGGATGAGATATTTGACAGCCTGTTTGCTCTGCCCTCACCAACCAAACGCTACCTGCCTCGATGTAAGAGTCAGGCTTCCCGGTCTGCAGCATACGATCTGCTGGTGGAGATGGTGAAGGGCAGCGTGGACAACTACACCGCCCTCCATTCCAAGATGCTAGCACAACATACGAAAGACTCCCACACCCCCTACCCCTGGGACTACTGGCCTCATGAAGACGGACGTTCCAAGTGCGGCTACGTCGGCTTGACCAACCTGGGAGCCACCTGCTACATGGCGACGTGCATGCAGCACCTGTATATGATACCACAGGCTCGACAGTCCGTGCTGCAGGCAAAGGTTGGTGGTGTTGATGTTGTCTTACATTGGGGCTCTCTGTGAGCGAGTGAGCAAGTGAGTTTAGTTTTACGCCGCACTCAGCAATATTCCAGCTATGTGATGGCGGTCTGTAAATAATCAAGTCTGGACCAGACAATCCAGTGATTGGGCTCTGTGTAGTGGCCATAAATGTTCGAATCCCATGACAGGATTCAAACCACAGACTTTCTGATGCTGAAGTCAGACATCTTGTCCATACAAACAAGAAGATTAACCTTATCAAGCCCGCAATACTAAGACGTATTATACTCAAATTTGATCTGAACCTGCTCAGCTCCATCTCTGTCAGGAGGCTGACAAGGATGGTTGTCATCTGATTCCACACCCAGCTATGTCAGTGTGCCATACCTGTCATATTAGCCCACTAAGATGAGGCGTAGGTCTTGTAATGTGTGTCATGGTGCCCCCATGGCATTGATCATTGTGCATGCTATGAATACGTTGTCTGTGTGTTTTTTAATGTATGCATTTATGTATTTGTGTCCTTCAGCAGAGGACAGACTATACAAGGCATGAAGGAACGCTTGTAGAACTACAGAAAATGTTTGCATATCTGCAGGTGAGTTGGTTATTGAATCTTCCCTGTATTCACTGACTACATCCAAGTCTTGTTGTGAATCAAAGTATGAAGCACTTGCAAGCCACCATCTCTACCACAAGTGATTTTCAATAATGTTTAATAATGTAAATAACTATGCCTTGCTTCTTATGTCATGATAATGAGAGTCATTTTCAGTTGGTAGACCCAGTACTGATTCTTGTACAACTTCATATCTTATATGAGAATTGCTTTGGTCACTGAAGCTTTAATGAAATATCATTCAATGTGGTAGAAATGTCCAGGTGTTAATGATCTATGCCTGCTCACACCATCGACCACTGGTTTAATTATCCCCCGCAACGCGTTTTGCGGGGGGTATTAAAATGGACTCCGTCCAGGCGTGCGTGCGTGTGTGCGTCCGTCCGTCCGTGCACATTTGTCTTTTCCGGAGCAGAACTCTAAAACCATTCACTATTTCTTCACCAAACTTGGCACATAGATAGATCTGGTGGTGTACTGGTGCCTTTTGGTAGTTTTGGAATTCTGAATAATTTTTTTTTTGTCATTTCCATGGCAACAAGTTTGACTTAGACTGAAATTGGTAATAGTGCTCCTTTCTGGAGCAGAACTTTCAAAACCTTTCAGTTCTCTCCTTCCACTTTTCTATATACACACCTAAATATTTGACATAATCATACCTCGTAGACATAATCATGAAGAGTTTTTTTGCCATTGCGGGGGATATTGATGACTTTGTCTTCTTGTTGATCCTGACATTTTCCAGCTGTGACTTGAAGCCTCAGTAGACGGGGTCAGCTATAGACTCAGTTTGATGATGTTGATGTAACTTGACTCTCGATTGCTTTTCTGTTGTTTAGGAGAGTGAGAGGAAGGCGTACAACCCCAAGAGCTTTTGCAAGGCGTATACCATGGACAAACAACCATTGAACACTGGTGAACAGAAAGATATGACCGAGTTCTTTACTGATCTCATCACAAAGCTGGAGGAGATGGGACCAGAAATGGTGAGATATTATCTTCTGCCATTTTGTTTTATCTTCCTTAAAGGAAAGGGCGGTGGGGTAGCCTAGTGGTTAAAACGTTGGCTCGTCACGCCGAAGACTCAGGTTCGAGTTCCCACATGGGTACAATGTGTGAAGCCCATTTCTGGTGTCCCCCGCCGTGATGTTGCTGGAATATTACTAAAAGCGGAGTAAAATCAAACTCAGTCAGTCAGTCCTTAAAGGAAATGTAAGCTTGTTTTGTACAAGTTGGTGTAGTTTTTGACAATTTGAACATGTTATCATTGTTGATATGGATTGATAGACTGTATTTCCTATTTCAGAAAGCACTTGTTAAAAGTCTGTTTGGAGGAATCATCACGAACAATGTGGTCTCTCTGGTGAGTATTACTTTGCTTCTTTTAACTGTCGTCTTTTAAGACCGCCTCCGTGGTGTAGTGGTTAGAGCGTCCACCCGGAGAGCGGAAGGTAGCGGGTTCGATCCCCGACCGCATCATACCAAAAGATGTTAAAATATGGTACTTGTTGGTCCCTGCCTGGCTCTCGGCATTAATGGGTTCAAGGACTGGTTGGCTCGGAGTCAGTATAATGTGTCTGAGTGGGGTATTCCTGCTTCACTGCGGCATGGTATCTCAGTGGGCTAGCACTATAAAACCAGCTGAAGTCTGGGCTAGTACAAGCAACCGCACATACATATACACACGCATGCACGTCGTCATATGAGCGAAATATTCTCAAGCACGATGTTAAACCCAATTTCACCTCACCCCACCTGTCGTCTTTTAATATTACCTGGGACTCAGGTGGCAAAGTCATCAATATCATGCATTGATGTGTTTCCCTGGAATCTGATGGTCTTGGGTTCAAATTCCAGTAATTGATGTCACTATGGTCAGCAAAGCATTGTAATGCAGTTTCTAGGATATGGCTTGATCTCACTAAACAGTGAAGATGATAGATAAGAATACTGAAACCAAATCTGTTGAATTAACCCCAATTTAAGCTACTACCCCAAATTCAGTTACTCACTGTAAACATTACTACTTGGATTTGTTGAATTAACCCCAACATAAGCCACTATGCTTGCCTTGCAGGATTGTCCGCATGTGAGTCGGACATTTGAAGAGTTCTACACTGTGAGGTGCCAGGTGACAGACATGAAGGACTTATATGTGAGTAACCCTACTTTGGCTCTGTGTATGGACAATAGTTCTATGTATTGTAAGTAATGATTTAGATTCAATTTAAGGGGTCAAAGATGTGAGTATTTTTCAAGCCAGATGTTTATCTTGTGTTGCAGGAGTCGTTAGATGAGGTGACAGTGAAGGACATGTTAGAGGGAGACAACATGTACACCTGCTCCAAGTGTCAGAAGAAAGTCAGGGCAGAGAAGAGGTACAAACATAGTGTCTGTTTAATCTATCTGTTCTGCTGTCACATGTAACTATCATCAGAGGCAACCATGAAGTCCGATGTTAACGTTGATTCTTGTTAAGTTTTCCTTAGAATGAGGGGCGGCGTGGTATCCCAGTGGTTTAAGCATTTGCTCATCAAGCTGAAGACGTGGGTTCAATTCACCATGTAGGTACAATGTGTGAAGCCCACTTCTGGTGTCCTTCAGTCATGTTGCTGGAATATTGCTAACAGCAGAGTAAAACCATGCTCACTCCGTAGAATGGTGTCCCGGTGCTATTGTTAGAGGTCCTGAGTTATGTCCCTTGCCTGCTATCAGTTTGAGTCGAGATGTTTGTAGGATTTCCTAGACATCTATGACCAGAGTCATCTTAAAATGTCTTTTCTGACAATGGTCTCCTATCATGTTGCTGAACTAGTGCTGACAGCACTGGTGGGCCTCTTTCACTCCTTTTTGTCAAGAATATTTGACTGAATTGGGAATGGTATGTTTTTTATTAAAGCCAGGTTAATATTCAGCACAAAGTTTCGGTGTCAGCCTATCAGAGGTAACATTGATGCGAGGAAAGATCCCAGGGGTTGCTGAGTGAATCCGCATGATGTCAGTGTTGATGTGTCTGTTGTTTCAGAGCATGTTTCCGGAAGTTGCCAAAGATTCTGTGTTTCAACACCATGAGGTACACGTTCAACATGGTGACGATGATGAAGGAGAAGGTCAACACCCACTTCTCCTTCCCCCTCCGGCTGGACATCAAGCCGTACATGGAGGTGAACCTCCTCGGCCCCGACAAACTCAAAGGTGAGATAACCTGGTGTGAGAACCGCTTGTATAACGCAGTTGAGTATAAGTTGTCTTCAGGAAGGATCACAGCACAGTTGCTTAGAGAAGGCATTTGTTAAATTACTGACTTTCCAGTCAAGTTGGTATATTATGTATACTTATATACTGGAGCATTCTTACAAATTTTTCTTCAAGGATATGATGAAAATATGGATATAGAAAATACCGCAGGAGCATTATATTGTAGAATATTAGATATTCTGGTTCCCAATTGGTCACAAGCCAAGCTGGGCCTAGAGTTTTGAAACATTCGTAGCCCTACGAACTTCTAAGGCGCATTCTTAACACATTGGGTACGATCGAAGTTAAGAATTCTTATCATAATGGTAACATTCATGATGGTAACATTGTTCTGTGGTTGTAGTTGTTCTGTGGTTGTAGTTGTTCTGTGGTTCTGTGGTTGTAGTTGACGAGGAGGATGAGCTGACACTGATGGGGGTGGACACCAGTGATGAGGACGAGAGCTCCGAGTACGAGCTGATAGGGGTGACAGTACACACAGGAACAGCCGATGGTGGTCATTACTACAGCTTCATCCGAGACCGACTCAACAAGACGGAAACAGGCCAGGACAAATGGTCAGTCTCCCCAGACAATACATGGACAAGTGTTGTGTATTGCGAGATTGTTTGTTGTTTAGATCTCTGGTCAACGTTATTCCAGTTAAATAATGGCACTGTGTGTGTACTTGAGTTTAGATGTAATTGACATAAATCCATCTATGGAATCGAGATACGATGACACTCATCAGTCAAGTCAGGAAGTCTGTTAACCTGATCCCATTAGTTGCCTCTTATGACAAGCATAGGTTGGTGACGACCAATTCTAACCTGGATTTGTACAGGGTCATTGCAGCATTGACTACTATACATGAATTGTTTGAAGTTAAAGACCATTAAGCTATGATGTATTTGGATGTAAGGATAAGTAATGTTCACATATGCTGAGGAGATAAACGTATGGAATGTTATCCTGCCTCTTTGTGTTCAAAGGTATCTGTTCAATGATGCTGAGGTGAAGCCATTCGATCCAAGCCAGATAGCTGGAGAGTGTTTTGGAGGGGAAATGACGGTAGGTGACCATGTGAACCTTGCAATATTACACACTTGCCTCACACTTATATGATGGTGAAATATATGAGTGAAATAATCGTGAATTTGTGAGATACCTTCACTTCACCTCATCTAAGTATGTATCTTTGTCAGAGGTATATTAGTACATATAATAATCTTCTTGATTACAGAGTAAGACGTATGATTCAGTCACTGACAAGTTCATGGACTTCTCGTTTGAAAAGGTAAGAAATTATGTGTATATATTTGTACTCAAATAAATAACGAATATGTTTTTGTTTTCTTCCACTTTGAATAAGAATTCCCTGTCATATCAATAATTAAAGGATTTGAGACTACCACTGGTCTGTCTGATCCCAGTGCTGAAAGATGAGTAATCTTCTAAAAAGCATGGTTAATAATGTCAAAGACTCAAGTCTCAATAAGTGTCTACCCAGGATGACAAAACAGACTATTCCTGTATTTGCCCCCCATTTGCCCCCAGACAAACAGTGCGTACATGCTGTTCTATGAGAGATGCCCCAAGGGCAAGAAGACTGAGGAAGTCCTGGACAGTACAGAGGAGAGGAAAAAATTCAATTTTGAGTTGTCGAAGGACCTTGGTGATGTATGTCTCAAGACCTCTCTCACTTGGCATAAAAGTCATTATAACTGTTTAACACACTACAGATGTTTGCAAATGGTCCTGGAAAACTCTGCACAACCCCAAACTACTAGGAATACTTTTTGTATTCATTGTGTAATATTAAGAAGTTGTTCCACATTAAGTTACTTTGCACTACAACTCTGAGGTCTCTTAAGTTCAAGTTAAGTGATGGTATAAGCGAAAGTTTGCATACTTATGAAATTATGTAACTCCAATGTTTCAAGATCCTTTGGTTTGTGTAATTGTCCCTTTGAACAAAGACCTTGATAACCAGATTAACGTTCTTGATTTCATCGTAAAATTTCAGTGGATTTGGCAAGACAATACTCAGTTTCTACAGGATAAGAATCTCTTCGAACACACCTACTTCGGGTAAGTGGCAAGACAGATACTTAGATAGTTCCTCATGGTCATTTGATAAGTCAGTTCCTACCAACCCCTCCTGGTCATTACATGTGACTTAAAGGATCAAAAGGCCAGACTTGGTGACTGTATGTTATTTTAACCCAAAGGTTTGGATAGTTTAGTTTTACGCAGCAATATTCCAGCATTATCATGGCAGGAAACACCAGAAATGTTTTTTTCAATTGGTAGCTTATGAGACTCAGCTGAATTTGTGCAATGTTGTTTAATGCTACAGCCTGAAATACTTTCACACTTTCTGACCAGTGAAGTTTAGAAATGGATTTTCTCCACCTATGCTTATCGTGAGAGTTGATTGAGATGGGGATGTGTGACTTTGCTGATTGTATACCATATCTTAACTGTTCACAGGTTGCTTTCTTATTACATGTTTTTCTCATCAAGGTGTCTTTTATGCAAATATATCAACATGAGTAGCAAACACAGAGTCTGTGTTCCCTGAGTTAAGAGATGATGTTATTGCTGTGTGTTCAGGTTCATGTGGCAGATCTGTGGGTACATCACCACCACTCTCCCCAAGGATGACAACAGTATCGTCCCCCTCAAGGCAGCTCAACTCTCCACATCGTTTGTTCTGGAAACTCTCATACATGCCAAAGAAAAGGTGGGACAGCAACATGGGACACACATATTGATGTTGCCAACAATCTGATAAGCATTGTGTTACTGATTTATCACATCTGTGATAACGTAATAAATGTTGTATTATGATCATTGTCCCCGCCGGAACGGGGGACTATGTATTCAGCGGCGTCTGTACGTACGTACGTCCCGATTCTTGTTAACGCGATATCTCATGAACTGATGTACCCAATGTCTTTAAATTTGGTGACATCCTACATTGGGGGATTACGCAGACACCAGTCCATTTGGGTGACCTTGACCTTATTTTCAAGGTCACCACGACACTGACCACTTATCAAACTCTTGTTAACGCGATATCTCATGGACTGTTGTACCCAGTGTCTTCAAATGTGGTGACAGCCTACATTGGGGGATTACCCAGACACCAGTCGACCTTGACCTTACCTTCAAGGTCACCACGGCACTTTGCACACTTTTAACTCTTGTTAACGCGATATCTCATGAAATATTGCACCCAATGTTTTCAATTATGTTGACAGCCTACATTGGGTGATTATGCAGACACCAGTCATTACGGGCATCTTGTATGTGAATATCTAGTAGTAAAGATAGATATTCCATTCTTTAGAGGCGGGGGACATTGCCATATCAGTGGCAAACACTTGTATTGATTTATTTCTCACTTTCAATATAAACAAGAACAGATTGTTTTTGAAAACACATGTCTGCCTTTGTTTCAGCCCACAATGTTACAGTGGATTGAGCTGCTTACCAAACAGTTCAACTCCTGCCCCGCCTTGTCCTTGCTTGTGAGGTGAGTCTGGTGTCACTTGACATTCTAGCTGGATAGTCACACAGTTAGGCACATTATACAGAGGTGGAGATTGAGCTGCTTACCAAACAGTTTAACTCCTGCCCGGCCGCTTGTGAGGTGAGTCTGGTGTCACTTGACATTCTAGCTGGCTAGTCACACAGTTAGGCACATTATACAGAGGTGGAGATTGAACTGCTCACCTAACAGTTTAACTCCTGCCCCGCCGCTTGTGAGGTGAGTCTGGTGTCACTTGACATTCTAGCTGAATAGTCAGAGGTGGAGATTGAACTGCTCACAGTTAGGCACACATTATACAGAGGTGGAGATTGAACTGCTCACCTAACAGTTTAACTCCTGCCCCACTTTAGTGAGGGTGAGTCTGGTGTCACTTGACATTCTAGCTGGCTAGTCACACAGTTAGGCACATTATACAGAGGTGGAGATTGAACTGCTCACCTAACAGTTTAACTCCTGCCCGGCCGCTTGTGAGGTGAGTCTGGTGTCACTTGACATTCTAGCTGGATAGTCACACAGTTAGGCACATTATACAGAGGTGGAGATTGAACTGCTCACCTAACAGTTTAACTCCTGCCCCGGCCCTTGTGAGGTGAGTCTAGCTGGATAGTCACAAAGTTAGGCACATACAGTTGACATAAAACAACATTCACACACTCCCTTCACTCTCTGTAGGGTACAAGATCACCAATGTTATTCAGTCATTCATGCCGAGTATCTGACCATGCTTAGGCCAAGTGTTTGCTTCATGGGCGGTGTTGATGTTGCAGTGGTTCCTGGACCACATGGCTGACAGTGACTGGTGGCCCCAGCAGATACTCATCAAGTGTCCCAATCAGATGGTCAGACAGGTACGTTCACACCTGTACACAATATCTATATGTATTTATTTATGTAAGCGCATTGTATTAAAAAGTAGAATCTTGACTTACGAAGTTGAAATAAAGTTTTCACACAGAGATTTGTTGTTGTTTTTTCTGTTTTTATTTAAAGATTTGTCATATTTAGGACATCTATCTTATAATAATATTTTGTTGAATTTGTTCAGATGTTCCAGAGATTGGTGATTCACGTAATTGGTCAGCTGCGTCAACTCCCACTTTGATCTCTACATGCAGCCTATTGTGGAGAGGTGAGAACTGTCTTGCTCTTGTAAAGATGTTATGACTTTCCTGAAATGTTAATATAACATTTACTTCATTTTTTTTAATGTGAATTATTTCCACCACCCGATTTAATTAATGTCTGAGTTCATGTGTTGCTGGTGTTGCAGTGAGGATGGTGTTGTGGACGTGACGGAGATCGGGAACAGGTCGTGTGTGACAAGGTTCATCAAGAAGATGCTTACCATCGTAAGTCTGATTATGCTATCATCCCATATTCCATAGATGCAGGAGTCAATTAAATAATGTACCCGTGAAGATTCGGGTTAGAATTGGTCTTCAGCAACCCATGCTTGTCTTTGAGGCGACTAACGGGATCGGGTGGTCAGGCTCGCTTACTTGCTTGACACATGTCATCGTATCCCAATTATGTAGATTAATCCGGCCTTAAACAAAACAACCAACCAGCCTATTAAATAATGTACTCAATAATGTAGAATACACGCAGTACTCGTATGTAATTCATCCAAAAGAATGTTAAAGTATAGCATCTATAGCATAAAGCATATGATCCTTTATTTTTAAAGTTGAATACGCAACTGTCACACCTGTTCTCAAAGAGAGTCTGATTAATTCTCTAAATATGTGCTGACACAATTTACTGTGAAAATAATCAGTGACAGGGATGAACTCAACATAGGGTATCTCAAGGACTCCGGCCTGTATATGCTTGTGTGACTATATCTTTGACATTTTATATAAACTATTCAACAATACTTACTTATTTGGTGTTTATATTTCTCGCCCTTTCACCTGAACGGTTACATGTAAATGATCATTACCGTGTATTTGTCTTGTAGATTGAACATGGTGTGCGGCCGCACAGCAAGTACCTGACCGAGTACTTCGCCTTCCTGCTGGAGTTTGCCAAAACTGGGGAGGAGGAGTGTAACTTCCTCATCAGCATCAACGCCATCTCCACCATGATCGCCTTCTACATGGGTCAGAAGGCCCAGGAGAATTACGTAAGTTGGATAAGGAGTGAGATTAGATGGTCAAGCTCTGTGACTAGTCATGTTGCCTTGTGGTCTTGCTTGCAATCACTATGTATGTTTGTTTGGGTCTAAGTTATTTACTGCTCAAGGTGTTGAATAGCTGTGTGAAACAACATTCAGTAGTTAGAGAGTTAAAAGCTTATCGTGTGATACTGCTGATTTTTCCTTTCAAGGGTACTACTTCTCAAGTGGCCCCCTTTGTCTTTCAGTACTTATATTACTAACTGTACAACCAAAACCACTTTATCAACTCATTCTGAATCTTTCACTTCTCCTCTTATATTTATCCAAACTGCATAGATCGATGCTCATGATGTTGATCACTAGATTGTCTGGTCTGACTTGATTATTTACAGACTGCCACTATACAGCTGGAATATTGCTGAGTGTGGTGTTAAACAAAACTCTCCTTGTATTGTTCAGTACAGAGGTTTAATGTCTTAGTACCATGAACATACGCTGTACTAGCTTGAAACAGCTTTCTTGCCTTAGACTCTCAGTTGAGGATTTATACTCTCAATCTTTCAGTGTGAGATTTTGGCATACTTGCTTGTATCTTTCTCAGTACACTGCTTGACATTGATCCCACACAAGATAAATGTTTATGTTATATTTCTGTTCCGACTGTAGGTTGAGATCCTGTCTGATGATGATGAGGAAGAAGATGTGATCTCATTGACTGATGACAACTACCGCCCCATGTCTCTGGAGAAGATGATCTCATTGATAGCTCTACTGGTGGAGAAGTCTCGCGCAGAGAAACAGCTGCATCTCTCGGAGAAGGACTACAACTCCATCATTGGGGGCAAGGTGAGGAGAAGCTGGAGGATCTGAGTCACAGAGTGGTTGAAGCACTATGACTGCCTAAAGTCTATGTTAAAGTCTATGATACTACTTTGAGCACAGATAAAGGACCTATGTCACAAAATTGTAGCTCTGTGACAGATTAAAATTATTTTTGTTTAATCCCATACATGGAATTACAGTTGTTACATTGTTGTTTTCAGGGCTTTCCATTCCTGTTCAATCAAATCCGTGATAATATCAACATCCGGCAGTCGTGCAATCTCATCTTTAGCTTAACGAGATATAATGAAACTCTAGCAGTTGCAGTAAGTATTTAACACTCGGACATGGATGATGATAATAATTATAATAATAGTCCACATTTATAGGGCCATTTGATGATGATGTATTACATATGTATGTTGCGACCGCCTCCGTGGTGTAGAGCGTCCACCAGGAGAGCCGGAAGGTTGCGGGTTCGATCCCCGAACGTGTCATACCAAAAGACGTTAAAATATGGTACTTGTTGGTCCCTGCTTGGCGCTCGGCATTAATGGGTACAACAAGGACTGGCCGGCTTGGAGTCAGTATAATGTGTCTGAGTGGGGAATTTATGCTTCACTGCGGCATGGTATCTCAGTGGGCTAGCACTACAAAACCAGCTTATGTCTGGGCTAGTTCAAGCAGCCGCACATACACATACACACGCATGCATGTCGTCATATGAGCGAAATATTCTCAAGCACGACATTAAACCCAATTTCACCTCACCTCACCTGTATGTTGCATACAGTTTCTAAACAAAGTAAAACTGTTTTTGTTTAAACAGGGATACTTCAAATAGTATTCATAAATGGCCAATTTATTGATTATTGGTTGACATATCACAAGACCATATTAAGAAATGGGTGTGCGGCAAATATCTATAACAAATATCATGGATTGAGATTGAATTCAGTTGTAGACATGTAATGTGCCAGCCCAGTTCAAGAATACTAACTTTGTCACATGATGACAAAGATTTTGGAGTTTTTGCCATGTTTCTTGAGTTGCGATGTCTTGGTGCTCATTTATGTAGAATGTGTTACAGGTGATAAATATGGTGTTTGGGGCCATCAGGAAACTGAACCCTGAGGTGAGTCATCTTTTGTCCATGTACTGCTCAAAAGAAGTTAAGGACAGAAGAACCATAGCAATATGAAAGAATTGGGGGTCCTAAACTTCTCTAGAGTAATGTATATGAGATGTCTTGATAAATGAGAGATTTTATGTTGACTTTACATTCACAAGAAATATCTGTATGAAAAGTGAGATTGCTTTGTAGACATAGTGTTTATACTAGATGAAGTCCAGAGATCTGCTCAGTTTAGCTTGTGAGGTATCTGAAAGACAATTGATATTATTTTTTTGAGTAAAGAGGACTAAGTAAATATGGAAGTGTTTATGTGTAAGGAAGATGTTCTTTCTTTGCCCCACTGCTCAGTACATGATGATCAGACCCGTGAAGGTCCGGGTTAGAATATTGATCTTCAGTAGCCCATGCTTGTTGTAAGAGGCGACTAACGGGATTGGGTGGTCAGGCTCACTGACACATGGCATTGGTTCCCAATTGCGCAGATCGATGCTCATGCTGTTGATGACTGGATTGTCTGGTCCAGACTCGATTATTTACAGACCGCCCCGTATAGCTGGGATATTGCTGAGTGCAGCGTAAAACTAACTCACTCACTCACTTACATGATGATCACGGTGCATGATGCTGTGTTGCAGCAATCTCAACCATTCTTCAAGCTGCTGTCCATGTTGGTGGAGTTTGTGGGTGGCCCACCGGGGATGCCGCAGTACACTCAGTACGTGCTGCAGAGGTTCTGGGAGGTGAGGAGTCTTGTTTGTACTCATCTGTTGAAGATAATCAGGGATTTCATTAAATGACAGCCACATTTTGGTATGTGGTATTGAACACTAATATGGAAGATGTGAAAGCCGGTAAACCAGTTTTCTCTGATAGATAAGTTGTTGAACTCACAGATATTACTACAGCTTTGTTGATAATTCATCATGGCGTTGTTTAGAGACTAGACTTTGGTCAGGTGGATTTATCAGCAAGTTTGAATAAATTTAGAACTTGCTTTACTGTCAACTGCAAAATTATATCAGTTATATCAGCAATTGTATCAGTACACAATACTGTACCTACCTGGTAACGATTAACCTGCTTATGAGTTAGTGTCCCAGTTTCATGCATGGCCTAGACCCAGATTGGAAAGGTAATTTAGTTCTTCTTACTAAACTTGATCTTCAGCTGACCAAGTGTTGTCCGCAACAATGTCTGGAGTGGATGACCGGTCAGGTGACCCGCAACAAGTTGGCCCAGGCCTGGACTCTCAACCAGATGGACAACTGGGTGGAGCCGTACCTCATAGCTCACAACAATGTCCGGGTCCGTAATGGTAGGTAGAGAACATGGGAAGCAGGTCATTGTAACCAGTGTAACCAAGAAAGTGTAACCAGTGTAACGAGGACAGTTTAGCCAGTGTAACCAAGACAGTGTAACGAGGACAGTTTAACCAGTGTAACCAAGACAGTGTAACCAGGTCATTGTAACCAGTGTAACCATGAGTGTAATCAGGTCATTGTAACCAGTGTAACCAGGTCATTGTAACCAGTGTAACCATGACAGTGTAATCAGGTCATTGTAACCATGACAGTGTAATCAGGTCATTGTAACCAGTGTAACCAGGTCCTTGTAACCAGTGTAACCAAGACAGTGTAACCAGTGTAACCAGGTCATTGTGACCAAGACAGTGTAATCAGGCCATTGTAACCAAGACAGTGTAACCAGGCCATTGTAACCAAGACAGTGTAACTAGGTCATTGTAACCAAGACAGTGGAGCCAGGCCATTGTAACCAAGACAGTGTAACCAGGCCATTGTAACCAAGACAGTGTAACTAGGTCATTATAACCAAGACAGTGTAACTAGGTCATTGTAACCATGACAGTGAAACCAGTGTAACCAAGACAGTGTAACCAGGTCATTGCAACCATGACAGTGTAACCAGGTCATTGTAACCATGACAGTGTAACCAAGACAGTGTAACCAGTGTAACCAAGACAGTGTAACCAGGTCATTGTAACCATGACAGTGTAACCAGTGTAACCAAGACAGTGTAACCAGGCCATTGTAACCATGACAGTGTAACCAGTGTAACCAGGTCAATAACCAGTGTAACCAAGACAGTGTAACCAGGCCATTGTAACCATGACAGTGTAACCAGTGTAACCAAGACAGTGTAACACAGACATTGTAACCAGTGTAACCAAGACATTGTAACCAGGTCATGGTAACCAAGCAAGTGTAATCAGGCCATTGTAACCAAGACAGTGTAACCAGGCCATTGTAACCAAGACAGTGTAACTAGGTCATTGTAACCAAGACAGTGTAACTAGGTCATTGTAACCAAGACAGTGGAGGTCGTACCTCATAGCTCACAACAATGTCCGGGTCCGTAATGGTAGGTAGAGAACATGGGAAGCAGGTCATTGTAACCAGTGTAACCAAGAAAGTGTAACCAGTGTAACCAAGACATTGTAACCAGTGTAACACAGACATTGTAACCAGTGTAACACAGACAGTCTAACCAGGCCATTGTAACCAAGACAGTCATTGTAACCAAGACAGTGTAACCAGGTCATTGTAACCAAGACAGTGTAACCAAGTGTGTAACCAAGACAGTGTAACCAGGCCATTGTAACCAAGACAGTGTAACCAAGTGTGTAACCAAGACAGTGTAACCAGGCCATTGTAACCAAGACAGTGTAACCAGGTCCTTGTAACCAAGACAGTGTAACCATGTCATTGTAACCAAGACAGTGTTACCAGGCCATTGTAACCAAGACAGTGTAACCAGGCCATTGTAACCCAGACAGTGTAACTAGGTCCTTGTAACCAAGACAGTGTAACCAGGCCATTGTAACCAGTGTAATCAAGACAGTGTAACCAATGTGGAAGTCAGACAACTGTTGGTCTAAACCACATACTTTGTGCTCCCTCTGACAAGTATAAATTACTAAGAAAGTGTAATCCAAAATATAACATACTTAGTCTTTGTATTTGTACATGGTCGACCAATGCTGTACAATGTACTGGTACTGACTGAGATCTTGTTCTGCTACAGCTGCTGCCTTCCTGCTGGTGTCCCTAGTACCCAGCACTCACTTCCGTCAGTCTTTCCGCTCCGCCAGGAGCATGCTCAGTCCGCACAAGGAGTTTGCTGTGAGTATCATATCTGGCTAACATTATGCGACCATAGTTTCCAATAAACTATTTGCAGCACTAGTGTTAATCCTGAAATTTGACCCTTTTTACATGCTTATGTAAGTTGAGAAATATATCTGCATATTGTCTTGTAATGGCTAGTAATAATGTTATTAAAACGAAACGACAAAATCCTTTTCATAATCATGAGAAATCTCTGCCAAAAGCAGAGTGGATTGTAAGATTTTCACCATGTCATGAGATGGGTGTATGAATTGCTTTTGAAAAAGTTAGCGTATCCTGCCTGCCAGTCAGAAACACATGTAAAAACATGGCTCTTGTTCACCTGAAAAACTTGACATCATGGGGTACAGGTCAAAATAGGGAATTGCATTGATATCAGTTTTGTTACAGGGCATTGACGGAAGGTCGCGGGTTCGATCCCCGACCATGTCATACCAAAAGACGTTAAAATATGGTACTTGTTGGTCCCTGCCTGGCACTCGGCATTAATGGGTACAACAAGGACTGGTCGGCTCGGAGTCAGTATAATGTGTCTGAGTGGGGTATTCAAGCTTCACTGCGGCATGGTATCTCTGTGGGCTAGCACTATAAAACCAGCTGAAGTCTGGCCTAGTACAAGCAGCCGCATACACATAGTCGTCATATGAGCGAAATATTCTCAAGCACGACGTTAAACCCAATTTCACCTCACCTCACCTCACAGGGCATTGAACTCTGAAATGTACACCACATGTCAATGATAAAGTTAATATTTTGTTTTGAATGTTCACTTTGGTATTGTTGTTTTCAGATGTCCACAGAGGCACTCATGGTCCTGCATCAGGTGAGGAGATTTTATAAGACTAATTTATTGTCTGTGAGATAAACAGGTTAAATGGTTGTTAAACATCGACATAATTGACATTATTGCTTTTTATGTAACTTTGGTCACAGTTGTTGGACAAGTTTGTTTTTGTTCTAGGTCTATGAGCATTTATTGAGTCTCCTGTCACGGGCAAGGTTATATGTTGGTAAGTAGTACCGTAAATTTACATCACTTTACCAAAATATTTACAGCCATTCATGTAAGTATCCTATAATCAGGGTTGCACAGTAGTGATCTGTGTGAACCTTCAGTGTCAAATCTTAAGGTTTCTTTACAGTGAGTTAGCATGTAATCAGCGATTCTTTCAAAACTCAAAGCTATTTTGAATAATCTAGATTAGTTATGGAGATAGTCTGAATTATTCTTACGCAAAAAAAGCTAAATGCATATTGTTTTATCAGAGGCCTGATGGTACTCTTCTCTCTCCAGATCCCCAGGTGCATGGCACAATGAAGCTCATGTGTTACTTTGCTGTCATGACGTACTGTCTCGTGTCTAAGCAGGAGAAGCTGTTGGTGAGTGTACTGTCATATCACATGTGTTACTTTGCTGTCATGACGCAGTATAAGCAGGAGAAGCTGGCTACTGTCATATCTCATGTGTTAGGTTGTCATAGACAAGATCTAGGTTCTTTTAGACAAGATTTGTATAGACAAGATCTAGGTTCTTTCCCCATGTTTTTATATACTCTTTATCACAATGTATTTGGTGTGTGTTTTTTAGAGCTTTAAGTCTGATAAAACATTTGCATACTTTGTAGAAGTGCAGACAGAAATGGGCCCCAGTTCTGCAAGCTTGTCCGAGAATAATCCAAACTGAAATAGATTATGCTGTTGACCAGTGGTTATTACAGGCTGCTGTGGGGGTTGGGGTAGCCCAGTGGTTAAAGCATTCACTTGTCCCATGGAGGCCTGGGTTTGATTCCCACATGGGTAGAATGTGTGTTGTACCCCTGTTGTACATGTAATTGGTTTAGTTGGATGTTTTGTTTTATTCATATGACAGAATGATTCCTCGTATAAGTTTTCTCAACAAATGAGTTTTCAGTATATCATTGTGGTTTCAGTTTGGAGAGTATTTCTTGGATCTATGGCAGTTGTTCCAGCCAAAGCTGTCCGAGCCCCAGATCTCAATGCACCACAACAAACAGGTACCATTGTTTATACCATTTCATTATCACTATAACACTATAAGATATATTTTGACTCTCGTCCAAGGAAACAAGGTTAATACAGTTATGTTCTTGGGTTTACTTCAACCTTATCACATATATTAAGTTACCTTTCACATTCTGTTGTGCCGCAAGCACTTTCACTAACTACTCTTGAAGATCTGGGTTAGAATTTATGTTCAGTAACCTATGCTTGTCGGTAAGAGGCAACTAACAGATCGGATAGCTGGGATCTCTGGCTTGGTTGATGCATGTCATTTATCCCAATTTGTGATCAATGCTCATGATTTCAATCACTGGATTGACTCGTCCAGACTCAGTTATTTAACATGAACATTGCTGACCTGTCATATAGATGGAACATAGCTGACCCGTCATATAGCTGGAACATTGCTGACCTGTCATATGGCTGGAACATTGCTGACCCATCATATAGCTGGAACATTGCTGACCTGTCATATAGCTGGAACATTGCTGATCTGTCATATAGCTGGAACATTGCTGACCTGTCATATAGTTGGAACATTGCTGACCTGTCATATAGCTGGAACATTGCTGACCCGTCATATAGCTGGAACATTGCTGACCTGTCATATAGCTGGAACATTGCTGACCTGTCATATAGCTGGAACATTGCTGACCCGTCATATGGCTGGAACATTGCTGACCTGTCATATGGCTGGAACATTGCTGACCTGTCATATGGCTGGAACATTGCTGACCCGTCATATAGCTGGAACATTGCTCATATAGCTGGAACATTGCTGACCCGTCATATAGCTGGAACATTGCTGACCTGTCATATAGCTGGAACATTGCTGACCCATCATATAGCTGGAACATTGCTGACCCGTCATATAGCTAGAACATGGCTCATATAGATGGAACATTGCTGACCTGTCATATAGCTGGAACATTGCTGACCTGTCATATAGCTGGAACATTGCTGACCTGTCATATAGCTGGAACATTGCTGACCTGTCATATAGCTGGAACATTGCTGACCTGTCATATAGCTGGAACATTGCTGACCTGTCATATAGCTGGAACATTGCTGACCTGTCATATAGCTGGAACATTGCTGACCTGTCATATAGCTGGAACATTGCTGACCTGTCATATAGCTGGAACATTGCTGACCCATCATATAGCTGGAACATTGCTGACCTGTCATATAGCTGGAACATTGCTGACCTGGCTCATATAGCTGGAACATTGCTGACCTGTCATATAGCTGGAACATTGCTGACCTGTCATATAGCTGGAACATATAGCTGGAACATTGCTGACCCGTCATATAGCTGGAACATTGCTGATCATGTCATATAGGAACATGGAACATTGCTGACCCGATCATATAGCTGGAACATGCTGAACATATAGCTGACCTGTCATATAGCTGCTGACCTGTCAATAGCTGGATTGCTGACCTGTCATATGGCTGGAACATTGCTGACCTGTCATATAGCTGGAACATTGCTGACTGGCCTATATCTGGAACATTGCTGACCTGTCATATAGCTGGAACATTGCTGACCTGTCATATAGCTGGAACATTGCTGAAAGCTGTCATATAGCTGGAACATTGCTGTCTGTCATATGGCTGGAACATTGCTGACCCATCATATAGCTGGAACATTGCTGACCCGTCATATAGCTGGAACATTGCTGACCTGTCATATGGCTGGAACATTGCTGACCTGTCATATGGCTGGAACATTGCTGACCTGTCATATAGCTGGAACATTGCTGACCTATGCTGACCTTGTGACCTGTCATATAGCTGGAACATTGCTGACCTGTCATATAGCTGGAACATTGCTGACCTGTCATATAGCTGGAACATTGCTGACCTGTCATATAGCTGGAACATAGCTGACTGCAGGGTTTAACAACAAAGAACAAAAACCACTTGTACAGAAAGCACTTATAATTGACAAAATATATGTGTTGTTTCAGACCTTGCTGCTGTTCTGGCACCAAGTGTGTGTAGACTGCCCGGAGAACGTCAAGCAGATTGTCTCCAACCAACATGTCTGCAAGAACATTGCCTTCAGCTACATACTGTAAGTAGTCAAGTGTTATGTGTCCAAAATTTTAAGAAACATCAAATATGTTCCATTGGTTTCCATAGTAACTATTATATGCACATCATTGGCTACTTTAACCTTGACCTTGCAGAGCTGACCACGATGACCAGGATGTTGTGATGTTCAATCGTGTGATGCTGCCTGCGTACTACGGGCTGTTGCGGATGTGCTGTCAGCAGTCGCGGCAGTTCACACGACAGCTGGCGCAGCACCAGAACATAGCATGGGCTTTCAAGAATATCACGCTGTATCCAACACAGTACACTCTGGTCAGTAGTCTCAGCTTGGCATTACACAAACCCAGGTCTTCTTCATTTTCAGGGGTGGTGGTGTATCTGAGTGGTTGAAGTGTTCACTTTTCATGTCAAAGACCTGGGTACAATTCCCAACATGTATACAAAGAGTGAAGCCTATTTCTGTTGTACCCCACCATGTTATTACTGGAATATTGTTAAAAGCAGCATTAGACATCATTCACTCTTCGACCTTAAGGGAAAATGATTGAATGATAGGGGAGATAACTCATTAGTCTTTAATTCTTCCTGGTTGTTCAGTTTCCTATGTTCAATTTCATCCAGCGATTGTTATGCTCTAAATGATTAATATGTACAGCTTACAGTGAATACAGCACATTGCTGTTTTGAGTTCCTCCTTCATATATCAATTTAAAATCGAGCGTTTTGTAAATACAGTGGTGTTGGAACTTGAATTTCCACCTCACAGTGAGGGAGGATCAAGGGGCATGTTCAAGCCAGGAGTGTAATGCTTACTATTATTTGATGGCTATTTATTCTTCATTGAAATTGTCAACAGTGATGTGTGTAAATATGTGAATCGTTGGTCAAACAAACATTTGAGGATGTTTTGAATTTCTTCAGTCATGATGTGAAATTTGTTTTTGCATAAATCATAATACCTCCCACTGGATTGTATTAGGTCTAATGAAGAAGATCGGAGTTATTTCTTCAGTATCAGTTGATGTGAGTGGTTGTTGTTTGTGTTGGGTGCAGGCTGTAGAGGAGCTGTTCAAGATGATGAAGCTGATGGTGATGAGGTACCCCGACAGCTCGGAGGAAGAGCTGAAGGCCATCGCGTCATTCAAGCGTGCCAACATACTCATGTACCTACAGGCATTAGATGCCAGATCTATGTGGCAGACTCTTATCAGGTAGGTCTTTCTGCTTGATGTTTTGGAAAGTCTATCTGTCTCAGAATCATCCCTCAAGAATGATTTCATGTTAGCTTTATTCATCATTTTCCACAATTTGAAATCAAGCAAATGTTTTTCTGATAAAAGACAGACAGACAGATTTTATTTCTGTAAGTCTAGGCCAAAGGCCCATAATACAAAATACAGGCACATTGGTACATCATATTGTACATGCTTAAGTATTAGCACTGTAAATATAATGAATAAAGCAGTGTAATATCAGATTTGCTTCTTACTTTCTTCATATGACAGAGGAGGCGTTCAAGACAAATTAACGTGTTTAAGTTAATACAAAAAAGTGTTTACCTAGTAAGGTTATCAAAACTGTGGTAGAAAAAAAGTAAGCAATGAAATTGTCTGACTAACAGGTGTTTTTCATTAAGTGAATTACTGATCCTTATGAGTCTGTCCTCTATGTTAGCTGTATATGGGGAATCAAGTTTTACAAAATGAAAATAGAATATATGAAGACATGCTTATTGTAAAATTGAAAACTTTCATGCTTCCAGATTTGTAATTCATGAAGTAATTCATGAGATAGATTAAAGCTGTGGAAGAAAGTGAAGTTATTGATGGAATGATATGTATGTTTCAGTGCTTTCAAAATCTTGGTGGAGAGTCGGGAAGAGAGGATGCTGCTCATCTACCACCAAGGCCTGCAGATGATCACAGAGGTAAGGGGAGATAACTGGACAGGGGTAAGGGGAGATAACTGGAAAGGGTAAGGGAGATAACTGGACAGGGGTAAGGGGAGATAACTGGATAATCCAATGTCATTCTATATTTATATATTCACTTTATTACGAGGGCTGTTGTTGTGTATCATGGAAAGATGAAAAATCCTATGAAGTATATTGTCTGTGTCCATCTCATCACAATATCAATTTTACTGCAACCTGCTTGAGGAAATGACTAAAGTGATAATGACAAGCCAGCTAACAAATTATGCAGTCGCTGTGTTCATCGCTTTAAAGGCTTCTAGCCATCAAGTGAAGTTTGTATGTTTGATTATTTGTAGGCATTCTTCACACTCCATGCGATGTATCATGAGGCCACAGCATGTCACGTGACCGGGGATATCGTGGACCTGTTGACGATACTGCTTCATGTGCTAGAGTGTGGCAAGGAATGCCATGAGAAGAAAGGTACCGACATAATCTCATTATCCTCCTGTCTGAGAACACAAGATAGATGTTTGGTTAATTGTTCGATCAGCTTCTTCTTATTGAATGGGGTAAAATTGAATGTATTGTAACGCAAGCTGTATCAAACATATTTGTCTCTTTCCCCCAGGGAGCCAGTTGGCTGATGCTAAAGCATACTTGTTGAACTGGGAGGAGAGAAACGAACTGCCAAAGAAACTGCTGACTTTGCTCAATTCCTACACCCCACCAGAAGTCCGGTCAATCAGTATAGGTGAGTCTTACAATCATATTGATGTCGCATAAAATCTTTTGATCTCAATTATGGACTACTGTTGTTAGCTTGAGGTACTTTAACAATCTCTGGAACTTTGGTCTACCATCAGACTTTGACAAATGTACACGTTAGTTCCCCTGATGTTTACCTGCAGCTACAGTAGAAACACGGGAGCTTGTGGACCGCCTCTGTGGTGTAGTGGTTAGAGCGTCCGCCCGGAGAGCAGAAGGTCGTGGGTTCGATCCCCGACCGCGTCATACCAAAAGACGTTAAAATATGGTACTTGTTGGTCCCTGTCTGGCGCTCGGCATTAATGGGTACAACAAGGACTGGTCGGCTCGGAGTCAGTATAAAATGTGTGAGTGGGGTATTCATGCTTCACTGCGGCATGGTATCTCAGTGGGCTAGCACTATAAAACCAGCTTCAGTCTGGGCTAGTACAAGCAGCCGCACATACACATACATGCGCATGCACGTCGTCATATGAGCGAAATATTCTCAAGCACGACGTTAAACCCAATTTCACCTCACCTCTATTACAGGCCTAACAAATTCACAGCCACTTTGTCGTAATTACATTGCTCAAATATTTATATGATGTTGAAATACACACCCAATACTAAACTGGTTGTCACTATATGGCTGAAATAGTGTTGATATGATAATTCATCTTCAAGTAGGATGGTTTCATATCTCAAACTATCATCCCTTGTTTTCTGGTTCTGACTTGCTATTCCTTGTTGTCAGATCTGCATAGGCCTGTTGGGAGAATGAGTCTCCAGTACCCCTTATTTGTTCTAAGAGCTGGCTTTCTTAAGCGTTGGGTGGTTCCAATGTAGTTTAACAAATAAGTGAATCATTTACCTTCTTTTTTTTCAGATGTATTAAAACAGATGATATTAACATTCCAAGGCGAATGTATTGCCTGCATTGTGCCGATATTAGTCCAAGCTCATGGAGCCTTCCAGGACCAGAACATGCCAGGTAAATATCTGCGGCACAAAACAAAGAAGGAATCTCAGAATATTTCCAGTCATTACATCAAATCCCTGATTTGGTCTCAAATAAGCGATGCTTCTTGTATTGGGTGCTTAAAGTGGATGAGGCAGCAGGTTGATGAAATGGATGTTGCTCATAGTGTCAGCCACTAGTTTGTCTGGCATAGACACAGTTATCGACAAGCTGCGAAGATCTGCCTTGAATATTTATGTATATGTGTTTCTGCTAAGAGGTGTGTCTATTTTGGAAGTTCGTTATCACCAATCTTCATTTACCAATAATGTACAAAAGTAGAGAATGTGCATTCCTATATTTGTCAGTGTTTAACTTGGGGTAGATTACATATCAGTGTTTTCTCTCATTATGCTCTGAATCCGCTCATCTCTTGCCGATAATTGAAAGTAAATGTCAACCAACTGAAATTTACTTTTAGGACTCATTCTTGTGAACTTGTAATTATGACAAAGGTCTTGTCCTTAATGTGTGCCAGAATTATGCCTGTCCAGTTGAGATGAGCTGTTAATGTGATTTTTCTGCAGTGACAACTGGCCCCTACTTTCCTCGGAAAGGCCAGAAACCCATCGGGTCCAAATCAAACATCCGTCCACCTAGACCGCAGTTCCAGATGTTCCTTCATTCTAGTCAAGTTGAAGTCCCAAAGGTGAGACACAGGCCTGCTGTGGTAAAATAACCAGTGTTTGTCGAACTTTTCAACCCATATTCATGTACCACACTATCATGTGTCATACAATGCAGTTTGGTCCTCTCTGATGTTTTCACAAGATCAGTTGACAACTTTGTTTTGAAAGTCTCCAAAGGGATTCTGGGTCCCTAGAACTCTATTGTGGTCATGAGAGATGACCAGATTGATTAATGATCAGTCTCTATGCCTGATATCATAACCAGAAGCCGGGGATCTTTCACAGTATAAATCACTGTATTGTCTGGTCTAGACATGTTTATTTACATGTCATTTAGTCAACAGTTAATGTTAATGTATGGTACTTACGACTATCTTAGTGCTAAGAGAGCTTCGAAAATCTAGGCCGTGGTCCCTCTTGAACAAAGCGTTCTTAGCACTATGATGTAAATCCTATGCTAACATAGACTGAAGATGTTTAGTGATGACTGTATTCTTATATGTAGATGATTCAGTGAGATGCTGTTTCAGCCAGACTGCTGTTGTATCTGTCCCAGTTGTTGAACTTGTTTCCATTATGTTCCAGGGAGTAGATGAGGTGTATGATCAGGCATTAAATGATTTCATCATCCCATATCATCAGCTTGTTGACGTCATGTGCCGGGTTGCTGTCAACATGCAGAATCTTAGTGAATCTCTCATCAGTCTCAGTAAGTTGGTGTTTTCACAGATCCACAGGGATGAACACGTTGCTATCTTCTGTATAGTATGGGATACTGAGAGCCAAAAATCAAGAAGTAAAAAATTACGAAATCAGAGTTCTTATAAAATCTTTTGCAGGGACACAAGTCTCTCAGAGGCCATCATAAGTGTAAGCTCATTGATATATTATAAATTATGACGGAATTATGTATTTATCATGTCATTAAACATAGCAGAACAATGTATTACCTTCATGAGTAGGCAGGTGGGGCTGCCTATTGGTTTAAACGTTTGCTCGTCATGCCAAAGACCCAGGTTCGATTCCCCACTATGTCTGAAGCCCATTTCTGGTGTGATATTGCTAAAAGTGACGTAAAACGATACTAATTCACTCACCTTCATGAGTTGTATTCATTTGACATTTACCTGGTCTACAACTTTCTTTTTGTTTCAGGTGCAATGTTAGCCTTCGAGGCAGTTCCTCTCCATTCTCCATACTTTGCCAAATTGTGGGTGGAAATATACCACTCAGAGGTAGGACAAATATTCAACAATTACACTCTATTATTACTACTGAACCACTCACTTGGGTTGAGTGTTAGTACATACAGTTGGGTCAAGTATCAGTATATTCCGTTGGGTCAAGTATCAGTATATACAGATGGGTCAAGTATCAGTATATACAGTTGGGTCAAGTATCTGTATATTCCGTTTGGTCAAGTATCAGTATATTCCGTTTGGTCAAGTATCAGCATGTGCAGTTGGGTCAAGTATCAGTATATTCAGTTGGGTCTAGTATCAGTATATTCAGTTGGGTCAAGTAGCAGTATATTCCGTTGGGTCAAGTAGCAGTATATTCAGTTGGGTCAAGTAGCAGTATATTCAGTTGGGTCAAGTATCAGTATATTCTGTTGGGCCTAGTATCAGTATATACATTTGGGTCAATTATCAGTATATTCAGTTGGGTCAAGTATCAGTATATTCCGTTGGGCCTAGCATCAGTATATACATTTGGGTCAAGTATCAGTATATTCAGTTGGGTCTAGTATCAGTATATTCAGATGGGTCAAGTATCAGTATATACAGTTGGGTCAAGTATCAGTATATTCAGTTGGGTCAAGTATCAGTATATACAGTTGGGTCTAGTATCAGTATATTCCGTTGGGTCCAGTATCTGTATATTCAGATGGGTCTAGTATCAGTATATTCGGTTGGGTCCAGTATCAGTATATTAGGTTGGGTCAAGTATCAGTATATTCAGTATATTCAGTATCATACAGTTGGGTCTAGTATCAGTATATTCAGTTGGGTCCAGTATCAGTATATTAGGTTGGGTCAAGTATCAGTATATTAGGTTGGGTCTAGTATCAGTATATTCAGATGGGTCAAGTATCAGTATATACAGTTGGGTCTAGTATCAGTATATTCAGATGGGTCAAGTATCAGTATATACAGATGGGTCTAGTATCAGTATATACAGATGCATCTTATATCCTTACTCCTTACTCCTTGTGTTCTGCAAAAAGCTAATGATGCTCTCTTGGTTCTGTGTGACAGCAGGTTGATCGTAACTACATCAAGATCTTGTGCAACACCAGTTCTTTCATTGACTACGTTGATGCAGTGCTGCTGGATGAGCGTCTGTCCCTCAACAACCACATCATCTACCAGTTCTTCTGCAGTTTCTTCCCCAAGGTCCACCAGCAGGTGCTCAATGACCAGGGCCGCTCACTGCTAGACAGCCTAGTTGCCTCCATCACAGCCGAGAAGGCAGCGCTGGAGAACATGAAGTCTGAGAAGGAACTTCTCACCATCTGTGAGAGAGTTAGTGGAGTGAGTAGGCTATCGTTCACTTGAGATTGGACAAAGAGCTGATGATTACACAATGCCATTTAGGGACCGTTCATAATTTATGGCTAGGGGGGTGATGATTTTTATAGAGAAGCATGTACAATGTCCATGGAACCCCCCAAGATTTATGTACAAAATCAATGACCCCCCCTCCCCTCCCATAATATCTAAGCTTAATTTTAAACATATTTTTATGTACAAAATTGCCTGGACCCCTCCCCGTACGTGTGTACAAATTGATAACCCCCCCTATCTCCCAGAACAAAATGGGTGGGGACCCCCCTCCCCTCTCTTCTCTGTTTCTTTTCTTTCTCTCTCTTGAAATGACCTCAGCCCGAGAATATATTCATACTCATGCATCATACTTTGTCTTTGATGTTCACAATCATTGTTCTAAAATCATTTTGTGGGGTAGGGCCCTGGGCCTCCTTTCACGAAGCAATGCTTACTAAGGTTAACCTTAACTCCCTTCTTTAACATTGCACTAAGGTTACCTTAGTGACTTACGATCACCTTAGTGCTTTGTGAAAGGAGGCCCCGGTTCATCATGAGATGTTTCAACAAGACAAACAAATATTTCAGGACCTGCGTGCGATGCTGCTGATCTTCACAGTGCAGATGCCGAAAACAACGAGTCCCATCCTGCTGGAGAGTCTGCACTACATCCTGCGGGTCTGCAGGGAACACCAGCAGCAACGTGCTGAGATGGAGGCCACCGCAGCTGCAGAGGCCCGCAGGCAACAGGAAGCTCTTGAACAGGAGACTGTGGAGAGTGATGCTGGTGATGAGGAAGAAGATGCCAAACACAATGAGGAAGATGAAGATTCAGGTGAGGGCATGGATCCACATTTGGTATTTCACTCGATGAAGAGTTCGGGACATTGGAGTTGCTTGTTTGGTAGTTGTGTTATGAGATTTGATGAAGGTGACTCATCCTTCTGATGGTTTGTAGTGGTGGCTAAATAGTGACTGTTATATAGTCATGGCTGGTATTTAGTATCTAGTGACAGTATACGCCATGCCTGCCATATTACATGCAGCATGGTAGTATCATTGTATGGCTATAACAATGGTACACAGTATGCACAAGTGCAATGCAACAATAATTATGGACAGAGCAAGAATGATTACGTGAAGTAATGTTGCTGCTTTACATGACAACTATTATTGTACCATATTGGCTTGTAAGTGTTGCCTATTGTGGATGGTATAGACTTGTAAATACTGATTATTACGAGGGATGGTACTCTTTAAGGTATTTACAGTATTGGTTGTAAATATTGACTATTGTGGAGGTGAGGACTATTTACAGGTACTATTGTGGAGGTGAGGACTATTTAATAAATATTGAAAATTGTGGAGGTGAGGACTATTTATGGTATTGGCTTGTAAATATTGACTATTGTGGAGGTGGGGCCTATTTATGGTATTGGCTTGTAAATATTGACTATTGTTGAGGTGAGGACTATTTATGGTATTGGCTTGTAAATATTGACTATTGTGGAGGTGAGGACTATTTACTGTATTGGCTTGTAAATATTGACTATTGTGGAGGTGAGGACTATTTACGGTATTGGCTTGTAAATATTGACTATTGTGGAGGTGAGGACTATTTATGGTATTGGCTTGTAAATATTGACTATTGTGGAGGTGGGGCCTATTTATGGTATTGGCTTGTAAATATTGACTATTGTTGAGGTGAGGACTATTTATGGTATTGGCTTGTAAATATTGACTATTGTGGAGGTGGGGCCTATTTACGGTATTGGCTTGTAAATATTGACTATTGGGACATGTTAACACGAGTGATGGTGATATTTGCAGGTGAAACTCCATCCAAGCGGAGGAGGGTGAGCAGTGAAGGTGATGTAAACGTTGAAGACAAGAAGAAGAATGAAGACACTGCTACCAAAGAAGAAGAAAAAGACACTGATAAAAGTGATTCAAAAGCAGACATATCTGATGCCAAAGACCAAACTAAAGAAGATACAGAAGACAAAACAGATACCACAGAAGCTGAATCTCCAAAGAAGACCCCACAGAAGAGTGAACCTACTCCATCCACGAGCCACGAGTCCCCTCAATCTGGTCCCCACCCTGGCACAAGCTCTGGCGGTGCCACAACATCCAGAACCACACCGGGGACGAGCTCAGGGGGCAATGTTACCTTGCAGTCTGCCCGACCAGGGGGATCAGCAGCATCTAGTCTCTCTGGGACAGCCTCTGCCTCCCAACAGACAGGGTCTCGGACTGGCGGGGCTACATCTGCTACTCCACGGGAGAAGCCCAATAGGGTGGATTTGGTGGCCAAACATATCGAAACACTCTTGGCTCTTATTGATAAAAAATGAAGGGTTATCGAGAAAGGTGAAATACCCTATCAGATGACATGACAGACTGTGATTTGTACTGTTGAATGTAGTCAGATGTCTACACTGTTGAAGGGCAGAGAGAATTTGGTGGCTGAATCAAGGGTACAGTCCTGAAAATACTTACATTATGTTTAAATGTTCCAAGATTATTCATGGATGACTAATTCATGATTCTGTCCTTTGATCCATTGAACTTACAGCAGTGAGCATTGAATCAGTAACCCACTTGTCATGTGAACCTACCTTCCATCCTTGTCTTTCAGACAGAAGCTAAGTTCACCAGAACGATTTAACAGTTGGCTGCAGACTAGTGGCTAAAGCCATGGGCGGAACCAGGGACATGCTAGATGCAGCAGATTATTTGTTGAGATATTGCATCATGCTGAGAGGGAATAGACTAGTGCAAATTGGTTCAGATATCAGAAAAGTTGATGGATAGCGAAAATAAGTTAATTGGAAAGTCACATATGCCACTTAAGTTAACAGTAAGCTGTGTTATATCTGTGGCTTATGGGCAGTTTCAGCTGATAGGAAATAAAAGCTGAAGATAGTATTATAAGCTACATTACACGATTATGTGATGATGCACCTCATGCAAGATTCAGTGCTCCTTTTCAGCCTTATGTGAGCCTTAGTATGAAGATTCAGTTGATGATTTTGTTTAACGATTCAGCTGATGTAAGATTCAGTGTGATGATTCAGCTGATGTAAGATTCAGTGTGATGATTCAGCTGATGTAAGATTCAGTGTGATGATTCAGCTGATGTAAGATTCAGTGTGATGATTCAGCTGATGTAAGATTCAGCGTGATGATTCAGCTCGTGAGATTCAGCTGAAGTAGAATTAGAAGTGATGATTCAGCTGTGAGATTCAGTGTGATGATTCAGCTGTGAGATTCAGTGTGATGATTCAGCTGTGAGATTCAGTGATGATTCAGCTGATTCAGTGTGATGATTCACTCATGAGATGATTCAGCATGTGTAAGATTTGATGTGACGATTCAACTCATGAATGATTCAGTATGATGAAACCTACTAAAACTGAATGTGATTCATAAGTAAATCTAAAACATCAATATTATTCTGAAATTGCTTCTGTTGAAATACTAGTAAACTACAGGAAATGGTAGGGATTCATAGCAAACTTCGTTCTTCAGGTCAAATGTGTAATGAACTTTGCTACAGACTGTAAATCAGGCTGATTCAGCTGCTGTAGTTTGCTGCTGCTGCTGCTGCTGCTGCAGATGGTGACTTCATCAGTGGTGTGATGTAATCCCTGTGTTAGCTGCGTAAGGCAGCGAGACTGTGATCAGTGTGGGTGGATGCAGGCTGAAGTCACTTGAGGGTGAATGAATCAAAAAGAGAAAATGAGATTGCGTGCAACTGTCAAAGTTTGAATGGTGCTAGAGAGAGATAGTTAATGGTATGCAGATAGTCACCCTTTCGGTATAGACAAAGTTCTACTAGCTTCGAGTAGTCATGGAAGGTTGTACAGATTCTTATGACCAGTGAAAGAAAAAAGCTCATTGTATAGTTTCTGTTGACAAGTTATTTATTCGTCTTTTCAACATAACAAGCATTTATTGAATCTTGACCATTGCCAAGGTAAATGTTTGGTATGCCTGATGTGGTGCAGAGTTTGTAGCTGATGACACCTGACAGCTTCAACACAACCATCTTGCTCGTATCCAGCAGCCCTGCAGTTAGAGTATGTATTCATGGTAGCCGTACATCTCAGGGATGTTGTATTTGATGTGCTACCCATAATGCCCTGTGATCATATGTAACATGCAATGGGCGTAAAGGTTCTATTTTCAACACTTACTCCAGGACAAATGATGGAAGGAAGGTAATAATGTGTATTCAGACAGGTTATTCATCAATTAACTGGACAAATTGGGGTGAAAACATAGAGAAAGGCCAGGGCAATCCATGTTTTAAATAAACTTTATTTTGTGGTTAGTACAAAAAGTAACTCATGGAAACTAGTAACATTTTTTTAAGTTAATGTGCAAGAGTATTACCACCGTTAACAACATGTAATCTGATTGTGACAAGCAACCTAGTAGTCTAAAGACCCGCACAATTCTTGTGCAGAGTTGCATCCCTTCATGCTACCAGGATCTGCAGGTTGACTCTCCCAGCTAATGCTTGTAGATTTCGCTGTGTTAACATTAACCTTCATCACTTGGGCTTTCCGTGTAACTTAACCTTAAAGACCTGTGATATTACTGAGATACTGTTGTGTTAAACCCAACCGATAAACCTAATCATGAAATGTAGGTTATTGTACCTTGAAACTGGGGGTTAGTTTGCTCCTCTGGCTAATACTCGTTGATTGATACATCTGCCATTATTAGCATCATGTGAATTTGTTTCCCTGCTATTGTTTTCGCCTTCAGTACCAGCTTACTGCCAGTGAACCATTGCAACTTCCAGTGTACTGAGTGAAAACATATGAAGCTGAGGAAATGTTTTCTGAAACAGAATTTTGCAAGAATATAAGCAGAATATTATATAATCTTGGAAAATGGGTTTCTCTTCTACCAGGTAAAGCAGGTTACCTGTCGTGTATCATTGATGCCTTTTAGCAATTAACCGTTTTGTTAAATGTTTCAGATCTGATCATTTTGAGGAGTAAGACTATGTTGACTTCAATATTTCACAGTGAATGCTGAAGTAAGATTTGTTAGTTTTGGCAACATGAGGGAATATAGCATGCTGGACAGGATCATGTTGTAATGCATCAACACCAAATAGGCTTTCATCTTGTGATCCTCCAACTTATGTACATTGACTAACCTTGGTACAAATGCACCACAAGCAGACACTAAATGCTATTTGTGCTTGGGCAATTGTTGTGATTCTGGCACGTGTATTCTGCTTCATGAGGCAAGGCTTCAAAATGAATTGTATTTCTTGGCCACAGACATTGATGGCCATATGATTATGTCCACGTAACATATTCTAGATGTACTAATTATAAAAACTCAGATTTTGGGTGCTATGTTTCAATCAAAGACTGTGTAAAAGAGTCCAGTATGAAATGCTATTGTTAGGATAACAGGGCCTAGATTTTTGAAGCTCTCTTTGCACTAAGATAGTCTAAGTGCCATACATTAACGTTAACTTACGACTATCTTAGCGCTAAGAGAGCTTCGAAAATCTAGGCCCAGGTTGTTAATTGTAGAATGAACAAGATCATAAAATGACAAGCTCTGAAGGAACACTTTGTAAAATATAGGGAAGATACTGATCCTTCACCGTAGGTCATGACACCTATCCAATACCTTTCTTTATGCAGAGAGGTATTGTAATGGGAGTAAATGATCTGATTTAAATAGCATTGAACCTTTGACTACACATTCATACTAAATGCCACATATTGTTCGATACACAGACCACATATGCTCTCCAGCCTTCTCGCATTTCAGCTTTTAAAATCTGATTTCAATGTATACTTGGTTTTATCTGTACATGCCATCATGCCTGAAATGTGTACATTAAGCTGCTATCCTGCATTAGTGCTGTGGAAACATGGAACATAATATGCATAAAACACTTATCCCCACTGCCAGCTTACGTTTCTGTGCAAGTCTCATCATGACCCAAGAATTTCTCAAAATATATGTAGATGTAGTGTTGACATTTCTGATGTGCCAAGACTCTCGTGTGTATGATTGTAAGTCATTAGCCATAATACAGCCTAAAATCCAATGGCATGTATTCCGACTTCATCTGTATATAGTTGTCACGTTGCATTGTAATTTATGGGCAGACTGCTGAATGTGATGGGAGCGTGTGATGTTCAGTCAATGTGATACATGGATGTACGTTCTCAAAGCTTGCCATTGTCGCTGCAGTCTATATTTTGTATTGTACATCTGGGATATAATAAAAAAGTATTCCAGGTTTACAGTGTCTTTGTGTTCTATCTCCACCAGGTGTGTTGAACGTTGTGTGGATGCAATGGATGCCTTAAGGGGCTGCAATACATCTACCCATGATGATTCGGGTTAAAATTGGTCTTCAGCAACACATGCTTGTTGTAAAAGGTGTCTAATGGGATCAGGTGCTCAGGCTTGGTTGACATGTTATTGTAGCCAAATTGCTTACATCAAAGCTCATAACGTTGATCACTGGACTGTCTGGTCCAGACTCTTTACAGACCACCTCCATATAGCTGGAATATTGGCGAGTGCAGCATTAAACAACAAACAAACAAAGCATTACATCTTGTTGAATCGTAAGGTTGTAGCATGTATGTTAAATGGCATTTCTATTTGTATTTGGGAAAAAAGTAAGATCACTTGGCCCATTTTTGATTTACAATGGCAAAAACAGTTTGCACAGAGATTCAGGTAATGTAAAATGTACCTCATGGTCCCAGCCCGTGGACATCAACAATACCCTTTTTTCTGATACCTTTTGTCCTCTAACATTAAGAACAACCATTTAGCTTGTCCCAAACAACACTGATATAAATCCACCAGTATTATGATGCTTGACCATGGAACCAATTATCAACCAAATTGGCATATCTTAGGTGTCAGAATTGTGACTATGGATACAAATCACAGATTAGCCATACTTTTATTTACCTCTTTGCCAGCCAGATCTCCATGCCAACCACAAATGTCTAAAGCCAGCATCACTTTGGCTTTCCATCCAATCAAGGTGAAGTGCCATGATGTAACAGAAATACTGTTCTTGTGTTAAACAAAATTTGGTCTGAATCAAAACGACAAACACACTTGATACTTTCAATTTATTCATGCACAAAGTGATGAATTATTTTGAGTCAAGTCTCATGAATGTTGAAGAAATACAGGATAGATTCATCCTTTTGTGGACACCTCCATTACAATATACTTAGCCAGTTGAAGAAGATGCAAGGAACTAGTAGAGGCCAAAACAATAAATACATGCACACAGCAATACCTAACCAGCCATAGCAACCTTATCCTCTTATGACAGACACAAGACAAATCTTACAGTATGTAGCCTTGCTGACTGGATTTATCATAACCCTATACTCTTCTTTGATATTTGCTGCTATTCACATATTTTTGAAGACTGTTACATATTACAGCTTCACATTCACCCCTACACAAGTAGCAATAAGGGCCCTTCTTGGCTCACAAGATCTCTATAATTTAAATATTGAGAAAAAGTTAGAAATTCAAATGCAGATATGAATGAGAACTGGTTTTTGTTCTTTTCAACAAATATATAATTGTGATTTCAGAAGTTTTTATGAAGAATGTTACTAATATTTGAACATCAGCAAGTCGGTAAAAAAATATTATCGGATGTCACACACGTTTAATTGAAGTTTAAGAAATCAGCCTTGTCACTAATTCTGGCCATATATGTATCTGACCATGCCAAATGTCCAGATTTTGAAAGGGAGCAAAAGGAAAATGATTTCGAACATTTAAACAGATCTGATAATTTTCAAACCATTAGTTAAAAGTTGTTTGCAAATTTCAAATTTCCTGAGAGCCAAAAAGGGCACTTATACCCTTCTTTGAATCTAACAACTCATTCATTCATACTCACTGGGGACAACACAACACTGGGTGTCCCAACATGTAAACAGCAGGCACACACAATATGAGAACCATAGAGAACATTGTTTTGTCATCTGAACTGACCAGACTACCTGGTATGACGCACCTGAATCAGCTGACAAACCACTGACAGGAAGTCATGTGCATCCTGTATGCTCAAGTAGAATGGATGCAGGAAAAGAAGATATTGCCTCCTGAGGTATGTAACGACAATTATAGTGCTAACTTAACATTGTGGAATAGGGTCCTGAAAATTCATGCTACCTAACATACCCTTGAAATCAATTAGTGTGGGTTGCCTTGACACACAGTTGCTGTTTTAAAGTCATGGTAAAATCACAGAATCTAGAGCAGATATTTGCCTATATCTGGTTCAGACTTCTCATTTCATGATGCAACAGCTAAATTTCAGGTCCATCATCCTAAAACACTGATTTACAAGGAACAAAAATTCCCTTTCTATTTCCAACACTGTTTAAAAATGTGACAACAATCAACAAAAGGGTACACAAAATATACATTCAGTTCCAATTTATGAATGTGTTTTTCCTAATGCCCTATTGACATTCAACATTAAGTTTCTGGACATTTGGTTTTCTACCAACTGTTCGAATGAATACTCAATATACACTTATCTGAACAGTTCATATCACAATACTAGTATAAAAAATGTCATTCTCTCACAAGCAGAAATTCTGGAGGCATTTAAATACAGACAATGCACACGTTTAGCATGTAGATTCTCAGCTGTTTTTGATTGACACAAGGTTGAAAAACAAGAAATATCCTGAATAGTTGACTCAGTAAATGCAGCTGTTCCTGAACACATCTTGAGATGAATGGAATCTCGTACAGAACATCCAACAGGAAAATCTTCATCCATACAATACTTCAACCATTCTTTTTCTTTGTATCAATCACAAGCTTATGTGTGAATTTCCTTCACGAGGTCCTGGTTGGCAATGTTGACCTTGACCCCTAGAGGGAATGCTGACGGCACACAATCACACTATGATGTGTACAATAAATATCCCATATAGAGAGCATCTCCTAGAAAGTCATTATTAAAAAAGTTTTCTATGTTCTCCTGCATCAAAATAACTGAGCCGAGAATCCAAACACCTGATTCATGCGTTGCCAGTAATGGGTTGTCCAGCCCTGTAACGTACTGTCGTACTCGGAGTCAGGGACCCCCTCTTGGGTTAACCTAAGCACAGTTGATGCATCCTGCTCGTCTAGTTCTATAGTCACATCAGAGTAATGGTCAGCTGGCCAGGATTTGATCCTCCACTTCTGGACAATCTTCTTCTCGGGCACCTACAAGAAACAGAAATGTTTAACTTTAAGTGAGTGAGTGAGTGATTGAGAGTTTGGTTATATGCCACTTTTAGCAATATTACAGCAATATCACGGCAGAAATGGGCTTCACACTTTGTACCCATGTAGGGAATCTTTCTGTTTGGTGTGGCGAGCCAATGCTTTAACCACTTGGCTACCCCACCGCCCTGAAATGTTAAAGTCACATGCAGATGTATCACTCTTAACATCAGAACATGTTTTGGTGCTGTTCAGTGACAATTTCCTTGTGAACAGGATAAAACTGTTGTCAGATTATTTCACCTACCTTTTCATTGCCTCTCAGGGAAGATTTACCTTTATCTACCGGTACCTATTTTAGGGGAAATTTGTGGTGGGTAGTTTGCCATGATGTGAATACTTTCACATATATTTTTCTTCAAAACATATATAGAAAATCTCATCTGAGTCTCTTTTGATATCAGATATTTCAACACAAGTCGATAAAGAAATCATTGCCCTAGAGGCTTAACTATTTATTGAGGAGTCTGTGAAGAGTATGAAGAGGTGTCTTTATCTCTAAAAATTACAGTTAACAAGCATGGGTTAAAGGTTAGTGATTTCATGTAATTCTGATGTTCCAGTAACAATTGAATCACAACGGTCTGCAAAGCATTGGGGGTAAAGAAATGCTTTATCTTGCTCAAACAAAATCTGTGGAAGGCAGTTTTGTAAGATATATGAACAGAGTTTTCAATCACTTACCAGATCCACAAATTGCCCTGTGACATGGCCGCCCATCAGTGAGAACCTCTCTCCTTTGGCAGCTTCTAGTGTAGCAGGTCCACCAGTAAATGCTTCCACCATCTACAAATGAGGAAGAGGGGTAATTGTATTTTAAACAGAGAGGGAAGTCCAGGCCAATCTAAACCGCACTTCTACCTGGTGTCAGTGAGTGCATGATAGATATACCTATCTGCTTGTCAGTGAGAGCAAGGTAGAAGTACCAACCAGCTTGTCAGTGACAGCAAGGTAGAAGTACCAAACAGCTTGTCAGTGACAGCAAGGTAGAAGTACCAAACAGCTTGTCAGTGAATGTATGATAGAAGTACCTACCCCCTTGTCAGTGAGAGCGGCTTGTCGGTAAAGGTCAGCAGCCCGGCATTTGAACTCTTCCCTTGCCGTCAGTTGAACTCTTTCTTTCTTGGTATGGATCTGCACCCCAAGTGCCTCCATCTGCTGGCTGCAGGCCTTCACCACTTTATTCATTTCTTCCTTGGCTTTGTTCTGGAATATGAAGAAAAGTACTGATAAATATGTGTTGAAGATAGTCATGTCATGATGGATACTCTATCCAAGGGCACTTGCACAACACTGACTGAGTTTGGTTTTACGCCGCTTTTAGCAATATTCCAGCAACATTACGGCGGGGGACACCAGAAATGGGCTTCACACATTGTTCCCATATGGGGATTCGAACCCGGGTCTTCGGCGTGACGAGCCAACGCTTTAACCACTAGGCTACCCCACTGCCCCCATTTGCACAACAAAACACCTGGATATATGTTTGAGCCGAAGAGATGGTCACAAGGTGTGATAACCAGACCCATTCTACACGCTATGCTGGGATGATATTGCTTTTCAGTGGATTTATAATGAGAGATTGATATCAGCCTGTGTGGTAAGAAATTGGAGTCATGCCCCTTGGTGCACCATCAGCACAGCTAGCCCAAACAATGTCCTCCGAACAAGATGAAAATGTATAGAACTTACTTGCAAACAGATATAAAAAAGTGTCATATGCTATTTGCACAGTGAACAATATATATACCACCCGTGTTTATCATTTCTGGAAATGATTTCATCAGGAACAAACTCTACTCACCTCTTTGCTTGCTACCTTTGGAGCTGAGGCTTTGGCACAGTCCTTTGTTGGTAAAATTATGCCTTGACCATATTCTACAAAGAGAACAATCAAGCTAAAGACTTAGTAAAGTACTGTCGGAAATAGAAAACAACTGTTATTAGGCTGTTACTCTGTATCCCTAAAATTTACACAACTGCAAGTAGCATATGTTGAAATAACTCACATCGGCCTAACTGGGCGTTCAGTGGGATGTGTAATAGGATATCCAGAAGTGCATGCTTACTCGTAAAATAGGGCAAAACTTAGAAAAAATATGAATAGCTGGTGAAAACAATAGATCAGACTATAGATGGCAATTAGGTTGCTGAGCCAGGTATGACAACGGATCGTCGACTCACCTGGCATGAAATGCATGTGCTGCCTACAGGCACAAGGGGTCATCTCAAAGATATTTTGTGCTTTTTTTCATGTGTATTGAATATGTCTCATCTATTGATTATCATCGTATGTGTCTTTCATAACGTTTATGTTGAGATATGTAAAAGAATATGATACCCATAGAAAAGCTTAAATCAACTATCGCATTAAATGTCTCAAAATATATTGGTGGCAAGACCACCCAAAGACCGACAGGACTGGATTATTATTTGTTAATTGTTAAGACATGCCATTTACTTCCCCCAGTTTAATTCCCCTAAAGGATTATCTTATCATAGCTGATATCTCTAATCCCCCAGTACGACCCCAACCACCGTCTGCGACACCTGGTTTTGCTTTTGAGACGACCCCTTCTACCTGTTTCTTTTTATAGTGATAGTATAGTGACGCTCCATGGTAGCTACATCCTTCATAGTTTCAGTTTTAAAGTTAGTATTTTTTACGTCAGCCATCGTTTATAATGAAGCTAAGTCTAGTTTCAAAATAGGCATTTAAAAAGGGTCCTTTAAAATACAATATCATTGCACACTAATTTGCATAAAGCCATGGTCTGTTCTAAATAAGTTGCTTTGGACTTAGAAAAGCCTGCATTGCTCATTTCTGCATTTCTCCTCAGTAAAGTCCTTTTTTTAACGTTACCTATCTCCCTACCACTGAGACTGTAGTTAGGCCGAACTTAGTTTAACAGATATTTCACACTTTCACAATTTAACTTCATAAATTGTAGATATATATGTGAAAAAACCAGTTTTTTTCTATTTCCGACAGTACTTTAGTGGTGACAATAAGCCATTGATTTCTCCAACAAATAACACTCAAGCCACTGCTACAAGAGTGAGTTATTTGTATTGATCTTAGAATAATGTCCTTAAGATTTCAATTACAAATCACTCTTTGTGTTTTGAAAATTGATAATGCTGTACTTCGTATGTTCGTGGAAATAATGTGGATGGAATCGGAAATGTTAATTGCTAATAGGGATGAATACATGTAATTAAGTAATTTATTATGTACCATACAAGTAATCAAGTTCCAGCCCAACAACATGGCAACACACTGATACAAATTACAAGAGTGAAGACATAGGATTGGAGCTATATCAAGATTGAAGGATATATGCGTTAAAGGACTGTCCTACATAATAAATTACCTTCTCGCAGTTTGTTTATATATTCCGATATCTTTTCCTGAATAACTGTGGTGCCAACTTTCCTCATGATTTCTTTCACTTCTGTGGCATCATCACTCTGTGCTTTCACAGGTAACATTCACCTGTCAGGAAGAATAACAGATAATTAACATATTTAAAACCTAGCATGTTTACTATATCATCTGTATTAAACACTAAGGCTGTAACGATTCACTCGCATATTCGGTGAATCGAACCGTAGCCCTTCATGAATTCAACTCGTTATTCGTGGTCACCAGAACTGAATATTAACGAGTATTTACAATTTTTTTAAGGGAGCATGTTTTACTTGAACCCTTGTGTACTTTTGGAAAGTGAGATATGCAAGAATTGAATATGCAGTAGCGCAAGTCATGTGAGTTTGCCAAGGCCACACATGGTACTGCCATCATCTATAACTATTACATACCAAATTTGAGTGTCATGAGATCACTGGTTATTGCTGTGACAAATCAAAACTGTCAACATGGGCATTCCATATTGTACACCAATAACTTAACTACAATATTGTATTCGTGAATAACTATTCGTATTTGTTACCCAATATTCATGATACGTATCATATTCGCCACATAGTGTATTCGTTGCAGCCTTATTAAACACCCTGCTCCAATAAGTGCACTTGGATAAGTTACAGTTTCTAGATCAGTCTGTAAGTATTCATTATAAGTGACCCCATATAAAACAGAAAATTTACGCATTATTTTGTGTGTATCATGACTTATATACAGAAAGCCGCAGTGCAGAAAGGTTATCTCAATTTGTTTTTCAAAAGGTTTCAGTTTCCTTGACATTTGAGTGAAGTTCTTCACCATCATGCAATCTCTGGCAACAACTTTTAACATGTTTCCTGTTTTAATAAGTGGATCTTTGTTACTTTTCTAAACACCCAGAGTCCTTATTACATCGAATACAGTAATAGTATCAGGAGGAACATTTCCTGTTAAAAACTACCCGTGAAGATCTGGGTTAGAATTGATCTTCAGTAACCCATGACTGTCGTAAGAGGCGACTAACGGAATCGGGTGGTCAGGCTCGCTGACTGGGTTGACACATGTCATCGTATCCCAATTGCAATTGATCACTTGATTGTCTGGTCCAGACTCGATTATTTACAGACCGCTGCCATATAGCTGGAATATTGCTGAGTGTGGCGTAAAACTAATCTCACTCACTCACTCTTGTTAAAAACAAATCATGGTAATGTCTCACTGATCATGTAATACACACTTCTTGTGAAACATGCACATCTGAAAACATCCATATTATCATTCATTAAAGACTCTAGCTATCTGACTGGCCAGTTGTTGTCTTGCAAAAACCCATGCAGGTTGGCAGGATGGATACAATGACATAATGCTTGAGGTGACCTCTACACTTGTCATACAATAACTGACACTGAATTCTTCACTGAAATACACCTTTGAACTTCTGATTATGTAATTTTCTGACTAAAATTGATATTTTATACTTATCCTGACTCATGCTAATTATGCTTGTCTCCTTCCTCTTGCGAATTATGGTGGAACACTTGAAATCCCTTGAAGTTCCCTTTAAAAAAGCGGACGTAAAATCACTCACCCAAGAGTAGCGTCCCTTTCCTCCCTTGGGCGCCCAAATGGTCACATGATCGGCCATATTTGTCACTCTCTCCGTATGTAAGCCTGACACCCGGATTTACAGGGAATTCCAGAGTGCCATAAGAGGGGAGGTTGGAAGGGCTAACCTCATGAGTCAGGATAAGTATAAAATATTAATTTTAGTCAGAAAATTACATATTTTCCCTTATCCTGACTCATGCTTGCAGATTCCGTCGGAAACGGTGGTGGGTCAGGCCACGTTCTGGATTCACTGGTTGTAGATTTACGTCCTGTATTACCCCCCTTAGGAACTTATGACGGCACTGTTGAAGATTCTTTCAACTTCTCTCTGATGAGTCTGGGGGGACCACAACTTGTCAGATTTCTTCCGAAACTTCTCCTGACATTTTCGTGTGGATTTTAGATATACTAATATTCCATTAGTTATCTATTGCAACTCCATCTTCATGTACGAGTATGTCCTATACAAGTACAGGGTCTATCACTCATGTTAGTCTGGACTTTAACCATTTGCTCTCCAGAGCGTTGGTTTTCACAAGTCATGTGATAAAAAGGGTGAGATTTTCTCAGCGGACAAGTGGCCCAAACTGGTGAATGCCAGAGACGTCTTCGGTGGCAATGTCTCTGAGGTAGTGGTTGGCAAACACTGTGTTCGATCTCCAAAAGCAGCCCTCCATTATAGTTGTAATCGAGCAGTTTCCATGCAGAGCAAGTGTTGACGCCAGGGCTCTGACTTCATGTGGATTGGAGGCTCCTGTGGAGGCTCAAGTCCTGCTGCTTTATAGGCCCTTAGTATAACGGCTCTCATCCAGATCGATATCGTTGTCCGAGAGACTTCCGTGGGCGTCTCAGTGGATAAGGGGATGAACAGGCTCTTGAATTTTTCGTCTCCTTATTTTGTCCTTTGTAGGTAGACTTTTAGTGCTCTGACAGGGCATAAGGATAGATCCTGTGTATCCTGTGGCCAAAGGACTGTAGAGTGCTGGGATGTGGAACTGTCTGTCAGGCTGGCCGGGCAGTTGGTTCTTGGCAATAAAGTCCCATCTCAGTGTTGTAAAGCGTTGATCACTGCTTTCATCTCCAACAAGTTGATGTGCAGACTCTGATCCTGACTCAACCACTTCCCTGCTGCCACTTCGTTGTCGAGGTGGGCACCCCATCCTTGTAGCGATGCATGTACGCAGAGATGAGTGTTGCAAACCGGCTCTGACAATAAGGTTCCTCCGCAAACATTCGACTTCCGAGTCCCCCCATAGGAGGTATGGTTTCAGGCTGTCCGGTAGTATCAGCGGATTCAGACTGTGGAGATGGGCGTTCACAAATATTTGTAGTGGGCACAGCTGTAGTCTCCCTTTGCGAGTCATGTCTTGAGCTGAGGTGAGTAGACCAAGCATGCTTTGCCAAGCACGTAGTGTCAACGGAGAGAGCATTACTTGAGATATCATATGTTGTATCTTGACCCAACGATCCTCTGGGACGACTGTGTGATTCTGTGGTGTGATGAGCCATATTCCCAGCAATTGAAGATCCTGTTTTGGTTCCAACTCTGATTAGGAGATCACTAGGCATCTACTGCAATCATATCCTACGTTGTAGGTACGTGGATCTAGGAGCCCTTGCCATGTCCGACATGGAAGCGTAGAGATGATCAATTCTGGAATCATGGCTTGAAGCTTGTCTCATCAATCTTCCGGTAATATGTAATGAAGATGTTGTCACCAGAATCCGAACAATGTGCAGCGTTGATGCATAATACATCGTCTCTAGATCAGCAAAAATCTATGATGTACTGGGACTGCCATCGATGTGAAGTCTATTTATAGCCGACCGGCTGCCGCGCGCAGAAACCATCTCACGCTTGTCGCTGCAAGTCCCCAGATAATCAATATTAAGTGACCCTATGAGCCGTGAAGATAGTCGAACCACGCTGTACCCTGCTAACTGGACTGTAAATGGAGCCTTTCCCACGTTGAAAGAGTTGTTTACAACTGTAGACGACTTCCTGGCACGTGACTGTGACGTCACCAGTGTTTCCGGAAAATGATTCTTGTAGAATCTTGTGCAGTCGTTGATTTCTTTGTCAACACTCGGCTTGTGCCGGAGTTACACGAGTGAACACGTGTCTTGATGGCTGAGTGGAAGCGTGCGAAAACCTCGCCGCATAATATTGATGTAAGCAGACTGTTCCCTGTCTGTTGTGACTGTATTCTTCAACTTTATAATCTTTACTGCAGTCGTCATCTTATACAGATGTTCTGTAAAGTTTACCTTAACTGATGCCTCGCTGAGAAACTGCAACAATGCTGTTAACTGTCCCTTTGATATCTTGTAAGCCCATGTGATGAAATTTCATCATCAGTGTTTCATCGGATTTTATCTGACATCGTTACTTCAGGTGTGTGTCTCTTCCTTCAGCCACACGTTGATCCAACATAGCCAACATCTAGTTGTAGTGTCCAGTTGTGTTATCTTTTTATCTTGAATATCTATTATGGGATTCACTGATGATCTTGTAATCCCAAACCCTGATGTATCATGAAGGGCTCCGTATGATGAAGGGGAAATCTGCTATCATTGAATGGCGGGACATGCTGACTCTGATTATAATCCTCCCCGTGAATGCCTGCGCGCAGGTTGATGAAGGTCCAAGTTGGAAGATCTGTATCTGCGCAGTCTGTAGAATCCTGGAGAACGACTGGATCTACTTCTGTGTTAGAATCCATCCTGCTGAGGCGCTGAAACTGCGTGGAAGCCCCATTGTGGACTGCTAACGCTTAGCTGGCATTCGTTGAATCCTCCAGGCTTTTAACTGCTGATACTTCTGATGGTAAAGATCTTCGCAAACGTAAACGTTCGAGCAGGCCTTCATCCGAGAGAGCTAATATTCCTTCGTGCAGGTCGACTGTCATCGGAGGGGTCTGCTATGCTGAGCTGACGTTAGTAGGGTTCTCCAGACTTCTAACTTCAGACAGTGAAGTTAGACATTACCTTATCTGAAGATCCATAATGACGTGAGTCTCTGTATGTAGAGCTACGTGCAGGTGTCACCGTGTATTCCTCCTGGAGTCTTGAGATATCTTTCTAAGCCTTCACGAAGGCTGATTGACGTAATCTCCACTCTCTCTATGGGATGATCTGTATGAAGACCTTCGCCCAGGCGTGCGATCCCGATGCAATCTTGAATCCTTCCTGGAGGTTTGAGATATTTTTCTAGGTCTTCGCGAAGGTGGATTCTTTGAAAGTAGCTTCCCCTCTGTAGGAGTGCTTTCGTGCAGGCTCTTGATGGACGTCAGAGTCCGATGGAGATGACGACTCGTATCTGTGACGTCAGTAGGGTTCGGGAGAAAGCCTCGATTCCTTTCTGCGTGGAGACTTCTTAGCAGCACTCTCTGGGGCGTCTACTTCAGATGGGGAAGATCGTCATGTCCGTGAGCCTTCGCGCAGGCTTCCCTCTTCATCCAGATGTGGTGGGGAGACTGTAGAGCCTTCACGCAGGCTAGTAGACGTTGTAGCGGTCTTCATAGCAGCCTTCTCCTGAGCGAAGCGACGTTCCATCATCGACATCATCTGGTCTGTAAACTGTTGCATGAACAGTCCCAGGTTGAAGTTCTGCGTTGTCTGAAGAGACTGCTGCAGGGATGATGCATCTGATACTGAAGAGACGTCATCTAAGGCTCGCTGCACTCGTGAAGAGTTGACGCTGCTGCTATCTCTGGTACCCGATGTCTGCGTTGATAGTAGGTCTTCTGTCAATGTCTGCGCTGATACCAATGCCGATGTAGCTGTAGAAGCAGGCTCCGTCTTCTTACTGACGATGGTGACTTCAGGTATGAGGATGGGTGGATCATCATAAACATCTGCTTCTTCCGGAGGAACAATCTCGGCTGAGAAAGACCACGTCTTTGTGTAGAGCTGATCTTAGACTTCGCTGAAGTCTTCATGGTAGTAGCCTTCTTTTTCTGCAAAGATGAAGATTTGGTCTTCTTCATCTGCGATGAGGTCAGCTCAGTAGGCGATCATCTCTTATGGCCTTCGGCGTTCACCCCTGGTACATCGACCTGCTCCTGAGAAACGTTCAGCAATTCACTAGAATTATGAATATCTGCAGCAGTGGTTAACACACGGTTATCAGCGCAGTCACTCGATTTAGACATGACGTGTGAATACCTACGTACCCAGTCCTTAGCATGTCTATGGATGGAAAAAAAGGTAATTATTAAATTCAACCAAATTTAATTTTACACTATACTTACGAGAGCTGAAAGAACATGAAACAGTGCAATTAGGACATAATAAACGAGGGTCAGTCATAGACACTCGGTACCTACAACGAATACAAGTTTTCATGAAATGTACATATAATCCTAAAAAACGTATACAGCAATAGGTTTGATGTAAGGTCCGAAAATTTAAAAGGATATGTGCCGTATAGGGACCCAGGTGCTCTCACAACCGTCCTCAAGGGCGAAGAAGGAGAGAGTGACAAATATGGCCGATCATGTGACCATTTGGGCGCCAAAGGGAGGAAAGGGACGCTACTCTTGGCTGAGTGATTTTACGTCCGCTTTTTTTAAAGGGAACTTCAAGGGATTTCAAGTGTTCCACTATCATTTGCAAGAGGAAGGAGACAAGCATAATTAGCATGAGTCAGGATAAGGAAATATTTAGGGTTGTGGTGTGCATTTATAAACTATTCACCAGCTGTATTTTACTTCCTTGATACAAGTGTTAGTATCTACACTGAAATGTTGCATTGACAGTAACAAAGAGGAATATCCACAGAAGAATTGTTCTTGTTCAGTATTTCTACACTTGATGATAATTATACTTTCCATCATATATAATCATTGTCAGCTCATTGAGCTTATTCTTCATTTAACCTAAGTTCAGTGTATGAAGACAGTGAACCAGGTCATTGGAAAGACATCAGATTCAATAGCCAAACATAAAGTAAAAAATATGTTAAAGATTTTTTTCCATGACTAAAGTAACCTTGAAAGTAAATGATGGAAGTTCTTGAAGTTCTTCTGAGAAGTATATTTGGCTCTAGAAGCTACCATGAGCATGATCAGATAATGAGCGAAGCCCTGAAATAATACCTAATTATAAACAAAGCATTTTGCTTACATCAATTTCATGAGCATCATTTTCCTCACTCAAGTTTGGTATGGTAAAGGTGCCTTTGTAGTTCTTCTTGGAGTCTTTCAAACTACCTGAAAAGATACCATAAAAATATTCCTGAAACACTGTGCAATGCATCATCTTTAAACATGATCATCGACTTAGTGTCGACTGGGACACAGGTTGAAGCATCTAATCAACTAGTTGATTATTAGTTAATATAGTTGTTTAACCCGCACACAAACTATTTCCAGCTATACGATTGCGGTCTGTAGATAATTGAGTCTGGACCAGTCAATCCAGTGTTTGACATCATGAACATCGGTCCATGCAATTGGGATACAACAGCATGAATCAATCAAGTCAATGAGTCTGGCCACCTGATCCCCTGAGACACCTTTTACGACAGGCATGGGATGAAGAAGACTAATTCTAACGAAGTCTTCACAGGCTGATCTTTAGGTGAATGTCCCAAAGTTAATTATTAGTTTGAAATCATGTTAGTAATTACATGCATAGCCATAATGACTGAAAATCCCTGTAATTAGTCAGTTTTCGTTCATAAACCTTTAAACCATGACAGTCTGATCTTCATTTGTTGGTTGATTACTGTAGCAGCATTTGAGATTTGATAGTTGTTTCATTTGTATCGTTTGATAAACTAATTCAGTTATTCCAACCAAAAAATGTGAGATGGGGAAGCAGATTACAATTTTCAAAATACAATCAGTGCTTGAATTTAGGCACAAAAGTCAAGGGGTCTGCATAATATTACTAATATCAAAAGCTTCCTTACTGTTCGAATTTCCAGATTTTATAGTAAAAGAGCAAACTTCAAGGATCCCAACTTGTTGATTTCAAACACTACTATCGAGATATAAGAATTCTTCCATGTATTCCTGGTGTACTGACCTGACCATTTTCCAGTGACTTCAAACTCATAAAAGAAGATGAGTTTACCCTTTCTGTTGTTGGCTGTTGCCTCACCCTCCACCTTGGTGAGCTCCTTCACTACACAGCTTCCTATAGACACATATACAACAGTTATAGTCCGTTTGGCTCATAAGCGGACCAATGAATTGCAATCTAACTCGAAAACTAATAAACATAAAATACTCAATGAAACGCTGATCATAATCAAAACATCAGACCAACTCTGTGATTTGTTTGCAGAATTTATGTTCTAAAATAAAATAAGTTGTTTAACAAACTATCATTAAAAGTTTGACACAGTTCACTATTTGTTACGAAGGAGGAGTGCAGAGAAAGGGACAGCCAGGTGTTAGAGAAGCAAGTGCCGACAACGTTATTGATTCATTAACCTGTGCTGTCCCATCTCCATCCTTTCTCGCACACCTGGCTGTCCCTTTCTCTGCACTCTTCCCTCGTAACAAATAGTGAACTGTGTCAATATATTTAGTGTACTTGCATGTAATGCAGAGATTCAGAACTTTCTTGTCAGCGAGGCGTGGCATTGTACGTACATCAAAAGTACCGCTTCGTGACGTCAGTCGAGACTTAATTTACGAGCTAGCATGATTATTTCCGCGATCCACGAATCAAGATTATCAACGGAGTTAGGTTACAGTTCTGTATATATTTTGGGATTCAATTATAGCTGCATGTCAAAATGACAGACTAATGTACATACCCTTTTCATTTTCAACTTCAAGGCCATTGAACAGCTCCTTCAGTTTATCTTGCGACCAGCTTGTTGCATTCTTCTCAACCCTGAGAAAAACAAAACACAGACAATTAAATTGGTTATATCCAAAGACAAACAATGCTTACAAGTGAGTGAAATTAGACATCTCGTTATTGTATTTGTTTCTTTTTCGCTAAACTTTAAAACGGTTAGAATGCACTTTACCGGGCGCAGCCCTCGCTGCTCCCATTACGATCCTTAGGATCGTAATGGGAGCGGGGTAAGTATATGCCACCCTTTACGATCCTTAGGGTTTAGGGTTAGGGAACCCCAGCAGCGCTAATTAATCTGAAAAAGTGCGCCCGGTAAAGTGCCTTTAAAACCAGTGAAAAGTCCAGCTGTTGAAACATTAATTCATAAGTAATCAGTTTGTAACTGTCAAGTATTTCCCCATATTCATACATAACAGAGAGCAAATGGTCAACTCGGCCACTTACCAGTGCCAGTTGTTGACATTCGTCGCGTCGGGCCTTTCTTCAACGATCCAACGAGGATCCCCTTCTCCCCATTTCGCCATTATCAGCAGATTGTACGTTTGTGTTGTGGTCGGTTTCGATTTAGGAACCGTTCAGAGGGTTTGATAAGCTCGTTATGAACTAACCGGTTATCTACTCGCCGCAAACATGCGTTTCTCGAAACTACGCCGGATGTTGATATATAACGCCACCTGCATGACAGGGGGAGGTAAGTGTGACTGTACTAAAGTTTGATGTCAAGATTTTGTACAACTGTTGAACGACAACAAACAATGGTCGCGCAGAAAACCCATGCATTACTGCATATATCCATTTGTTCACTCTAACAGATAATTCAATAAATGATCATGAACAGCAGATCTTAAATGTGATTTTACTAGCGCTTCGACAAATCTGTACTAGCACGCAAATGTGCAAGTGACTTTTAAAACGTAATTGCATTAAGCTGCTGGATGCTTCTGTTTCACAGCGGCGACTAGTAAATTTAGAATGTCTGTCTTCATACGACGTGTTTTATCTTCACTAATTTGTCACTTTATAACACAAGTAGATCTTCTGGATGATCCATAAGTCCGTAATCAGCCACATGGGGATTCTTTGTAGAAATAGCCGTTGCTTGACTCACTGAACTGAAGGAATATATTTGTTGTATTTCCTGTCGACCCGAGAAGATCCGGGTTAGAAATGATCTACAGTAACCCATGCTTGTCGTAAGAGGCGACTAACGGGATCGGGTCGTCAGACTCGCTGACTTGGTTGACACACGCCATCGTATCCCAATTGCGTAGATCGATGCACATGCTGTTGATCACTGGATTGTCTGGCCCAGACTCAATTATTTACAGACTGCCGCCATATAGCTGGAATATTGCTGAGTGCGGCGTAAAACTAAAGTCACTCACTCACTGTATTTCCTGCCCGCGTTTGTGTCACTGAACTTACTCTGCACAATCACGTACACGAAGACATTTTTAGCATCACAAATCATTGAACGGATCACATCCTTGTACATTTTTCTCGTATTTTCCACTACAGAATGGAAGGAATGACTGAGCAAACTCTACAGAATTTACCTTTCACATTCTACTGTAACATCTGCACAGATAAAGAATGTGTCTATAACGAAGCAAATCGACAAATGCTAATATTGCATACATCCATGCATTTAATTTCTCCATGTAACAATGCAAAATATGTTTTTAGTGTATCGGGAATGTAGTGATCAATTATATGTTGTTTACATTAATCTGTTTATATTTTTTTATTAATATCTTTGCAAATGATAATATTTCTGTAAGAACTTATGACGCAAAAATGCTTAGATTAAAAATGTTCTCTACGTTGTAAAACGGACACAGCGAGCAGTAAAATCATTTTTAGTTTCTCCTTCCATATTTCTTGTGTACACACTTTAGAAATCAAAACACTTAAACAAGTAGCGGTAGAAATGTGATCTTAATGATTAATGAAATAGTTAATTAGACGGATTGAATGTAATTATAAATATCCATAATTATTCATTCATCATTTACTGCATTGCCAGATACTGTTACCACGCTAAGATGGACAATTGGTTAATTAGCAGTTGGTTATATAATTAGCGGTATTTACTTATAATTAGTCGCAGTTGGTTCGTTCTGCGCTAGGGATTAAATGTGATTCAACGTACTGAACGCATTTAACCAAGAGAGCTGCCCATTTGTTACTATGGAGATTGATTGTTACAGATGTAATGCGTCCTTATATACCAAGACGTGTTTCATAATTTAGAGCTTGAGTCAATGTTAGGTCAGGTTTGTGTTTGCCTGTTACTCACGAAGATGTTGTTTACGTTGCTTTTAACTACATACATGTTGTTTAAACCTCCAACGTTGAATGATTAATTCATGTCTTTTATGTATTTATTCATAACCCATTAACCAAAGTATTATACAAAAGATATTTACTGAAATAACGGGATCTATAGCTAGTTTTATCATCATTAACATATTTCAAAACATAATTGTTATTTTTAAATAACATCACAATCGTTTTTATTCTGGGATTTATCAAGGAAGGTTTAGACATGCAACCAGTCATGCTCATACTCTTGTAATTTGTGTTTTCAATAATGTTCTTGAAACATGCCTCATTTTGTTTAGTTATCTGCTTGAATTATCTAATATAAGAATTACTTAACATAATGTTTCGACATATGGCAACGTTTAGTAGAATGCTAACCCGTTTAGCCACATAATGGGGGCCCACACATATTGTACCCGTGTTGTGAACAAAACTAGAATCAACGTCATCGCCCAGACGGAATTACGGGAAGCACTCGTAAAATACCCATCGCCTGGCCCAAACGGCCGGCAGAACGACAGCCACGCCAGCTTTGTCCATGTACTTGACTGACATTGCACCTGATCTAGACTATTTTATATGGCACGCCGATATTGCTGGAGTTTTATTGACTAAGAGTGTTAGATGCAAGATCAGTAATAATCACCTACTCACGTACACATGAAGTACGTTCAGGGAAAAGACATCACATTGATACCAAACACTAAAGGGCAACTGTGTCGGACTTTGTGCATAATTTCCATAGACTTACATGTTAATTTGGTGCAGCTAGAAAAATTGTCTTGAATTTATATTTTGTTTGACCGTGTTCATATTTTGCACGTGTGTCATGAATCATCACAGCTACAAAGATATAATTTCCGTTTTATTTTCCATTCAGTATTTCAAGAATGACCACACTTTGATTGATGCGTGTCATGACAATTTTTAACATGGCGGTCTATGGGGAAAGAATACACAATGTTGTATATATGTTGCTTATGTAACTACAATGCAGAAAATACTTGAAGGAACATTACATGGAAATTATGTATCTGTGACCAAGATGATTTCCTAACAACCTGCAACATTGGACAACCAAATAACAAAAACTGAATTAATGAAAATTATTACAGCTACACTAAAATAACATGCAAGTCTGAGTATTTTGCTGACTGCCGAATACTTATGTCCCATGACTGTACTTAACAGGTATTTTGGTCATAGCATAGACCATATGTTATATGGTCGACATCAAGTGGAGTATAGTTGGTTCACATTTCACTGAAATTAGTATTTCAGTTATGTCACAAATTTTCAGATAATTGAAGGAAGAAGCTGACGTAGGCCATGAAAATGTCACTTCTAGTGAAATCCGCAAATTGACAAACCAATATCCAGTCTAAATATGGGATTCCAACCAAAATTCACCAAATCCTGGGACTGCAACCATTATTTCAGCAATGCTTGTTGTGACTGGCGACTAACCAGATCATGTGGTGCTGACGTGGATGATGTATGTCATCATGTCCATATTGCAAATATTGATGCTCATGATGTCCGACACTGGGTTGTATGGTCCTGACTCGATTATTGGAATAACTTGAATATTAGTTACTGAGGAGTTACACAACAAACAAACATGTCAACAAATTCACTGGATTGTCCCAGTGCCAGCATACTTCCTTTCAAATTTGTGGATAAGATAAAACATAAACTCTATTTTCATATAAACAGTTTATTGATGGACAAGTACAAAATGTGTAACAGTTTCCTTCTGTCAAAAGAAGAATCAATTTGATCCTTAATCTTAAGGTCACAATGATATGTGACACAATGAATTCACTTGACTTTGTCTGTAAATTACATAAAAGAGACTTGAAAAGTCATCACAAACATAATTATTAATCACACAAATAAGAATTACAAAAATTATAAATTACTATTAAAGCTGACATGTAAGTTGAACTTCTTGGCTCAGGACTCCTTCTGCACTTCTTCGTTATAATCTATTTCACATTTGGTAAGTGATCATCTCAGACGTTCTAAAACTGCAGACTTATTCCTCACTTCCGGCAGGTCGAAGAATCAACTTTCGAGGTTTCTGAAGTCAAGGTCAACAGTTACTGAGACCATAGGCACTTACAGGGTGATGGTTACCATAGGATTTATTAGATGATCTGCAAGTAGAATGTATAAACCCAAACTCCCTCAACCCATGTAAAGGAGAATAGTTACATCAGAATCAATCAGAGGTTTCTACAAGAAGTCATTAGGTCAACAGTTTACTGACATATTATGACCATAGGCACAAAGAAAACCAGTGAGGGACGATGGTTACCATAGGGGTTTTTTATTCTAGATGATCATTTTCAATATTTGCAAGTAGAATGTATTTATCATTCTCAGTAAACTCCTCAACCCATGTAAATGCATTGAATGGTTACATCAACAATCTGACAGCTCTCTAAAACTATCATCAGAACAATATCATATTTTGCTTATCAAATCGCTTTTATTGAACTGCATTGTGAGGGCCACCTATAAAATGTGCATCCAGCTTGACATATGATGATAGTATTAAGTGGGGTTAAAATTAATACGCAGGAATCACGCATTGGATGTAAAACCCTGCAGTTAGCTGGTTTATTAGCTAGGTCAGAGAAAGCTGATCTATCCAGGTCACCTGACCAAATACTTTTCATACTAAGCAGGGTGGATAAAGTACAGCTTGTTGCATCTAACGACTGGGGACCATTCCCCTGTGTGCTTGCAGGGCTAAAGTGATCGTAACTCTGATACTTTAATGACCTGTGAAGATCCGGGTTGGAATTGATCTTCAGTAACCAATGCTTGTCGTAAGAGGTGAATAATGTGATCGGGTGGTCAGGCTCGCTGACTTGGTTGACACCTGTCATTGTATCCCATTTGTGTAGATCGATGCTCATGCTGTTGATCACTGGATTGTTTGGTCCAGACTTGATTAAGTACAGACCGCTGCCATATACTAGTAGCTGAAATATTGCTGAGTGCGGCGTAAAACTAAACTCACTCACTCATTCCCCACATGGGTATAGTCTGTGAAACTTCAGGTTTCTCCTGAAGTGATTTTGCTGATAGCATAAAAAAACACTCAAACCATCCTAAACATTCACAGTACTGAGACTGTAACAGGCCACAGAGCTAATACTTGGTCACTGTTACCATGACTACACAGATATGCATACATACAGATTTTACTGTATAAAAGGAAAACAATTCCAGCCATACTTACACAAGTTCAGACAAGGGGGATAATCCTCTGTCTGTGATGTCGCCACAAGAGCTGATCTGCAGATGTTGAAGGGTGGCCTTCACTTGAGGGAGGTAATTCAGGGCATCGTCATCAAGATAGCGACAGTCATGGAGGACAATCTTCTTCACATGTGTCAGACCACCTGAAGCAATAAATTCAGGATTAATACCAAATACATTATTGAACTCACTGATATCCTCTACATCACACATTCAGAGCTCAAACTCATTCTTAATTTGTTCTTAAATGCTGGAGTCAGTGAGTTTAGTTTTATGCCACTTTTAGCAATATTCCAGCAATATCGCGATGGGGGACTCCAGAAATGGGCTTTACACATTGTACCCATGTGGAGAATCGAACCCAGGTCTTTGGCGTGACATGCAAATGCTTTAACCACTAGGCTACCCCACCGCCTCTTAAAAGCTTGGTGTACAAACTTACATCTTTCTCTCATATTTTTCTCACTGTTTAACATTTATTGACGGCATAGACTGAATTTGTGTGTACTCAGTACTCAGCAGTATTCTAGTGATGTGACAGCTGCCATTAAATATACGAGTTTGGACAAGACTATCTGATGATTGACATGATAAACAACATTCCTTGTCACTGGGGTACGACTTATTACAACATAGTGTAACAACAGGATTAACTTGCATGATTCTCCAGATTTGTTTATACACTATTTCTAAAGACTAATTACGACAAGAAGGAGCAAGAATGTTGTTGGTTCAGGTTTATGTACTGGACATACCATTTTTATAATGTTTCTAAGGGTCAAGTTAGGACAGCTTATCTATGAGGTCGACTAAGCTATGGTCATATACGGTAAACACCATCAACCAAAAAATATGCTCAAGTACCAAATTGAGTATTTCACATCTTATAGTCACTGGGGATCAATTCTAACCCTGAATTCCAAGGGTTTGAATATAAATGCTATAGATACATTTTAAGGGAATTCAATACAACAAAATGTTACCTACTCAGGTGTGGGAATCCTAGGCTCATGACAGCAGACGTTGTGCCATCAATCTCCTCGACCTTGTACTTGTCAAATCCACTGGCTGGGAGTGTGTTGTAGTCTTTCTCCCAGTGATTCAAACCCACCCACTTGACACTCCCGCCACACCTTAACACCCACTCTGCACATGCTCGGTCAGGGCCTACTTGCTTCAGACGTTCCTCATCAACCCTGTTGGATTTAACAACACATTATCACTTCTGAAGGCATGGTTGACTTGTGGATTTTCAATTTTTTGTTCTTTCAATGGAAAATTTCAGAAAAGATGCTTGCATTCTTATAAGGAAAAGTACTCTTCTCTGTTCCACTTGAAACCAACTGAATTAATTTAACATGTGCTCATAGACTGAAGCAGCCACATCACTAAGCTAATAGTTATAGAACAGTGTATGTCTACTTCAGTTTCAGTTATTGTTGATAGGTGTGTATTTGCAGTATTTTTAAATGGGTTACAGTTAACATCTGAAACCTTGTTTAATAATTCAACCAAGTGCTGTTAAAATGTACAAGTAAGCTACCTCTACATTGGGTACTCATAATTTACCACAGGGTTCTGTGAGTGAGTGAGTGATTGAGTGAGATATTCTGTGTGCCCATGGAAATACCATGCCACATTTAACATTGATACCACAATCAAACACTTACATACAACTTGAGACAATCAACCCTTGTTTTTGCCAATAACAATAAGTGTCATCTTTCAAAGTCAAATGGTCTCGACCTAGACTGGATATGTACAGCAGAGTGTAAAGTGTTGACCCTATAAACCAAGTCACTCACTTACATGTAGATTACCTATGTATTATACATAATCAGTAGTCAACATGATCATTACATGAGCTCTTGCAAGAAACATTGGTACTGTTAGCAGCATACTAACTATACAACAGCATTTTAGACAATAGTACTAATATTACCTATTGAAAACCGAATTGAGCCATCCCCACAAACACCTTGATGGCACAGATGTCCCTGAGAAACCAGTAAGCTTCAGAGATTGGCTTCTACAGGACTCCTGTAAATACATAACCTGTGGTTACCAAATCTCACCAAATTTTCATGTTCAATTATATTTTCATTTAAATAATTACATTTCATTACCTTCTTTTTACCCTCTGGTGTCTATCATTATAATAAAACATATTTATTGATATATAAGGGGTCTTTATGAGTAACAACAGAGATAAAATTTATTTGTTTTATCCTGAATTATGAATTCCTGTGATTATATCTGCAAGACAGACACAAAGAAAAATAAGGGAATAGTCTGTAATAACATACATAAATGTTGTATTATTTAATCTATCTACCTATAATACTATTTGTTTATCATGGAATTATCCTCACAGTAACCAAATGTTCAACCATGTCCACTTTGGCATCAAAAATATTCCAGCAGATGAGTTACATTACAATGAATTCAAGTCCTAAAGCAAATTGAAATGACAACAAATAATGAAGATACTAAAAGCAAAACGTAAAAGAAAGCATGGAGGATGTACGTTTGCGAAGAATTACAATGACGTATTAATGCATCCAAGTCAACAGTGCTTGGGCAAAATCGGTACCGTAAGAGCGATTTTACTTGCGCTTCTTAGTATTCATGTTATTTACAGTTTTTTTCCATTACACGACATATTATTTCGTCGTAATCTAAAACTTATAGATTTTGCATAATACTTAAAAACGCAAAGTAGCGTTGTCATAAAATACTGAGGCGCCTTAGATTTCGTGACGGTAAAGGTACGTAATATGCGGTTGACGGACGACACCTTGATGATTTTGTGCAACAGCGCCATCTGTGTGGATGAGTAGCCGCTTGTACCATGGGTAATAATATTATCCTCTTTGGTGGAGAGTGCAGATAATTTGATAAATGTCCATTCGGGATATAAACACAGGGGTCCATAAGGCATATGTGAACCAAACAGATTGAATACTATAAACAATAACACTTATTGAGTTATTTATGAATGTTTGCAGCGACACAAAATGGCCTCTCTTTTCCAGCATGTTCAGGTTTGCTTCTTCAAAAGTATTTTTGCTAATTAACGCTTATCAGGGTGACAGTGAGAAACTACACGTATTTTATTCACGTGCTGCTTTTACACAGCTGGATATACACATGCATTTTGCATTACTTAAATATATTCATTAAAGTTAATTTGTAAAGGTCATGCGGAATATCATGATGATGTTTATTCAAATTGCACGTACAAATTCAGCTTTCAAGATCTAAGAATCGAATTGACACATATTCAAACAGTGTTTGAAATAAGCCAAAACCCAGCCAGACGTCAGGGCTGGTAACTTCAAAATGTAACCAGCCTAAATGGATTTAGCCAGATCAGACAATCAAAAGAAATTGTTACCAGACCATCGGGCTGGCTACTGGCTAGCTGTATATTTGGACCGTCCGTCAGAAATCTAGCCCGTCTCGGGCGGTTGGACGGGCCTTATTTCATACACTGATTCAAGGTATATTTTGATCACATAATATTCAGAATTGATGTTGATACTCGGGGTGGAATATCAGGAGCAACATTTAACCGAGAGTTACGATGGGGTCGGACACACCGGGGCAGTCTAGACATGACCAAACATCACGACCCGTTATTTAGAACTAAAACTAATATTAGCCATGATTTGTGTGCCTGCTGTCTGGACAAAAAGATGAAAAGGCAAGAATGTAGTTTACTGGGCCAGTGGTGATGACTAGTGATGGTATTGGCATACAACCTGCGATATGATACATCATGATACTAAAAGTTTAGTATATATTGCCAAAGTATTGTGCACTTAAGCTGCGATACGACACGAATCCTGATACATGGGTGGCGATACTATAGTATCACAATACTAAAATCTTTTATTCTAACACCAACTATAAAAGACCTTAAGATCAAAACATAACCAATTTTAAAGTATTTAGTGAAATTCTGCCAGTGTTGTTCAATGTCCAATCAAAAACGAGATAATTAAGTTTATACAGACTTTGTGAAAGTTGATAACATGTGAGCTCTGTCCGACACAGTTCTTGATGCAAGAATTTCCAAGATAACATTTAATTAATTATGAAGGGAAAATAAGTAAGCATATATTTTAATCATCAAATAAAAATGAGTCTTTTTTCTTGACAGATATGGCGATTATTCAATATTCGAAGTTAAACATCGATATATTGTCCATTTGAAGTATCATATCGGGATATACAACAGTGTAAAACTTTGTATCGATTCACTGTATCGGTGGCCCATGGATCGATGAATCATCACACCATTAGTGATGACTGTCTGCCGCGGAGCAAATATCACAGTATCTCCTCATGCTCCAGTGCCCTCTCCAATCCTTAGGGAGCTGACACATCTTTAGAGGCAAACAACTCTTTACGATCCTGAGGGTTAGGTTTAGGTACCCTTTCCGATTCTAAGGGAGCTAACACATCTTTAGAAGCAAACATCCATTTACAATCCTTAGGGTATGGTACCCTTTCTGATCCTTTGGAAAGGATTAGGTACCCTTTCGGATCCTTAGGGAGCTGACACATCTTTAGAGGCAAACAACTCTTTACGATCCTGAGGGTTAGCACCAGGTGATTTAGGTACCCTTTCCAATTCTAAGGGTATGTCCGGCTTTCTTTAACTTTGAATAGTTCAAACATCCATTTACAAAAAGCAGTAACTGGAATTTGGCTGGTATGGTACCCTTTCGATCCTTTTGAAAGGATTAGGTACCCTTTCGGATCCTTAGGGAGATGACACATCTTTAGAAGCAAACAACCCTTTCCGATTTTTAGGGAGCTGACACTTCCTTAGAAGCAAACAACCCTTAGGGTTTAGGGTTAGGCCTTACCTTAGGACAGTGTAATTATATCCAATTGAAACACATTTCGCTCCATCTGGGACTCATTGCAATACCAGAAACAATGGCACCAAAAAAAACTGAATGGGAAGGGTGTGGCATCGTCATGCGCATGCACGAGAAATGAAAACAAACCATTGCGCTTTCATAGAATGAGGGCGAAAACAAACCATTGCGCTTTCATAACCAAGGAACATAGAACTTGTTACAAAGAGAAAACCAATTTGCTATTTAATATATTTTAAATTTTGCTTCTTTCCTTTCAGAGAGCATTACAAAGACAAAAGTGGCTCTCTACTTGTAGTTGCAGGAGGAGTTATAGCAAGAATAGATTTTATGACAAAAAGGAAGGAGTCCCCAATGATTTCCTAGTGTGGCTTCAAAAGGATTATGACTTGAGTTTCAGTGGAATAAAGAAAATGTACCAGGCTGCAGAGTTGGAAATGCAGAGACGTTCTCAAAAGTTAGAGCATTTATGTTTATATATACAGTTGTATATGGTACTTTGAAAACATTGTGCCCGACATGATCACATATTTGATAGATAATCTGGATTACAACTTACCAGTTTAACTATTTGTGTTAAATCAAATACATAAAGTCATAAAATGATAGAATCAGAAAACCAAACTGTTCTTAATATTATTTTCATTATAAATGTATGTAGGTCATTATATTACTATATAAACTGTGTGTATATTTTTGTCATATTCCATTGCAAAGTTAATCTTTTATTGACAGATTCTTGCCTGAACGGCACGAGATATTAGGCCCTGATTTGGCAACATCTCACTTCATTGTAAAGCGTGGTGGTGCAGTGAAGTTTGCAGACCGTGACACATGGTTTAGGATGGAGAAAGATGAGAAATACTACCTCCCTAACAGGAAGGTGGAGGGTATGAAACTGGAAGCAGTGGATGCCTCTAATACAAATCTCATGCACATCGGAATGGACAACTTTGGTGAGTTAGGATGATGGCATGAATCTATTATAGAGAGAGTGAGTGAGTTAAAATTTAAAGTTACTTTGGTAATATTTCAGCCATTGTGACATCTATTGTGGATAACAACTTCTTTATTGTTTGAATCATTGTTTCCGGGGTATGTCTTGTCCCTTCCATAGTGTAGGAACTACATGTAATTTGTGGAAGTGTCATGCCTCATTTTCTATGCATTAATTATATTTCAGAATGGAAAATGCAACCATTTGTTCTAATCTCATGGTATAGGTATTAAGCTTGTCAAGACCTAGGCCTATGATAGGAAAACTATAAATGTTACTGTGGTTACTGTTTATTGACATGATCATTCTTGTAATTGAATATATGTCCCACTAAATAGAGCGAGACCCAAATAAACACAAAATATAGAATTACACCATATTTTGTAAAAAGAATTAAAGAAACACTCCTTAAAGGTAATGTTTAATAAACCTTTTGTCAGTCAAAAATGTATTCTATATTTGAACGTGATTTTTAGTACTGGTGCACACACAAGAGAGGACGGGATCTGCTTTGTGTCCCCAAATATTATTGTTGTTTTTGTTATCATTTATCACAGATATCAAGATACTAGTATCTGCTCAGATGTGGTTCATTTGTTTGGGTGGGTCAATATTCTTTCCATTTACCATTCTCTACTCCCTGAGATGAATGCAACTTTAAACACAATTGGTGGTACCCATTCCCTGTTTAGTGAACAGAGGCACTTTTGAAGTACATTTACTGGTGACAGGTAACACAAGTTTTGATACTTGTTTTTCAATTGTATTTACATATTCTTGTAACAGATGTGCGAGTTGCACGTGTGAAATTTAGATTTTACTACGCACGCTTGTTCATTACTTGGCTGTTCTACCAGCAAGTGGTTCACCCCTCGTACAAAATAGCAAAAAGTGATAACAAAATAATGATCGTTTGTTAAATAACTTTTTTATTTGGGTGTCCAAAATTATGAGACAAGTCATCAGGGTTGGTCTGTGGATTTCATGTGACTGTGTAAAATTTGGTTTTGTTGCATTTATTAGATTTTGTGTTAGTGAGCAATTGATCAGTCTCAAATGAACTCAAACGGACTGTAATTGTGTTGAGGTTTCAAACTGAGGATTAGGCTGTATTCATGTGATTTTAATCACAACAACTATATCAGTCCATCTGCTTGTGAGTTCTTATCAGGTAGTGATAACTAATTAGTAGTGAGTCTAAGCAGCACCAGAGTAAGCTGCCGAGTGGACAGGTGAGTAATAGGATTAGGACCAGCTGACTAGTCCATTATGACAGGTGTGCATATTAGGATACTCATAATGGGGTGTCTGAGAAATGCTATGACCTTGAATGGGTCCTGTATGTTAGCATTGTATATTCAAACGCTCAAGTTGGGGGTTTGTTATTATACCGTATATTAATTGGAGTGAGTTGTGCTTGATCCTTATTTTAGCATTGTATATTCGCAGTTAACCTGACTGAGCTGAGATACCTGAGTTTAAGCAACTGTCAGTATGTTGATGACTGGTGCATGGCTCGGCTGCAAATGTTTAAGCACACTCTGGAGTTCCTGGACATCAGTGGATGTGATCAGATCACAGAGAATGGCCTGGCTTGTCTTCATCATTTAGAGTGAGTTGTGCCAAATTTGCCTTAAATCTGTTCACAAATAGAACTGTCATGATTTTAAGGTGTTGATCATGAATGTAACAGTTTAACATCACCATCAGTTTCAACTTGACACTACCAATATGTTGAGTATGAGTAGATATACTACTCAAAAGAGGTTAAGGAACACAGAATAACTTTAATCATTTGAAAGAAAATCAGTCATTCTTGGCAGGTATAACAATGCAATATTCTCATTGTTCTGTACCTTGTTTTTATTAGTATATTAAAAACATTATAGAAACTCAAGAGTTTCTATTTTACATAATTATTTTAGTCACTTATTTTGGTTGATCGTGGAATAAAAATAATGGAGAATAATAATAATAATAAAAAAATAGTCCAAATAAAATGCCAAAGTGGAGTTCTTGACAACTATGTCTTGTTTGCAGGAAGTTGAAAGGTTTGAAGCTGAGCAATCTCCCGAATGTGAACCACCTTCAGTTGATGGTTATACTCCTGGAGGAATCTCTACCAGAGTGTATGGTGTTTGGTGTGGACTTTACAGATGCTGAGGAGCAGCAGGTTCAAGATGGAGAACAGGGGACACAATCTAGAGAAGCTATTGACACACAGTCACAGTCAAAGGGATCTGCTAAGACTTGATCATTTCTCTCTTTGACAACTTAGGAACTTGTGAATAAAAATATGGCTGTGAATAATAAAATCAGTCCAGTGTGAACTGGAACAGCGTGGATATCAAGTTATCAACAGAAGGGAAACCTGACCAGCGTGTTACTTTTCAATGTCCAGTGTATGTTACATGCATATTTGCAGCAGGAGAGGTGTTCTGATATGATGAATCATTGGTGCATATCAGTGTGTTCATATGATCAAGAAAAAAATCAAGTCTGAATTGAAATTGGAATTACCCAAGAGTGAAGAAGCTTGTGTTTAATTTCAGAGGACATGACTTTGTTCCTCTGTTTGAAGCAACTCTAGTACTTGACGGATTACTGCATGATGAGTCAATTGAATAACAGAATGAAAATAAAACACATATTTGCAATCAACTTTATTTTAACATCTTGACATTGTCACTCAAATAACAACTTACTTCACAAAAAACTGAAGCATAAATGCATTGATTCCCTTGCATACCTCAACCTCTAACAGACAAACCATGTGTGAAAATGAACCCTTCATCACTTACATAAATGCACTTTTTCATCTCAAATAACATTATAAAACAATTGTACTGAATTCTGGTATCTGTGAGCAAAGTTTCAAAGACAAGACCTGAAACCATGGCAACAGTCATCTTTCATTTTCTCTTGCATCCAAAATGTCCCTTGTTATAACAGGTTTATGTATTAGAATTTATTTATGATCATTCTACTCAATATTGCAGTGCATACAGACAATGCATTAAAAGATCATTTTCAAACAAGTTCCATTCCAGTACACAATAAACATTCATACAATGACCTGCCACAACACTGCAGCATTAAAAGAATATAACCACGACACATTCATTTCTTAACAATTATGGTAATTGTTGTAACCAAAACAATGTACACTTTGACAATGATTAAAGTCACTCTCAATTTAAATGATTTGATACCTTCAATGAGCCTGGATTTCAGAAAGTTGAAAAAATAAAGAAAATACCCTGGAGGATTCTATAGTACACCTTTAAATTGAGGAATATTCATTTGGTGGTTTAGATTTCCCCACCTCTGTTGTATGGAGACCTTTGGCACAATGTCCATTTTGTAGTACCTTTTACCCTATTAATAATTCATGCAATGTCATGTTTTCATAATATGTATGTAGTTTTCAGATAATAATGCATTTTGCACAACCAATCTCCCTTGTATGGCATCTATAGAATGTACATGTACATGTATGTACTTTCATTTGGCGACAAGGTCATAACAGGCACAAAACATAGCCCTGGGCGTATTATTAAAGTGAAATATACAGGATTCCATTTCAAGACAAAATGATATCATTTGCTGCTTTGTTCTTGAAACAATAGTTTTATAAATCACTTACCTCACCACTAATACAACCTGACTTTATGCCTAAATATAGTGTCTACAACAGTATGATGAATAAAAGCCAGAGTACGCTCCCAAAAATTGTGGACGCATATTTTGAAATTTTTATAAGGAAGTGAAAGGTTGAAGGCAACTTCCTGGCCAAATGAATTACTGTTTGTTGTTTTCTTGTGCTTTTAGTACCAACCAACATACACCCACTGGAAACGTGGTCAATGTAATGCATGAGAAAAATAAAACAATAATCTTAAAAATACAAGGACACAACCCATAATACTTTACAAAATCATCAGTTGTAAAAGATAAAATTCAATACCAGTTAAAACATTAATTATGTCCATTAATTATGTACTGTGAAGATTCTGTTATTTATAGCCAACCAGGAAATACTAGAGAATCTGCATCAAGTGTGACTTGAACAAACCAACATGTTTCTATATAAATATAATTTGTTATGTGGCATATGTATTGTGAAACATGAGTTGTAAATCAATGTATTATATTGAGCCTCATACTGCAATAAATACTGTATTGCTGTATCATTACACGACCAAAAAGAACCCAAAACACATGATCAACCTATCCAGGCACAGGTAAGGGACTGAAGTCTGTACTGCATCTCCTTAGATCGCAGGCCACCCCTCCCACCCATAACCCCCTCTTATAACTGAACGCTTTAAAGTCAAATTAAGAATATGTTTAATAAGTCAAGTGATGTTTTCATGACAAATCCTTCAGGTATATATGTATTACTGAATAGAATGGAAATGTACAAGAGTCTGGATATATGTAAAAAAAAAATCAACCCCAAAACTACACGGGTACAAAATATGAAATCCAGTAACATTTAATGCTCACAAAAATATTTTAAGACTTTGGTATTTTTGATTGAAATATATATTGTATATGGTATTTTTACCAAACCAAAAACCCAAATACACCTAAAAAATATACACAGAAAACTTGTGAAGAAGAAACGAGAAATTGGTGATCCAGCTGGTTGACCACCACAGCACCGATGCAGCCTTCTGTCCATGGTAATGAAGGCCAGAGTTGTACTCCGCATTAAACACATTCAGAACCACCTTATATCTGGAAAGTATGGAGTCATGACTGTCATGTAGTCTACGATGGGTAGTAGGAGCCGTATGATCCATACGCTCCATAGTGAGAGTGGTAGGGGGCATATGAATTCTGAAACAAGAAAGATATGTCACAACTATATGAAAGACATTGTAATTAAAAACAAAAGTGGTGAGTGAATGTTTTAGTTTTATTGCCTCTAACCACTAAACCCCATTGCAATGAAAAATACATTCAGTAAGCAGTCAAAAATATTCCTGTTACAGACTTAATAAATAATACAAGGAGAGACAGGTGAGGTGAGGTGAAATTAGGTTTAACGTCGTGCTTGAGAATATTTCGCTCATATGACAACGTGCATGCGTGTGTATGTGTATGTGTAGCTGCTTGTACAAGCCCAGACTTAAGCTGGTTTTACAGTGCTAGCCCACTGAGATACCATGCCGCAGTGAAGCATGAATACCCCACTCAGACACAGTATACCGACTCCGAGCCGACCAGTCCTTGTTGTACCCATTAATGCCGAGCGCCAGGCAGGGACCAGCAAGTACCATATTTTAACATCTTTTGGTATGACGCGGTTGGGGATCGAACCCGCGACTTCCGCTCTCCAGGCGGACGCTCTAACCACTACACCATGGAGGCGGTCAGCAGAGACAGACAGAAAAGATGTCAACCCCATCCAGCCAGACACAGTATCATGACTTGATGAAGTGTATATTAGCTGTCCCAATACCAGTAAGCAACATAATGGCAAGTAATTTATTTGGTAGTAAAGTAAAGTTCAGTAGTCAGGTAGCTGATGAACCTATTATTCTAAGATGTTTCGGTGAAAGATCAAAGGCGCCAACAGTACTTTATCAGACCATTAATGTGCACTTTTTGCATTACATCACAATGTATTGGCGTCACTGCGCCATTCTAGTCTGCCCCCTCGTGATCGAACAATTTTGCATTACGTCACAATGTAAGTGACGTCACGATGCATGTCAGTTGTCGTCCCCTCGTACAGCCTCCTACAGTAAACTACTCTGTTGCATCCAGTTTCTTGGTTTGCAGTTGCTTCACGCAGCTAACATCACTGGTGGAAACATTACTTTATGTTTTCCAACGCATAAAATGTCTCAATTCGACTCACATATTTTCAGCGACTCTGTAACGTTCGCAATGTGTACATTCCCACAATGCAATTGTGGAATGTCACTTGACTACTCAGCTTCATCTGGATATACTGATCTAAACTTACGTTGGTAGTAGAAATGCGACGTTCATATTGCCCCATATGGTTCACTTTAATCACAGATGTAATTAAAATAATTTAGGGAAGATATTTAATCCGAATGTAAACCGTCATCAAACTGTTTATCATTTGTTTTTTGTCTGATAACATTCGTCTATCATATTGTTTATCATTAATATATGAGCAGCAAAAATTGTGAATCAAGCTGTCAAAATTACATCTGACCGTACTCACTACTTAAATTCGGAATACAACCTCCTCCCTTCAGGCTGCCGCTTCAAAGTTCCAAATTGTGAAAACTTAACAGAGCCTGTACATCCTTTAATCAAAGTACCATATCTCTCTTAAAGATACCGAAATCAATGAATTTATGTAAATATGTTTTGTATCTCTCTAATGTGCCAGTAGCTCTGCTGATGTAACACAAATTCCTGAAAAGGCATTAAAGTATTATTCTATTCTATTCTATTAACGTAGGGGGGCAGACACATCAATAGAACAGTGCGCCAGTTAGCCCTGTGAGGATTCGTAATTTAGGTCACCGACACTGTCGTTTGTTTTCTGCCTTAGATTAATTGTAATTATCCTTAGAAAGTATTAAGTTTGGCATCTTAGAAATACAGTTCGCTCTACCACCATGTATTGTGTATTAAAGCACACTTTCGCCCTGAGCTATTATAGCGTTATAGCTTTAACGTTATAAATAGTTCAGGGTGAAAGTGTGCTTTATTACACTATACATGGTGGTAGAGCAAACTGTATTTCTTAAATACATTCATATTTAAACAGATTATTACACTATTAGTTGATACTACATGAATCAATGAAATGATTTGTTTCTAATGAATTAAACCAATTCTGAAGGTGTGCACTGCTTTATTTGACTTGAGTTTGCCTTTAGTGACCTACTGATAACTTTAATACAAACTAACGGGATCAGGAGGTCAGGCTCACTGACTTGGTTGACACATGTCATCATATCCCAATTGCATGGATCGATACTCATGCTGTTGATCATTGGATTGTCTGGTCCAGACTCGATTATTTACAATATAGCTGGAATATTGTGGAGTCGGGCGTAAAACTAAACCCACTCACTTTAATACAATCCGATCGCAGTAATGTTAAACAAGCCCATTTTTAAAAAAAGAGGGGGTTAAGTTTAATACTTCTTGATGTATCTATATAAACAATCGCAGTATATACATGCGGGTATATGCATGTATGTATGTGTGTGTATATATACATATGTATATGTGTATGCATGTGTATGTATGTGTATATGCATGTGTATGTATGTGTCCGTAGATGAATATGTGTATGTGTGTGGAAGTATATATGAACGCATATGTACATGCACTTAAGGTATATATAGATGAATTATATGTATGTATATGGAACAGTGTTCCTATTATGTATCAGCTAAGTAATGAATACGATTCATGATCACTGCAACTACGCAGATTTATTACTATACATACTACTGTGTTTACAAAACTGAAAATAGCAGAAATCAAATACTGTAAAATGTGATATGTATATCGCTTGAAAGTGGTGTGTAACGCAAAAACTGTATTCTATAACATGTAAAAATTGCATTTGATTCTGAAATACGATGTACAACATACTGATGGGAAATAAAAATACTTAAAAAAAAAAAGAAAAAAAAAGTTTAATACTTCTTAAATATTCTCACAGCTATTATCTTCTCTTCTATTACACAATAGTAAATGTGTTGCCCACTTTATCACTGTTGCCCAGCAGCATCTAAGGGGAGCAACTCACTACTGTCTTAAAAACAGGTCGTCAAACTTTCAGGCATCATTCCAGCCCTTGGTTCATGCAGCAATAGAAAAGACTTACTGAGTAGCTGGGCCAATGGTAGTTGTAGGTGTTGGCGTCAGCTGATGTGTGATGACTTGAGGCATCTCCTGTTGCACTACTGCCGTTTGTCTCCGACTTGTATTTATCATGTTTATGTTTCTTCTCTGGAGGTGCATGATTATCATCACTGAAATGATAAAACATGTGAGATATTATCTGGGTTACCATGTTTAATGTTAAACAGGTCACATCTTGCAAATTTGCACCGTGGGACTGAGTTTGGCTGGTTACCATCAAGATTTTCAGGTGATATTTAAGCCTGCTTGCTGAAAGAGCACAGCTTGAGGGGCCTACCATGACTAAGATGGTCTGTAGTTTTGGATAATTTATTTGACTTTCTTCGAGCAATGTTAAAATAATAAATGAGCAGGTATATTGAAATGTGGATATGATGGATCTCACTGATGACATTGTGTCAACATATCAGGTTATTATTTGATGTTGGTCAGTTTTCAATGTTTATGAATTCTTCTGACAATCAACTACAAGGTTTGATCAAATATTATCCCACAAATGAAAGCAGAGAAAGTGTTTCTGCCTTTTGAGCTTTTGATTATTATGGTGTTCTGATTAACTGAAATACAGTAAACCATGGTTAAAATGAACGCGAGGGACCACAACTTTTAGTTTGTTTTAAGCCTAGCTTGTTATACACATTGTAAGTGACAGGACACCAACAGTTCATAACATCCTTTAATTCGTTGGCGCATTTTTCAATATAAAGATAACTTACTGTAATTGAAGATCAATGTAAAAGGCGCAAATAACGAAGCAATTTTATGCAATTTTCGCTTAACATCCAAAAACAATTCCACCTTCCTCTCTCACTCCTGAAACAGTTTGGCTTCCTGACAAGTTCCTAATTAAAATTAACAAAATGAATCACACCAATGGGTACCCGGCTGAAAAAAGTCATATGACTATATTTATCCGGGGTAATAATGGCCTTGATTGTTAGCTGATACCTAGTGTGGAGTTTGGCGCTATATAAATGGACACATTATTATTATTATTATTATATCTGATCCATCGGTTGGGATGATCTAATCATCAATGTCTTTACAACCAATTCCAAACACTATTTATCAACCTATTACTAAATTAGTAATGGTGTTGAAGGCAACTGTATTAGCAGCATCCTACAAACATGGTCTACCAACCACTGTTTAAAAATGGCTTTACAGCTACCAAGTGTATGTTCAGTATCTATCGCTCCATACTTACATGGAATCTGGGTGCTTCTTCTTTCTATCACTATTATGGTCTTTCACAAGTTTTTGATGTTCATCATAGGCATCTGTTATTCTGAAAAAAACCCAACACATTCATGACAGACAACTCCAATGGAATATATACTGAAAGCCATTAAAAACACAATTTGACATTCATACTTTCTTTACTCACACAAATGTCAACATATATAAATGGAACTGGCAGATAATTTTTAAGTGAACATCTGTCGATAATTTCATCTGAAAATGTCCAATCAGCAACAACATCAGTGAGGCAACAACATCAAACAAAGGAGGGATCACTAGCAGTCAATATTGTGTGTGTGTCCATCATGCGCTGCAAGACATGCTCGGAGTCTCCGTGGCATTGAAAAACACAAATTTCTCAGGAACAGCTGTGGGACGGTCTGCCAGTGATGTCAAAGGGCCGGTGTCAATTCAGCAACTGTCCTTGATGGCACAAATTTATTTCAAACTCAACGTCCAAATTCATCCCACAGATGCTCAATTGGGTTCACGTCTAGAGACAATGAAGGCCAGTACATCACACAAACATTCTCATTATTCAAAAAGTCTCTTGTTACTCTGGCTGCATGGGGCCATGCATTATCATGCTGACATAAAATGGTTATGACCGCCATGTTGATCCATTATTATGAGTACAGCCGGACGAAGGATATTGTCCACATAATGTTGAGCATTCAGATTGCCATTAACCACTACAATCTGGGGTCGGAAGTTGGCATTGATAGCAAACCAGATCATGAAACCACCTCCTCCAAAACGATCATGTTCAAGGGCACAGTTTGGCGCAAGTCAGAGTCGACCAACAGAGGATGGATGCACAATAAAGTGCCTGGCAATCATCACATCTGAAGCACCTTGGTTGACCATACCGATTGCCTGATTCCTTTCGTCTTGTGTCAAGCGTGGCATTTTCTCAAAGTGATTGAGTTTCACAATTCCTTGTGCTTTAAAAGGGCCTGGGTGCAGGTAATGCACGTGCACAACATGTTTCATGAATGTGGTTGTGTTTACAAAAAATGTCAAAGGTTCAGTTTTAAGCATTGAATTTCATGTAAGGGGAATGCTCGGGAACTCTAACTCGAAATGGGCCAGAATAACAGCCTTTTATCCCTAAATCCTCTGTATCGCAGGAAAAAATCTTCAATAGAACTTTTGTAAGTTCCTGGACAACAGTGAGTGAGTGAGTGAGTGAGTGAGTGAGTGAGTGAGAGTGAGTGAGTGAGTGAGTGAGTGAGTGAGTGAGTGAGTGAGTGAGTGAGTGAGTGAGTGAGTTAGTTTAGTTTTACGCCGCACTCAGCAATATTCCAGCTATATGGCGGCGTCTGTAAATAATTGAGTCTGGACCAGACAATCCCATGTGGGGAACTCACTCAGATACCCCACCGCCCCTTTAGGTGATTACCAGTGAGTGAGTGAGTTTAGTTTTATGCGCACTCAGCAATATTCCAGCTATATGGCAGCGGTCTGTAAATAATAGAGTCGGAACCAGACAATCCAGTGATCAACAGCATGAGCATCGACTTGTGCAATTGGGAACCGATGACATGTGTCAACCAAGCCAGCGAGTCTGACCACCCGATCCCGTTAGTCGCCTCTTACGACAAGCATGGGTTACTGAAGGTTCATTCTAACCTGGACTTTCACGGGTTCCAGGACAACAAATACCAATTACGTTTTTAATGGCTTTCAGTATATTCTGGATTACTGGTTTACAGTACTTTTTACCAATATTCATGATGGCTCAAATGTGGTGAAAAAAACAACAACAAAAAACAAAACAAGGAAACTAGGAAATCTTTGATTTCTAAAATATCCTTTTGGTGAGGGATAATGCCTCATTTCATAGTCTGCATGTGATATCATGCACCAAGTCACTTGACACTGTGGGACAGTGCTCTTAATATATATCACTCCATTCATGTCTGTGTTAAAGCATGTCTCCTATCTGTTGAAGGTAGGGCTATGAGACCTTACCTACAGACAGTCTAGGTGGGTTAATATTGGCAACACGTTTAGATCAACATCAAGACTGATATCATCTTGCAAGAATTGCCAAGGTAACAAAAGTCTCAATGATCAGCATCATTATTATCAGAAGATATAATTTCACATATCCTGATGGTGATAGATATGACCACAACTCACCTCTGAATACAGGTACCAAAGTCTTCAAGGAACTCCATTCTCCTCTGTGAAACCTTCACCTTAAAATCTGCAGACAGGTCACTCTTGAGAGCATTGCTGAACACATCCAGGACTCGTTGCTCTTCAATTGGTTGTGTCTGATACTCAAGGTCAAGAAGCTGTAAGAACAACTTCTCATTCTTCTGGAAACACAAAACGAAACTTGATGGTGACAACAATAATCTTAAATAATAATCACTAAAATCAAACAAAGTGTAAGCATCGAGTGAGTAAGTCAGTGAGGGAGTTTTTACGCCACACTCAGTAGTGTCCCAGCTATATGGCGACGGTATGTAAATAATCGAGTCTGGATCAGACAATCCAGTGGTCAACAGCATGAGCATCAATCTACACGATTGGGATATGATGAAGTGTAAACCAAGTCAGCAAGCCTGACCACCTGATCCTGTTAGTTGCTTCTTACGACAAGCATGGGTTGCTGAAGATCAGTTCTAACCCAGAACTTCACGGTTAGTGTAAGCAATGAAGAAAGACATGCCATCAACCACCTAAGCCATTTGGTCACCTTTTCTAACTAAAATAGGTTGCTGGGCACCTATATCCCAGAATCCATACTGGGATGTGCATATGGAGGTACATAAATACATACACTGTCACGCAAAAACAGCCCTTTGAGTAAGAATTGAGGGTCAGGCTTGATGCTCATCATGTTGATCAATGGACTGTCTGGTCCAGAATCAGTTATTAACAAGAAGACAAAGTCATCAATATCCCCCTCAATGGCAAAATACTCTTCATGATTATGTCTACGAGTTATGATTATGTCAAATATTTAGGTGTGTATATAGAAAAGTGGAAGGAGAGTATTGAAAGGTTTTTTAAGTTCTGCTCCAGAAAATAGCACTATCACCAATTTCAGTCAAAGTGAAAGTTGTTGCCATGCAAACGCCAAAATATTTTATTCAGAATTCCAAAACTACCAAAAGGCACCAGTACACCACCAGATATATGTATGTGCCAAGTTTGGTGAAGAAACATTGAACGGTTTTAGAGTTCTACTCCGGAAAAGAGCACTACCACTAATTTCAGTTTTAATCAAGCTTGTTGCCATGGAAATGCCAAAAATATATTATTCAGAATGCCAAAACTACCAAAAGGCACCAGTACACCGCCAGATCTATCTATGTGCCAGATCTATTTAGTGAACGGTTTTAGAGTTCTGCTCCGGAAAAAACAAAAGTGCACGGACGGATGGATGGATGCACGGACGGAGTCCATTTTAATACCCCCGCAAAATGCGTTGCGGGGGATACCAAAGCATTACCATATAAGCAGTAGCTGCAATATTGCTAAGTCAGGCACTAAACATTAAAGAAGAAACTTAACTTGGGAGGAAGATGACTTTGGTAAGAGTGAGTGAGTTTAGTTTTACACCGCTTTTAGCAACATTTCAGCAATATCACGGCTGGGAACACCAGAATTGGGCTTCACACATTGTACTCATGTCTTCGGCGTGACGAGTGAACACTTAAACCACTATGCTACCACACCGCCCCACTTTGGTAAAAGCCATTGTAATGTTAAACATATGATTGTGGGCAAGGTGATCCAGGGATTCAAACCTGTGATAAGCAGATCCTGAAGCTAAGCGTGGTAGCAGAACTAACTTCAACAGACCAGCAGGGTATCAAACACACCCCCACAGGCAGTAACAAACTTCTGAATTCAAGAGGAAACATTATAATACCTTATCTTTTTCCAGGGCTTCTGACAAGACTTCTCGTGCTTTCTCTACATTACCCCTAATCTGGAATACAAACATATTTACATAACCATGGGGACTAACGAAATCAATATATATTTCATATTGTTTAGAATACCTGATAAAGATAATAAATCAAATAATTCACTGTTTCACAATTACACTTGACTAAAACTGAGATAAGTTACATCTTGTGACAGATCCATAAAAACACATGAATAGAAACAAGTTGTCTTACTGCAACAACTTCTGCAAAAGGAAATGAAATGTATTATATTTTAAAGTGTTCAGTCTTATTCCAAAGCAAAAAGAAGCTTTATTGTTGTTGTCTTGCTTGACAACCAAGAGAATTCCAGGACATTCCTGTATACAATATAAAATTATGCTTCAAAGTCCTCTTTATCGCAAATTCTTACCTTCCTCAGATAGCGTGCAAATTTGATTGAGTAGAAAGATCTGATGGCTGGTGATGCAGCTTTGGTGATGTAGGATTGGTACAAGTTCTCGACATTTTCATGGTTGCCCTGGCGACGCTCCAGACTGATTCGTCGCATTGACACCATTACAAGATTTGGCACATTTTTCTCAATGTTTGACAGGACATCACTTGCCTCTGGGTAATTGCCTGAAGAAATAAGTCCCAAACTGTAATCGTTCATTACTAACTTTAAATATTAATGGTACAGCGTTTTGTGTATCATTCAATTAATACTTCTAATTGGAAAGAGAACTTCATTTGCCACATTGTTCATGTTTCAAAACAATACAGATTAGAATGAATTTTGAAACTCCATGACATTATAACCTATAAAGCTAATGTTTATCACTTACAGCAATCACCCTGACATTGGTAAAATCAAACCTAAGTTTCCAAGCCTGACAGCACACAAAAGAATCTTTTAAAAGTGACTTCCATCAAGGTTTATAGAAGACAGCTTGTTATGTTGTGAAGCTATGTTGATAATGAATGGATATCCTGATTGTTCTCATGACCGTATCATGTTATGTATCACGACCAACGATATATATGACACACACGAAAGAACAAACATAATTCGTCACTACACACCATGAAACACATTACAGAACATGGAGATGTCCGGGAGGAACTCCTTCCTTTAACAGTGTACCAAGAAACGCATCACAGAAGAAGACAGGAAGGGACAATTTCCCGTAAGGTAAGAGAGATAAGATAATACGTAATTGTCCGAAAGGAAATTTGTCTTACATTATAAGAGGTTCATACATATTGGGTGGTTTGTTAATGCTGCACTGAGCAATATTAAAGCTATATGGCGACAGTCTGTAAACAATCGACCAGACATTCCAGTGATCAATACCATGAGCATTGATCTACGCAATTATGATACGATGACATCTGTCAACCAAAATATGAAATAGGCAAAGAGTAATAGAGATTTGGAATTTAATATACAGTTATATAACAGTTACTCATCATACCATGATACACATGAAGACAGGAAGGGACAGTGTGTCGTGATACACATCACAAGGAGTGGTCAATGAAAAACTGTCTTTCCTCAATTTCATTGCTGCCTAAACATGTGAACTTCGAGACAAACAGAAAGAAATATAAAATCCCCATACAAATCAACCTGAAGAATAATGGTGAGCCACAGTCCGCAATAGTAGTGACCATCATCCATAATAAACTGCAATTCAAAAAGAGTTAAAATGAAGTAGATAAGAAAACATGTAGATTCACTTGTGAAGTAATTACAGCCAGGACTTTCCAATACAAACACATCTGTGGGTGGCAACGGAATGTTTTCACAGTCCTCTAGCATCCACATACAAAGATCTTTAGTGATCACTGACAAAACAACACAATCAGCTGGGGAGACACTACACCCAAACAAAGCCCTCCTAAGTGGAATAAGACAAAAAGTGTGGATAAACAATTCAACCATGAAACTGAGCCCTTACTCATCACACAAAGCTAAATTGCACTTTATTGTAAAATCCTGAAAACAAAGAGGGCTGTGATGGGTGATGATAATTAAAACACAAATCCCTTGTCAAAACAACCCCACCGGAGCAAAGGATGTGTTGATTGTTGTACAAACAAGGCCTCCACTAATAGACTTGGAGGAGGTTCATAGGACATATAAATTACTAGCAGCCCTTGCTGGTCACACGTTCATCACAGCCACACTGATACCTCACAAAGCAGAATGGGCAGCCGCGTATCTCGACTTCAGAAACCAGCACAGGGTGAACTGACATGTGTTCAAGATCTGATAAACAAGCATGACATGGCCATTGAAAGAGCACACTTCATAGGTTAGTTCACATTCCAAATAGTTCTGTCAATTCTTTGTCACTTTCTGGGAGGGCCTTCCCTCTCTACTTGACACTTGGAACATGCTTCTTAAGAAATCCTTGAACAAGTGTAAGATATGACTTGGATAAAAAAATCACTTTGGATCCAGTGGATGGGGCCATGCCAGACCTATACATGCTGCTAAACTTATTCCAGGCTTGTTTTGTTTTTACTGATTCACACAGCTGGATGTGCACACATTAATGATGTGAGATTCTAATTGTTTGAGGGGACACTTCCTTTTTGTCTTTTGCAGTTCAGTATAAATTTATTCACAGAGTGTCTGAACAATTCAATGGATGATATTCCTCAACAATTCATGGAATCTGAGTCATAAGTCATACTCTTTCTTTCTTGCAGATAAGTACATCACAGACCTATCAAGGAAGCTGACCTCCCAAGTCCCCAGTGGTCATATTTGCCATGGCATGCTCCTGCTACAGAGGAAGTGTATTGCAGAGGGTGTGTGAGATGTACATGAGATACGCCTTCTGCAAGTACCTACAGGTCAGGAGGTTGTACAGGAATGCAGGCCAATCCATCCAGGAGCTGACGGCGGAGGAGTACCTCACGGACATCAAGCAAGGCAAAGCCATATCTATTGGCATGTCCAGGGAACATAATGCGTTTCAACGGCATGGATAGTTTAGCAAGGAAACAAAACTGGATCGTACTTGGACAGGAAAAACATGATCACAGTGGAGTGTATAATCTATGTTTACTATCACCTGAATGTGAAACTTAAAGGTACTCAAATATTTTTTAGCGAGAATTGCTACTGACTCCATCTATTTGTATATAGATTGTCTACTAAAATGGGGACCAACAGAAGAAGTTCAATGAGATATCTTCATCACAAGGCAACTTAGTGCTCTAGGCAGTGCTGGGTCATTTTTGTTATACAATATTATACATATTTGTTACATTTTGTCAATAAAATATATCAAATGAGGTTTTTTGTCTATCAAAGTCTTTCAAATCTGTCTGACAGTATTGGTGGTCTGATTAATTGAAATAATCGAAGATTGGTCGCAGTGATTAAATGACCAAGCAATCGATCATGTTTTCACATAATCGAACACAAACAATTTGGGAAAACTTGCTTGCATTAACAAAAATTTTCACATGGTTGGTTTTGTCTGTTTCATAAACACTACGAGCTCATACCATGTCATGATTGAATTTATCTCAAAGACCCCAGGAAATTTATGTTCCTAACATAGCAGTATTCCTTCAAAGATGTCAAATTTGCCAACGTAACAGGAAAATTTGATCAATGATGCTAACCAAGTATTTTCGATGATTGATCGGTTGTAATGAACTAATCATCAATTATCCTATTTAAACCAATTCCAAACACTATCTGACAGTTGATGGTACCTCAGCAACAGCAACAGATTACACTATGAATACACAATGCCATTTAGTCAAATATAACATAGGTCATATCTGTAGAAGCCGTGGTGGCTGAGTGTGTTAAAATGCTGACTTTGTTTGCTGGTGAATGGGTGACTGACTGAGGGTGTGGGTTCGAGTGCCGGATGAGACTCAACCGAACAAATACTAGAATCTGTACTTCACTGAGAAAGTGTATTCCCAAAATATAACATGTTACATAGTTTACACTTATCAGGACAGAACTGTTCATCTGTGAGCAGTTCTCTTGCTTTTTTAATTTATTTTTTAAACCTTTTTTGCTTTATTTAACGTCGCACACACAACTAAGGTTCACAACTAAGTTCTCTTGCTTTGCTGAACAACTGCTGAAAACAATGCACACCTACAAACTGTTTGATTGTTATCTAAACATACAACTTTAAGGAAAACAACTTCTGTTTGTTGAGACAAGCAGCAGATTACCATAATAACAGGCAGGGAAAGCAGCTACCACACAGATATTTTGATGAAGCCAGATATATACAATAACAACACAGTGAAGCCAGATAGCTTGTTTCCTGATTGGATGCTAAATAGCTTAACATGCTAACAAAAGGAGTCTTAATTGGTCTTAATCACAGGATTTAATGCCCTTGATCTTTGTTGATGATAACAGTTTGAGAGAGAACAATTGGACATATATTCAGTAAATATCAGCATCAACTTAAACAGCCAAAGCAGACCGCAAATCAACCCTCTCAGGCTAACAGCAAAAGTTCCCAAAGCTAAAGGTCTACATCACTGAAGATTAAATGAATTTGTCTTGTGTTTGATAAACTAGTCTTGTCATGACTGGATACAATGAAAAGCAAGCAGTTGTCACTAAGATGGCATAATCCCCTGCCACAAATGATCAAATCAAACAAAAGGTAATGAAAGTGAAGGTCATAGTTTAAGATGAAGTTAAATGTCAACAAAAACATGACCAGGCAACCTCTCTTGATATCTTGTTCTGTAGCTGTTCAAACACACAAATATTTTCAAGACTCACTTTGACCTTGACATAAATGTCATGGTGTATGAAATATGCCCAAAAATAGTAATAAAGAAATTGCCTATCAAAAACATTCAAGAGAAGTCTTGAAAGTCTATGAAGAAAATCCAAAGAATCCGTTCCTGAGATATCTTGCTGACAATCTTAACCTACTGAAATCTTCAAAGTGTCGCTGTGACCTTGAAAATTATCTGAAGGTCACCAAAATTGACTGGGCCATGCACCTTCCATAAATGAAGCTTGGTGTCAAATATGAAGAAAATCCAGGGAATGGTACTTGAGGTCACCGACAAGCTTAGTATCCAGGTTAACATGCTGAAATCTTCAATGTGTCACCGTGACCTTGAAAATTACGTGAAGGTCATCAAAATTGACTGGGCCCTGCGCTTCCCTAGACGAAGCTTGGTGTCAAATATGAAGAAAATCCAGTGAACGATTCTTGAGATATCAAGCTGACAGGGGTAAAAAGTTAAAGTCCCCTTGTGACCTTGAAATGAAGGTCAAGGTCACCAAACCTGACTGATGAACCTAGGTACCAAATATGAAAAGAATCTAATCAACGGTTCTTAAGATATTCCAATTTGTACGTAGGGACGGACAGAGCCTAATACTATATCCCCAGCTTCGCGCTAAACGCGAAGGGGGGGACAACAATACACCATGCTGGACCATCTTCGGTGACAGATGTAGTTTGATACATTATCATATACTATATGACCAAGTTACCTTGTCTCTCCTCAAATGCAGCCCAAGACAAGTGAATGTACGGCTTCTTCAGCAGGTGGATTGTACAGGCACGCTGGTACACGCTCCTTACCCCATCTACATTGTGCTGTTCTAGGTATTTGGCATACTGAAAATATACCGGATATATAGGTTACGGGTATTCTGAAATTACATCTTAAATTCTTACTTGAATGACTTGGTTTCACACCTATTGTATGTTCACTTCATTGGTTAGTCAAACATTTCAATTGCAAAATGGCAGCTGTCATTTTACAGATCCTGAGTTTGTAGACCCATTTTTCAACATTCATGTAGTTTTGATTTTGTTTCTTCAGCTTTAGATTTCGGTAGGCAGAGGAATATTTTACTCACTTTCATCCAAAAGTCTTCATAAAGTGCGCATGCGATCATACACCTCTCAAACAGCACAACCACTCGCTCATGGGATCCATTTTCAATCTCAAAGTCCAAGTATTCCCGCCAGTTCTTCAGCTGAGCTCTTTCCAGAGGTTTCACATGGAAATATGGGCGACGAATCTGAATCAGTGGATGGTGGCAATGTCTTGAGAAATAGCAAACTGACATTATGATTCAATGTAAGAGAGTGGTGTGCTGTGATTTCTTTGTCAATCAATCCACTTACTTATAAGGACAAACTTCTTCCACTTCTGGATAAAGTTGAAGGTATCATGATAGACTATGTTTGTGATTCAGACTTTCACTTGTGGGATCAGAAGTTTCACTTAACACAATACTGATTTTCTTACAAATAATCTGAACAAACAGTTCTCTAAATACTGAGACACTTCACTTTGGAGGAGTTGGTTACTTGAAAGAAACTTACAGCTTCCTCATAAGTCCATCTCTTGCTGACTTCATCCTCATTCAGTCTGTGGATTGTCTCTTGGTGTTCCAAGATCCACTCTCGCAGTTTCTTGGCTTCATCTTCATCAGCCTGGAGTACATACACACATATACCAGTTTGTCAAACAAAACACATTTGTGTAAAATGGTCCAAAAGTCTTCTACATGCTTTTCACAAAACTGATCACTGTTACAAGTAAGACAATATTTACACATTTGTCAAAAGTTGGTCAATTGTAAGACTGGATGAACATCAACCATTTCACCATGGTAACTTCTAAGTGTTTTCAAACCTATAACACATCTCACCGACTTATTATATGCAGATGGTGAGGTTAATTAAATATTGAAAATCTGTATCAATTATACACGTGTGAATATTCACATCTGCTGTACACCTGTATGTATGTAACCAGGACAATACATTTGATACACACTTGAATGTAGAATGTTATTCTACGAGATTAATGATATCATGATCCTTCAAATCAAACACAGAAGCTGGTTGAAACAAACTCACCATCCCTCCCACAGCTTCTTCCCCTGGTGGTGCATCCACACCAGGGGGTGCATCCTCCCCAGGTGGGACCTCAGCACCAGCATCCTCCTCATCTACCTTCACAGTGCCGGCCTTGACAACCTCTTGCCGCAACTTCAAGAACTCATCCAGACTCAAGATATCCTTTGGGTGGTTTTCCATAACATGCTTCTTGAAACTGAAACAGGTTGTTTATTGAAATGAATCTGCTGTTATCTAATGGACTTTTCTAGTTTACATACTAAATCATATCAGAAATGTTTCTGACATACTATGATTGGACTGATGGAAGTTGTGGAAGTTACCACGTAGGATTTTGTTGTTGTTTAACATGTTTAATGTCACACTAAGTAATATTGCAGCTATATGATGTAGTCTGTAAATAATCAAGTCTGGATGAGATAATCCAGTGATTTACATAATGAGCACTATCTACACAACTGGGATACGATGAAATGTGCCCACAAAGTCAACAAGTGTTTGCCACTGATATGGCAATGTCCCCCGCCGCTAAAGAATGGAATATCTATATTTATTACTTTTTATTTTTTGATTACATACAAGATGCCTGAAGTGAATGGTATCTGCATAATCCCCCAATGTAGGCTGTCACCAAATTTGAAGATATTGGATGAAACAGTGCATGAGATATCACGTTAACAAGAGTTTGAAAAGTGGTCAAAGTGTCGTGGTGACCTTGAAAATAAGGTCAAGGTCACCCCAATAGACTGGTGTCTGCATAATCCCCCAATTTAGGCTGTCACCAAATTTGAAGACATTGGGCAAAACAGTGCATGAGATATCGTGTCAACAAGAGTTTGTGAAGTGTTCAAAGTGTCGTGGTGACCTTGAAAATAAGGTCAAATCACCCCAATCGACTGGTGTCTGCGTAATACCCCAATGTAGGCTGTCACCAAATTTGAAGATATTGGATACAACAGTGCATGAGATATCATGTTAACAAGAGTTTGAAAGGTGGTCAAAGTGTCGTGGTGACCTTGAAAATAAGGTCAAGGTCACCCAAATCGACTGGTGTCTGCGTACGGACGGACGCCGCTGAATACATAGTCCCCATTCTGCATTGTGTGGGGGACAATGAATCTGACCTCCCAATCCCATTAATTGCCTCTTCCAAGTTCAAGTATAAACCAGACAAACAGTAACAACTCCCACATCAAGGTTACCCTTCCAAAACAATCACTGAACAAAAGTTGAAGCCAAAAGGGACATGTGAATAGTGCCTTTAATTGTTTAGGTATTGGTTGGCCATGTCATGTCAGGAACTGGATTCCCAAATGGGATGAATGTTTTCACCAGACACTGCAGGATCTACAGTGATGAATACTGCACTCTCATCAATGTGGACTACTCATCGTTAAATCACGATCCAAGATCCATGCCAAGGAGGTACAATGACACTCAATAAGCCAAGGGTCACATTCGACCATCTGATCGAAATGTTTGTTAGCTCTTACAGACAATTCCACTGATTTTTTTAAACCAACTCTGAACTCCCATACTTACTTGTCATAGTGATGGCTGTATAGCTGTGTGGGAATTGACAATAATCGTTTGTATAACTGTGTCACTTTCTTCTTGTTGTGTCGCATATTTTCCCAGGATATATAGGAGTCCCAGAGTTTATCGGAGCGGAAGTCAGTGCCAGCTGCTGTGATTGACCTCTCATAAAGTCTAGGCAAATCAAACAGCCATTGAATAAAGACCGTAATATACTTCTGACAAAAACATTACTAAGCTGAAACACGAATAAGAAGCATGTATTCACAATAGAGGTACAAAACTATTAAAGTACTGTCTGAAATAGGAAAAAACTGTTTTTTGGCTGTTACTCTGTATCCTTAAAATTTACACAACTGCAAGTAGCATATGTTGAAATAACCCACATCGGCCTAACTGGGCGTTCAGTGGGATGTGTAATAGGATATCTAGAAATGCATGTTTACTTGTAAAATCGGGCAAAACTTAGCAAAAATACTAACGGCTGCTGAAAACAATAGATCAGACTATAGATGGCACTGAGTTGGCTCAGCCAGATATGACGACGGACCGTCGACTCACCTGGCATGAAATGCATATGCTACCTACAGGCATAAGGGGTCATCTCAAAGATATTTTATGCTTTTTTCATGTGTATTGAATATGTCTGATCTATTGATTATCATCTTACGCGTCTTTTATAATGTTTAACAATATGATACCCATAGAAAAGCTTAAATCAACTATCGTATTAAATGTCTCAAAATATATAGGTGGCAAGACCACCCCAATATCGACAGAACTGGATATTATTTGTTAATTGTTAAGACATGCCGTTTACTTCCCCCAGTATAATTTCCCTAAGAGGATTATCTTATGTTAGCTGATATCTCTATCCCCCAGTACGACCCACACCACCGTCTGTGACACTCATCCTGGTTTTGCTTTTAAGACGACCCTTCCTACCTGTTTTTTTTATAGTGATAGTGAGGCTCCATGGTAGCTAGATCCTTAATAGTTTCAGTATTAAAGTTAGCTTTCTTATAAACTATAGCTGACGCAAAATATACTAAGCCTAGTTTCAAAATGGGCATTTAAAAAGTGTCCTTTGAAACACAATATCATCGCACACTAATTTGCATAAAGCCATGGCCTGTTCTAAATAAGTCGCTTTGGACTGAAAAAACCCTGCATTGCTCATTTCTGCACTAATCTCTCCTCAGTAAAGTCCTTTTTTTTACGTTTCCTATCTCTAAAATTCAATAAGGTTTGACTCTGGCGCCTTAAGAGAACTTGTCACAACATTAAATTTTAACCGAGTCACTGAGAACCAACTTAACCGCCTTTCTTACCATAAAATTAAGATCCTTAAAAATGTTAAAATAACTCTTGACTGTACCTTGCCAACATTAGTTATATTGTTCATGTTGTCTTCAGACAAGGTTGATGGTAACAACAGTTGCCAAAGAAACTTACTTCCGTATCTTCTCCTCCCCATCTTCATTGGAACCAAACTCAGTGATGTAGAAGTTGAGGTAATGCAGCCATAGTTCAACACTCAATGGGATAGCCTTTACTCCACGCTCAAACACCTGATAAAACAAGACACACATACTTAACACAATCAAAACGACACTTATACCTTTACCTTGGGTACGAGGTTACAAGGGAAATCCACAAAACCACGGAACCCGAGCGAATCCGATTCACGATGAATTACAACTGATTTCATTACCGTGACTATTTCCCAGTGCACGCCTGTGTGGAAGGCTGGCCCTCAGAGTGGTCTCCCTTTGTGGCCCCGGCCTTAGATCATTCATGTCAGAGTGACAAATTTCAAAAGAGAAATTTGACTGCTAAGATTTAGCTTAATTTCACAAACCCGGTGTTTGTACAGGGGTAGCACTCCATGCATTGGGTGCAATTTTCTGCAAAGAAAAACACGGCATAAAAAAACCATGAACAAATCTTCTACCCTACAACCTAATCTGCTGTTGGAAATTTCTTTTCACCTATTACGCGTGAAGTCCCCCATCCAAAAGGTTGAGCAATCTACTGCTTGCAAAGGGTGCCTACAGCATAAACTGAAGCTGTTTTGTGTAGAAATAAATCCAGTGTCTGATAAATTCCTGAGCACAAACAGGTTATCTGTTCACATTTAAATTCACTATGCTAGCAGTACAAGAGGAAAGCTAGATTTCATCACAACGTTTTCTGCAATTAATATTTTAAGAAGCAAATGAATTTGAAGAATATGTGAACATGTGTGGTGTTCAGATCAGTATAGTCAGGAATCTACATGAATTCTATTCTACATGTGCCCAGTTTTCACTTCAGAAAGTCAGGAGAAAAATGATTGTATGCATCTTTCACTGACTGACTGAGTTTGGTTTTACGTCGCTTTTAGCAATATCCAGCAACATCACGGCGGGGGGCACCAGAAATGGGCTTCACACATTGTACCCATGTGGGGATTCGAACCCGGGTCTTCGGCGTGACGAGCCAACGCTTTAACCACTAGGCTGCCCCACCGCCCCCTATGCATCTTTCAAAGAATCCTAAGCAGTGATTTTATTAATAATTTTCTACCAAGGTGTTAAGTGTTCCCTTTCAGCTATACATACTGCTTGGTGCTACAAACTTGATACCGCCTCTGTGGTGTAGTGGTTAGAGCGTCTGCCCGGAGAGCGGCAGGTCGCGGGTTCGATCCCCGACCGCGTCATACCAAAAGACGTTAAAATATGGTACTTGTTGGTCCCTGCCTGGCGCTCGGCATTAATGGGTACAACAAGGACTGGTCGGCTCGGAGTCAGTATAATGTGTCTGAGTGGGGTATTCATGCTTCACTGCGGCATGGTATCTCAGTGGGCTAGCACTATAAAACCAGCTTCAGTCTGGGCTAGTACAAGCAGCCGCACATACACATACACACGCATGCACATCGTCATATGAGCGAAATATTCTCAAGCACGACGTAAAACCCAATTTCACCTCACCTCACAAACTTGATTATACAGTTAAATAGGTTTGAATATTCAATTTTGGAATTGAGCGCACATAATACATTAATAGTGCTTAGGTGGTTCTTCTCAAGGACTCTTTCCTCGAAACAATAAACACGGTGAAAAAAAGTACACGAAAAAAAATAAACTGAATGTTCGTCAGTCAATCTAAACTGGACAAAATGTTGTCACTGTAGAAACACTGTACATTTCTCACTCATTAAATATTTTCCTTTTTTGTTTTAACAGATTAAAATACAATGCAGCAGGGGGATGCTGCTTGGTCTTGGATCTTAATTATACATTTACATATTACAGTTTATCCAAATACAAGCATCTGTTCAAATAATGTTTATTTTCCTCGACCAGTAAATCCAAATAATTCCCCTACTATCATACTCAACTCCATGGGGAATTTACAACCCAGGCAGTTTTACATTCACTTCCTGTGACGGATGTCCAACAGCATGGAGCCGTGGAGCAAAGACAAGTACCTACTAGGATATATCATCTGTTAAATCTGATAAACTGCCCCACCCCCACCCAAAAACACAAACAAACAAAAAACACTATGGGTCAGAGTGATGTGAAAATCTAAAACCTCATGGTCCAACATAAAACCACCAAATACAGATTTAGTCACATGGAGACTGACTAGGTTAATGAGACAGTTACATCTCCCAGAGGTATTATCTTAAAAGATATCAAACGTACATGGTACTGTTGAGGAGTATCTGATAAGACAAACTCTGAAGAGTTACACAGCAGTCTTCTGAAATCAACAGAATCAAAGTTCATATATATCATACATTTATGCAACTCTCGAGGTCTCTCCAAATCTGCCGCTCAGAGAGGACTCGGAATTCAATGGTAGAAGTACATACCGCTAAAGCTCGGTCAATGTCAGTAAATTTCTTCTCCATATCGCTGTATTTCTTCCAGTAACCATAGCAATATGGGTAGTGACTGAAGAATGCATCATAAGCCTCCTCTGCTGCTTTTAAGTTGTTCTGAGGAAATGAAATAAAAATGGCTTCAATAACAAGAAACTTTATACATGCAAATATTTGGATACATTGTTCAGTATTCACAACTTCAAGTGACATCAATTTTTAAACAAACAGATCATTATGTTAATACTTTAAATATCAGATTTATCTATTTAGGACTAAGCCCGAGTCTCTACATAGGCAGTGTGTGACAAAGTTCAAGTCATTATAGTCCAATGTGCTTGAACATTAACATGCTAAACCCACTCAAGCTACAGGTAATACACAACAGATAAAAGCCTTGTCTGTCTTTTTTTAAAAACTTGTTTGTAAATCCTCAGATTCAGCTTGAATAAAATTGTTAAAGTCCATGGTTTTGTGTTGTCTTCCTTCCTTGTGGTCTTCCAGCTGGTATCTGCATGAGTTATCACCCTTACCAGAAGCGCAGGAAACCTCATAATTCTGATCATTAACCAGTTGTCATGAACATATGTCACACACTGCTTTGGACTGCACTTAAATACCCACTACTTGGCTGTTGAGAAGTCTGACACAGACACTAAGTCAACATTTCCTCATACATACCTGTACATTTTTGGGTGCCACATACTCTACTGCATTAAGCTGGATTTCTTGAAAAAAGATATTGATTTTAAATTTAGGTAAATCACCTATATAATTGGAACAATAACATTGATAGAAATTGCTTATGGCGATTCACAGAGCTGACTGAATGTTTTCATGAACATCCCTTACCTCTTGTTCAACAAACTGCAGCAGGTACGTCCAACCAGTGAAGTCATTAGGGTTCTCCTTCACTGCCTTCCAATATTTGTCCAGCTCAGACTCTTTTTCAGTCTTCTCAGTCTTTGCAACTACTTCTGTCTTACTTTCTGTCACCATTGCTGTTTCTGAAATACAAACTGATCTTTCAGATTTTGAGCATTTATCATGTTAATGGATTGGCTTAAGGAGTGTGTCCAGCAGTTTGATAGAAAAAACACCAACCCCATTAAATGTGATTGGACAGAGCAATGATGTCATATTGTTTCATAACAACGTATGGTATGGATTTACAACTTCCTTAATATTTACAACACAACGATTCTGGGCTACTTCTTGCCCCTTTATCAGGTGAATGACAGAATATGGTACGACCAAAATATATAGTATGTACAGGAAGCCAGTGAGATAGTATTACTGATTGAGATGTACAGAGATAAAGTGATGTGTTTTGATTGAGATTTGCAGAGTTCAAAGAGATTAAGTGGTATGTTTATGCAATGGATGTACAGAATGTTTATACAATGAAAAGGATAAGCATGATAGAATTGATTGGAAGCCACTTATGAAAACAATGATAGGAAAAACATATGAAAACACACATCAAAGCATGTACAGTGATTAAGGGGAAATGATCTGCCATTTGAGGATTTGTCACAAACGTTAAAGAAATCACTTGTGTTTTATAACTTAATCAATTTAAATTTACAATAATACTGTATTGTGAAGACAGGAAATCAAATTGTTAACTGCATTTCAATCTAAATTATACTAAGAAACAAAGAAAGCTATGTCCTCCTTTGGTCACTCGTTGCAGCATAATTCTGATCATTCCAAACATAAGGAATATTTTCATACCTTTATAACGAACTCCAGGGGACCACTAAAATTAGTTCGTTATATGCGTAGTTCACTATTCACTTTTTATATGATAATATAAGGTTTATTCGGGACTTTTAAAACAGTTCGCTATAGCCATCAGTTCATTATATCCGTGTTCGTTATAAAAGTATTCTAGTGTACTTGGAATAGGAATTTGGGTCAGATACATCCTAATCAACATTCAAATCTTGTCTTTCTCCGACAATGCCAAATACATAAAACATGCCATAAAGTCAACCAAAATTATATGTCCTTCAGTATTTTGTTCACTCAGAGTTTCAATAAATATCCAAATAGAAATATAGTTGCATGGTGCTATAATGGAGTAATAATTAATAATGAAGTTTTGTATGAATTACTACTCTATGATGGTGATGACATGTTTACCTTACAAAACAAATCAAAGTGATTGATTAAACCGTCTAGACAGCTTTTGTCTTACTTGAAGGGTGTGTCTAAGAGATGAGTCCTTATTACCTTAGGCTTGGATTTATCAAGAATTATCTTTTAAACTATGTAGTCGTAACTGATACCTTTTTGAATAGTATGTCTGTGAGATGAGTTTATATTACTTTAAACTGGTGTCTTTCTCTAATCTATTACTGATCATGATGGAACTAATATTCTGTATTTATATTTTCCTAATATCTGAATCCTAATATACCGCTTGCAGTGGTAATAACTAATAATTAATTTTTGTATGAATTATTACTCCATAATAGTGCTTTTACCTGAGCATGAAAAAAAGCGGAGAAATATATTGTTTTTAACACCGAACAAAATTTCGGAGAAAACTTAGGAGGGTTTTTGGTTTTCGAAGTGTTTAGGTAGTTGCTCTTGAATGTACACAATTGCATAGGAAATTTAATATTCTCCATTTCTAAGCAACTTCGTCGCCATAGGTAGAACCCGTGGCGTGAGAGCGCTAATCTGGTAAAAAAATAATCAGAATTCAGGCTGCTGAGGTAAGCACCTTCTCAAATCACTTGGCTATCACCCATAAATCATGGAATGGATCTGTTATTATCTCTTCCAAAATATAAGAACAAATGTACAAAACAGACTACAGTTGTCAAAAGTGTGACTGCATGATGTCAGTGAGGGATGAAAGATTGAAACTTATATAGGTTCTTGGACACTTTTAAAAGCACGTCCATTGTCTCAAATATCACATGAACAGTAGTAAAACATGTCATTATCTGAATAAAGCCAACTTTATCTTATACGAAAGCCATCATAAGAGTTACAATATCTGTGGGAGGCAACTACTGAACTAGACACGTTAGAGCGAGAGTAAACACTGCCGTCTGAAAACATGTGACGTCCGAAAACGGCCCTGAAAACATATGACCTGTTAATTGTCTTCTGAATATCATTCAGCATTTGGAATGCATCATAATTACTATTACATAATTGTCTATATTTTACATAAATATCCAATGTCATGGTACAAATAACAGGAATGGCAAAACACTTTGTACATAAACGCAGCCACCAGGAAATAGATCTACATTGCACAATATTGCACCTCGCCATATCAATTTCGCGTGTTATTCATGTGAAATGCCTGATAAAATGTAAATCTCGACAAAACCTTTCAATTACAACACTGATCTCACATATGCACCGATTGTCATAATCATTCATAGAATATCGTCTGCGTAAAAAGTATAAACATTGGTCGTCTTTTCAAACATATTTCCACGTATATAGTTCACATAATCTGGAAATATGTGTCTCTCATTAAAATTCAGATCATCATTCACATACATGCATTTAGAATAAGTCTCAATGTCTCACACCAACACAGGATTACCTTGATTACTTTCAGCCTGTTTAGCGGTGTCCTCACTTGACGGAGCTACCTCCAATTCTGGTTTGTCCAAGTTGGCCGACATTTTGAGCTGATGTGCTGTAACTCCTACCAACGCGTTTAGCACTTTGTGCATTGCATAAAACGCCTTGGAACGCTGTGTGGAGTTTACTTATATTTGTGCTGACGGCAGTTATGTCCCTTCCAGTGTTATGAAGCACTGAAAATTTACCAGGCCAATTTTCGGACTGTTTCTTTTTTTACAACATCCGATTCATCGTCACGAGACTTCCGATCGAGTTCACTCCCCTTTGATAGTGTTTATATTGTCTCCAGCAATGGGACTTGGAAATATTTTCGTGTTGTCTCAAGTGACAGCGTTTCTCTTGTCATTTATTTTCTCTTTCTTCATATTTGTTCCCGTTTGGTCAAACTTGAATGAATTCTCAGGCAACTGTTTACTCTATAGTTCAGGCTCATGGATGCCACAGTCGATCATTTCTCAAGTGAAACTGAACATAACATGGGGACCAAATAGTGCATGTAATTTTACTGTTTTCGTTGGTGTTGCTGTGATGGTCTTGTCGATATTCTACATGATCTGGCAATCACGACATCTGTGTAGAGGGATTGACAGGTAAAACACTGAGCTAACAATTCCTGATGTATTTATCGTCTGTGGTTACAGAGACCCACAGGGGCTTGTATTGCTGAAAATAATACGTCCTGGGTCCTACAAGCGTACTCTGATATCCATGTGTATATGTATATGGATATCAGAGTACGCTTGTAGGACCCAGGACGTATTATTTTCAGCAATACAAGCCCATGTGCAGAGACCATATAATCTATTATATTGTCTCTGGTGGTTATCAGACCCTAAGGTTGCCATAGAGCCTCGGTTCAGGCCTGGGTGCCGTTGTACAAAACAACCTTAGCGCTAAGGCTACCTTAAGTCTATGTTAAAGTATGGGAGTTACGGTCACCTTATCGCTAAGATCGCTTTATAGAACGGCACCCAGCTGTAAATCATAGAACGATCTGTTATAACCTCGGACCATTATCTCCTTCAATCAAGGAAGAACTGTACAACAGCTGACAACGTCAGAACTTCTAGCAACTTCACTTATTAATGTGACAACTTTATCTTAAATCAAGCCATCCAAGTATTTACAGTTTTCTGTATGAGGGAAACACTGCACCCCCAAAACCTATGACCCGATGATATAAATTTATTTGTTTGATACTGTTTGCCATGTTACTACATACAAGTAAGACTTCCGTCCATATCCCCTCCTAAATTTTAACGATGTAGAACAAATTCTTTGAGTGGCATTTTTTAAAGTTGAATATGTCTTTCAGTATGTTCAGATACAATTAAAGAAACATGTTAAAACTCATCCTTACTAAGTGAAGTATGATTTGACTAGAATCAAATTTAAGGGGATACGGGCGGAAGTCTTTACCCAAATGAACATGTTGATCTTGAACTTGTGGTTTAACAAAATTATTTTTTGCTGTCTATTCCAGTTCTTGGCTTGATGCATTTGTTACTTGTGCTGTGACACTCGTCATGACAGTGGTGCTGTTTGCAACAGCTCTCACAGCAAGTGTGGGCTTCAGAGAGTGGTGCTCGCTCATCACGAATCCAGTGTCTCAGATAGAGAAGTAAGTCACCGACATTAGCCAGAAAACAACTTGCCTTAGTTGATACATATCATCTCTGAATTGCGTAGATAATACTTATTATGCCAATCACTGTATCATCTCTTCCAGACTCAGTTATTTGCAGACTGCTGTCAGATAGGTGTAATATTGCTGAGTAATGCATTAAACAACAAACAAACCATGATGTTATTGTAGTAAAGGTAAATTCTATGTAACCCAGCAGAAAATGGGTACCTGGTGGGATAAGTCATGTGACTATAACCTTCCAGTGCTTCATAGGCAGCTTGGGTTATCTGGGGTAATAATGAACTGTCTGCAATATGAGCATGCTGTTGGTATGGATTTAGCACAATATAAATGGACTAATTATTGTTATTATAAGTTAATGATGATGGGCACAGGCAGCACAAAATAGAACATGGAGAGGCTCTTACATTATTGTAAAGGAGTGTGACAAAACCTCAAGATGGAATGCCCAAAGTTTCAAAGAATGACACAACTGGTATGAAAATATCACAATGCAACAGAAACAGTTTTAAGTGATCTTGACAGAGATCAACAAATTGCAGATTTTGGGAGAAAATATGCATAGCGTAGAGTTGGCTACAACTTCCAGAAGGACGTTGTCTGTATTGCTGTTGTCATGGTAGGACTTTGTGTTAAGCCATGTGTCTTGATCTTTCTAATGCTGATTTCCTCAGGTAGGCCGCAGTTACTTACAGTTGAGATAGAGCTGAATTATTGCTGGCTGTAACAACATTCAGTTCACTTACTCTCAGTGTAATTCAACATTGTGTGTGCTTCCTTCAGATGTGAAAATGGCCAGTTTGATGGCAGGATTGTGTTCACTACAGGGCTACTGATCAATACCGACAACTACTACACAGAGTTTGAAATGTCACAGGTAAGAAACTAGAGTGCGTTAACGAGTTTAGTTTTACACTTTAGCAATATTCCAGCAATATCACGTCATGAGACAACAGAAATGGGCATCACACATTGTAACCTAGGTGGGTAATCGAAACCCAGGTGTTCACACATAAAATAAACCCATTGAGAATCTAAAGTCTGTAAAGGTAAATTTATAATAGGATGGAGTGAGGGGGTTGCACACTACTCAAGTCATGAAGTGCCATATGACAGAGTCTGAGTGAGTGAGTGAGTTTAGTTTTACGCCGCACTCAGCAATATTCCAGCTATATGGCGGCGGTCTGTAAATAATCGAGTCTGGACCAGACAATCCAGTGATCAACAGCATGAGCATCGATCTGCGCAATTGGGAACCGATGACATGTGTCAACCAAGTCAGCGAAACTGACCACCCGATCCCGTTAGTCGCCTCTTACGACAAGATAGTCGCCTTTTTATGGCAAGCACATGGGTTGCTGAAGACCTATTCTACCCCGGATCTTCACGGGTCCATACAGAGTCTGAAAATAGGGGGCATGTCATGATGTGTACCCCTCCGCTTGATCTGTCATTGTAGAATATGGATCAAATGTTAAAATTGGATGCCATCAGGGGTGGAAATAACCCATTGCCCGACGTCCGAGTCCAGTGTTTTTTTCTGTCGGGCAAGCAAATTTGTATATCACACTGTACCGGTGTCCAGTTGACTTTCCAATGTTAATTATGTTGTTTATTTAAAGGATCAACAAGAAAACGGCCGGTATAGTGGAAAAATTGTCAGGGCAAGTGATTTTACATGTGCCACTGTACCGGAGTACATTAGCAATTTTAAAGTTATTTCCACCCCTGTGCCATGCTTGTTGTAAGAGGTGACTAATGATATCGGGTGGTCAGGCTCGCTGACTTGGTTGACACATGTCATTGTATCCCCGTTGCTTAGATAGATGCTCTTGCTGTTGACCACTGGATTGTCTGGTCCAGACTCGATTATTTATTGACCACCGCCATACAGCTGGAATATTGCTGAGTGCGGCATAAAACTAAACTCTCTCACTCACTCACATTCACTCCTTTTGAAACAGCACCTACCTTTGTATCTCTTAAAGGTATACTTATCATATGTTGTTTGAAACTTGTACCACGAAATTAACGGGTTAGTGTGTTATCCTGTTATGTGTACAGTGAGTATTTTTGTGTTCTAGTTCGGTCTGTGGGCAACATGGATTTGTTGGTTAGTGCTGTCATTTCTGTCAGTCATTAAGCTCTACCGCTACCACAGACAGGAAACATTCCTCACCAGCATGAACCGAGAACGGGAACGTCTCCTCCAGCGAGTTGGACACTCATCTACGGACCCAATGTGATTTGAATTATACATTCAGATGGTAGCCATCTTCATCTGTCATGGTGCTATATACACTGGGTGTGGAACTCTCTACTAAGGAGGAGTATTACTTTGCCCTACATTTTGTTGAGGTGGATGTCTTCATTGAGGAATTCAAAATTGTGTATTTTCTCCGCACATTAGTTCATCCAACGTTACAGAGATAGACATACCCTACTAGTCAAAGCCCAAATTTTGACTACTGGTTTCTGTAAATTCCTTAGATCCTAGAGAAGCACTTAATACTCCCAGATTTTTGGTTACTGGACTGGTGGCCATGTTTATCTTTGCTTTGTTATACTTTAAGATCAAACATCATATCATCCAGATTTATGAATGCTATGTCATTTGTTTTTCCTGTATATTTTTTACCTGTCAGAGATGCATGTTTCAGTTTGTCAAACCCATGGTGGGTAGTGCTGTTCAGTAGATGGAAAATAAGACAGAAGACCTTGAATGTTCATGAACAACCCAGACAGAAATACGACACTGATAGCATATTGATATATAGTGAGACCCCAGATACCTTGACCCCAAATATCCGGAAACCTCGCCTTCCGATCAATTTTTATAAAAAAACCAATCTCTTACGTTATAAAAGTGACTGTCTATAACGGATATGCAGTTTCCGTTCCCGGACGGTAAATTTTACAAACCAACCGGTTAAATCAACACAAAATTGACTCACTTATCCTCACGAAGCTTTGATCTTCCGCTGACCGTTTGAAGTGAAGCACGAGTGTCCCACGTGTTTTGACACAAGACAAGGTCTGCTAATCCTTTCTACACACTGCTTAAAATTCGGCTTATAGACGGTAGTATACGGTAAGCCTGGATGACAGAAATCCAGATATCCGGATATTCAGTTTTCCGGACGATTTACATAAAAACGAATGTGTCTGGATATCCGGGGTCTCACTGTATCTCCAAAACAAGGACCATTTATGTTGTTGCTTTATGATATTGTTTCTGCCACATTTCAATCCTCGTGTTGTATTACTCTTTAACAAACTTAACAGCTAGGGAGCTTGTTCATGTTTTCAGTTCCTTGTTTGACTTTTATTTACCGGTCTGATACAGCTGGAACACAGCTGACAAGGCCTTGAAATCACTGCACTGCTTCGCTCAGATTGATGAAAAGATATTATTTGTGGTTGGACACCCAGTGTTTTTGTGGACTTTTCATTGCAAATGTGTATTCCTCTTGATACCGTATTCCTTATTTATTCAGTTAAATAAATATTTTTGACATTAGAACAACTGTAATTTTATTCTGTATTATGTACACAAATTTTTCTTCCAAGTCCTTGATATCACCATATGGTATTCTTGTAATTTAATCATTAGCAGTGGGCCAATCATATTAATATAGACAAAGCCCTTTATATCCACACATTACTACTCTGGTTAGTTGTTGGAAGACTTGATCTTTGCATAGTGCCACCTCATGAAGTGGCTGTTTAATAATTACTGCCAGTATTTCACTGTAAAACACTGTGTTAATCAATGCTCAATGTATATATTTTCTTATCTTCATGGGTATTATAATGGGGATATGTTGATATTTGTGGAAAATAAATACTGCATATATTATATTTCTCATACGAAGAGAGCATAATGGCACATTTACTGTAAAGGAAATATGATTTTGTGACATAATTCAAATCAGGAAGAGGTTTTCATCTCTGACCATCGTGGTGTTTAGCTTCTTGAGGTCAGGAAAGAAGTTTCATGTAAATTTTCAGATAAAGGTTCGAAACAAGTACCCAAGCAAATTTATCCTTAGCCAGACACAAGAGTTTGACTAAGGTCATAAATGTCCACAACCAATGTCAGCTTTGGTTTTTCTCCCACAAAAAGCAGACATGACATTGTATCGGAGATAGATAGATCTATAGTGAGACTGAATCAAACTAACCCAGTTTCTCTCTCGGGATTCGAACACTGAGTAAAGAAAGTCTTCAACTTTACACAAGGTGGGGTGTCTCTGATGGGGACTCCTGTCCAACTATCAGATACGCATGTGTTTGCCCACCATTCCAGAAGTTGTCAAAGTTGATGTCCTGATGGGTTCAAGCCTGTTGTATGATGTATGGTATTCCATAATAGAAAAATAAACTGTCTATTTATGTCTCATATCGTGTTGTCTGTTTTCATGTCAATCTGTATTATATTTCCTAAATTAATGTAAGAAAATCTGGAGTTAGCTGTTGAAATAAGTGGTGTCAGATCTGCTGCTTGATTTTCCCCATAAGCAGCAGAATTGAAATATAATCCTGGATTTTATCTGTGATAGTCTTGTCATTTCAACTGTAGTGGACAGAACATCTGCTTGGAGAGCGAAAGGTGGATGGACCAATCACAGTTCAAGTCCGTGAAAGAGGTCACAAGATGTTGTTGCCTGGTACACAACATTTGATGAAGTACAACTGGTTAAAAAAACAATGTTAATTGGAATTAGACACCTGGTATTCTTGTGGAATTTCGCTTAGCATCATGTATTTTGTTGTATGACATTATATAAGTAATTGTATCTTTGATGAGATATTAAAACCTGTTTTCCTGACACATTTTGAACCCTGAAACAAGCTGTCGTCTCTTCTTTATGGGACGCTTGGATTTAGATGGTGTCCACTTTGGGCTTTATTTCTTTGAAAGTTTAGTTTCTCACAAGAATATTGTGACTTTTGACTTGCATTTGGATGTGTAACAAGACACGTTTTAGAGACAAATAATGTTTATAGGTGCACCAACATTCTGTTCGTGATTCGAGCAAGTGATGTACAGCAACAGGAAGTAAAGTATTCTCTTCCGTTGTTTGACATATAGAAAACAATTATGAGGTATCTTTATTTTGTTCGTTATAGTTTAACAGTGTGAAGTGTTGCTTGCAAAAGAGGAACTGTACCATTCAGTTCTTGGAGAAAATTGGGTATCAATGTCTGGCTACTTCAAATTATAGAGAGCAAAGAATCAATGTAGTTGTCCTAACAACACGAGCTTCACACACCACAAACATCAATCTTAGTGATTAAGTATTTTAATAACTAGTGTCATTGACTAGTTTAATACCAAAAAACAAATGTGACCATTCGGTACAAATATTTCATTGTCTGTACAGTGTTGGTAAAATATACATAAAATTAACAATCTAAATACAGCATAAAGTGTATTTAGGAAGACCATTACCTTCCACCAAATTTTGATTTTGTAAGGCTGATAAATTAGTGTAGAGGTAAAAATGGGCTTAATAAAACCATGTATATAACCAGTGAAAACAACCATTGGAATAGGAAAATAGTGCTATATGTAAATTACTGTGCTAACACATGACAACATTTGGGTAACACGAAGTTTAAACTCACAACCATCTTACTCTGTAAAAGAGGTCTCACTTCTTGTCTATCTTCACTAAGAAATGTGATATAGCAATTGTTTTATTATCAGAAATGTGGAGAAATCCAGTGTAGAAAAACATAATTAATTGACGACACTTTAATACTGATTGAAGTCCAGCTCCCACAAGCAGTGATAAATCAGAAATCATCTGCTGATACTGACACTTTAGCGGTGGTATAGGGGCGAGGATGGTGTTAGGGTGGGCCATGATGTTGTGGGTGTACAGGGAGCTATGAGTGGTGGTGGTGTAAGTGGATGTAGCTGTAAATATTTTCCTCATCTAAATATCCCCCATTGTGACATACTGTCATTGATGGTTTTCTGTACATGGTTCATATGTGCGAACTAATCTTTTCATGGTTTAATTCTATAAAAACAAACTGTTGGTGAAGACAGCAGGTGAAGTGTGAATAGGCACAACAGGGATAAAGTCCTGTAATCGTACAATTCATCAAGATTGAGATTTTCACAACACTGAATGTCAATCCATACAGCTTATTCGATGATAAGTAACAATGCCTCCTATCTCCGAAATATATGAAAAATAATAGGAGGTTATGTTATCACAGGAAAAGTCAATACAGTGTAACATAGTAAACAGCACCTACAGAGAGCACACTGTAAAATACAGCACAAACCCCAACATCTACAGATATATGGTTATAGGAGGAACAACACTGAACATGCCCTATTGTGAAGATGGTAAAAATGAGAAAAACCCACACTAATATAAAGGTAAATAAGCTACATACAATACTTTATACACTACAATGTCAAATACAAAACAAAATCATACGCGACTCTCCATTTTCAGATCAAAAAGTAAGCAGATCAGTCATTATTCCACGTGTGCATGTAGTCTAATTGTATGCACAGCTACATAAACAGAAAATGACTCGATTTGACCAATTTCTCTTTTGAGAAATTATTGTTTAGGATTTCCATTTTATATCCCAGTTACAGAAAATGTCTGAGACAGAATTCTCAGTCAGGGTATTTTCATCCTAATGTGTATGGAATAGTGTTTGAACAGCTAAAACGGGTAATAATGTTAGTTGATGTATTTTCATTTCCATCGCAGAACATTAGTGCCTTGGCTTTGCCTTTACATACAGCAGGGATTCAAAATGATGTCTGCTGAAACATACCCCTTAATACTGAACAAAATCGTTTGGGACAATAATGAAAAGATGAATGTAATTATCATGACTGAAACTGAAATTGCACACTTTTTTTCAAAGAATAAATAGAACAGTTAATAACAATTACACTTTGGCAGTGGAACTTTGACAGACAATTTTTCAAATATTCATACTATGTAACTATCAACTGCATTTTAGCATGCCAAACAACACATTAATCAAAGAGAGCCTTGTCAAAGTGGCAGGTGTAACCATGGTAACAGTGCCAAGTGGCGATAAGATGCATAGTACTATCAAATCATTATTCACCATGATAAAGCTCTAAACATATCCATATTCATCTGTGTCACAGACCATGTCAAAATATTGAAGAATGTGATTAAAGAAATGGCTCTAAATGTGTCCATATTTATCTGTGTCACAGACCATGTCAAAATACTGAAGAACGTGATTTAAGAAATGGCTCTAAACATGTCCATATTCGTCTGTGTCACAGACCATGTCAAAATATTAACTGATGGAAACAGGTTTAGCTTTGGAAATTAATATTTGTTCATTGCGATGTTTTGGTAGTTACTTCATGGACTCCACAGCTTTTAAATAATACTAACAGACAAAGGTCTTACTAGTTAGTTATTTGTTTTATTTAACGTCGCACGCACAACTAAGGTATTTCGGTGACGGGGTCTTACTGTTCTGTATATCCATTTATATCACTACTGTGTGTTTATGTAGGGATTTGTCATGTACTAAATATATACTACTCACACTTAGCTAAGGGTCACAAAAACTCCAAACTTTACTTAAGCATAGATTTATAATTTGGAATTGTATCCATTTAAAACTGGATACATAATAATATGGTAACCCCTCTTTAGGCAAACAGCCACTTTAATGTAACCTTAAGCACCTGATACATGAGTAACCATAAAAATGGGTTTCATGGCACCAATTAACCATTTTGCAAATCATGGAACGAATCATTGACAAGTACACTATACCTGTCAATAGCAGGTATGGGATCCAAAAGATGCAGTGACATACTGAAACCAAGGATCCATGCTTACAATAAGCTTAGATTTAAAAAACAAATTAGACCTCACATCATAGTTTTCTGATGAATCCATGATTTGATGCTTAGCAAAGTGTGAATAGTATACTTTTCAGCTTCACAGAACATTTAACAAGATTCACAATTGGCAGGCACTTATATCCTTAGTATACGAGTCCTTAAACATCTTTAGTTCACAAGTCCTTATAGTGATAACATTTAGCCAAACCCGAAAAATGGTAACTTTCTAGCCGTTCACATGACACAAACTTTGGCAAGGACTATAGGACAACTGCCAATTTGTCTTTCCTCTTTTGTACATGTATATACTATATCACAGTGATAATGGTTGAAACAGGTTCTGAGATATATTTTCTCCAGTAGTTATATGGCATTCTAGTCATACATGTTCCAAGCAGACTAGTGTAGCACTAAGCAGTTCTCAAATTATTTCTAAAACAGAAGTGAATCGAGGAACGCTTCCCTGAACTTCTATCGATGTCCAGATCCATCAAGATAATTCTGCCTCCATTCTTGGTGATAATGCATCTGTCTTGGGGCAGGGGGTGGGGGTTGTTCCATTGGGATGGGTGTAGAAGGGGGAGGAGTGTGGGGGGAGCTCTGGGCTTGCAGGTGACTTCCTGGTATAGGTGGAGGGTGGCGGTATGTCTGAGACGGGTGGGAAGAGTAAGAGGTACCGTGATGTCCCAGACTGGAACTAGGGCCATTGCTTGACATGGTGTTCGAATACATGTGTGATGAGTGAGATGGATGCCCATGGGAACTTGATGAAGGTAGATGGTTCATTGGTGGAGGTCCAGAGGAGGAAATGGTATGTTGCCCCATAGAAGATGTTGAGGGATGGTGACTCATCGATGATGGATGTTGTCCCATGGAAGATGATGAAGTGTGGTGGCCAACAGACGAGGTTGAGGGATGATAGCCCATGGAGGTTGTAGAGTGGTAACTTGAAGTTGAGTGATGGTTCATCATGGAGTTCGATGTGTGATGATTCATTGTAGAGCTAGACGGGTGACTATTCATAGTGGAATTTGAAGGATGGCTGTTCAAGCTGGAGCTAGTGGGGTGGGTAGAAAGTCCTGAATTTGCAGAGTGATGTGTAAGTGACGAAGGAGGATTATAGCCTGGGGGAGGGGGAGGAGACTGGAATCCTAGAGACTGGGGACCAGGACTGATCCCTGGAGCAGGTGGGGTGGGGAGAAAGAGTCTGGGGGTGGGGGTGGAGGATAACCCTGCCGGGAAAGAACCGAAGATCCGGAATAACCACTCCGAAGGTTGTTCCTTTCTGGTGCCACATCACCAAGTTTCCTCCATACAACCTGGGAATACGAAATACAAGCATAACTCATCTAACACAAATAGGTCTTCATTGAAATGGCAATCATCATTGTAATTACACCATTAGGTCCACTTATCTTTGGCAGAATGGAAAAATCCATGTTAATTTCAGAATGTACAGAGAATGCCTTTCTGTAATAATATTGCACTAATGGTTTCTTATAGCTCTGCAAAAACAAACAGTACATAGAAAAATCAATACAGCTTTCATTGCCATCCCTTACATTACACATCTCCCTCACAATGGCTTTCTCCTTGTCGTCTAAGTTCTCATCTCCGACATCTCTCTCTGCTCTCTCCAGCTGCTCATGCACTTGCAGAACCTGTTAATATAGACATCAGCTTTTAGCAATGATCAATAGGTCATTCAGCTGAAACAAAGAGGAAGAGAGATAATCATGTCAGCACTAGCTTTATCTATGGGATTCAGTGACGGTGAAAGGAGTGATTTGTGCTGTGGTGAAGACAGATGGAAAAAACCAAGTTCACAAAATACCTAACTAAATACACAAATACATCACAATAGCTCTTGTCATGTGTTCTAAAAAGACTGAAGGAAAATGAGTCTAAACTAATAAATCTTTCTGCAAGCTAATTTACTGTACCTATGCAAACTTTACTAACAATGTGAAAGTGTTAGTCTTGTTAATGATTACTCCTGTAAATGGTGGGTCCTCATAGAAGTCTCTCCATAAAATAACAAACCATTGTAAATTTTAACAGGGTTTGCCACTGTCATAAATTCCGTTATATTTTTCATACCTATTTATAATAACATTTTCTTTTTGAAGTGACTGCAGGTTAAACATAGAACACATGCTGATCATGCAAACCTTCATAGCATGCACAACTGCCTCTGGTTTACTGGCCCCTGCTGACGGTGTGGTGAGGGAGGGAGCAGCACTTGACACATGCCCCATGGGCCCTGACCGACGCGGAACACCTCCAGATGATTGCTGGCAAAACAAGGGGGGAGGCACATGCTATCATCCACTCATATCTAAGGTAACATGCAGAAGGGTCTCTAGTGTTAGTCTAGACTGAACAGTGATGGATACTATGCACAAAAAGTGAAAGATGATGTAATTAGTAATGAAAGGAAAAAAATGCTAACTACAATTTCTGTTTTGCAGAAAATTGTTACAACATCCATGTGATTTGGTTACAAGTCTATTTGTACATAGCTCACTCATTAAAATATATCAGTTAATCCATATTCACGAGTATTATGGTCAAAGTGTAGATCTGTTGCCACCTTTAACTATTTTCCAGCAGTACCACTGCTGTGAACATCAGAAGTGTGCTTCAAACATTGTACCCATTTTTGGAAACAAACCCAGGCCTTTGGTGTGATGAGCAATGCCTTAACCACAAAACTATATCAGCATAAACATGGATGAAATGATATAAATGAGCCCAAAATGATCACATTCATAGTTCAATAGTTTCACATCAGCACTGCATGGTAATAATCCACAGGTGTATTGTTAGAAATAAAAACTAGGTTAGATATCTGTGAGCAAGCGTAAATGACATCAATGCACTTTGTAGCACTGCTGGGATCATATAGACTTCAAAGGTATTGTGTTTTTGTATGAAAAACATGTCGAGAATGTAAATGTTTATAAAATAAGGCTGGTAGTCAACAAGAACACATAAGCATGATGAGCCACTCTTTATCAGGTGAGCTTATCTACGATATTTACTAAACATGCCAAGGATAAACAGATGATTCATCTTACTTTGACAGTACAGTACTATTTTAATTCTGGAATCCAAAAACATTTTGATTACATCCCAACATATTCCGAGGAAAAATAGAATGTTGTTTATGCAAAATATCTTCATATACATGTATATTATATATAACAATCATGCACAGAACAACAATAGGATAACATTATTGGATTGGTATGATCAAGAAAGCAGAAAAGGTACTAATGACTCATGCCAAAACCACACCTGTAATGCATCCAGTCTATTGCTCAACTGGCCACTTGTACTTTGTCGGTAGCCATCAGTGCTGTTACGGTCTCTCTGCAATGAAAATTGTCCCTGTTGTAACAGACACTTATGATTTCAAATCAATAAAAACATCTTTATCTACTGATCCTAAGCCTGAGTAAAATTCTGTCTAGAAAACCTATCTGAGAATAATCCATATGAATAACATTTAAAAGGTACTAAAAACTAAGCCAAGACCATTAAACAAAAATGTCCCTGTTGTAACAGACACTTATGATTTCAAATCAATAAAAACATCTTTATCTACTGATCCTAAGCCTAGTAAAATTCCATCTAGAAAACCTAGCTGAGAATAATCCATATGAATAACATTTAAAAGGTACTAAAAACTAAGCCAAGAGCAAAATAACAAAAATGTCCCTGTTGTAACAGACACTTATGATTTCAAATCAATAAAAACATCTTTATCTACTGATCCTAAGCCTGAGTACAATTCTGTCTAGAAAACCTAGCTGAGAATAATCCATATGAATTACATTTAAAAGGTACTAAAAACTAAGCCAAGAGCAAAATAATTCTTTTTCGCAGGAGACATCAACATAACTTCCTCTTATGACATATCAATGTTAATCAAATGCTACCATACATATCGGAAGAAATGTGGTGAGTTAAAGAAGTGGTGTTTTGGTTTGTTCAGAAATGTTCAGAATTAAGAAGGTCCATGAGGTTTTGCCACACATTATTTAAAGATAGTCTGTACCAGAATCCATTTGAACCCACCAACCCATCCTTAACATGCTAAAACAAATCAAACAAAAAACAACCAAAATACTCCAAGATAGGTATGCTAGGTGATGGTAGTTTTCCAGCACAAAACCAAATCAAGTAAATAAAAGAGCAACTGCATATATCACATCGCTTCATTAGATCCCATGTCTGTAGTAAATATAATCATGGTCATGCACACAAAATCTGTGAACAATTTTGATAACTACTATCATCATACGGTTTTCTTATATACCAAGCCCTAACTGATGAGTGTAACTTGAATACTGACCAGTTGCCCAGTTTGTTTCTTTTCATCTTCCAAATGTCGAACTTTGTTCTCCAGCTGTTTGATGTAGTTCATTGTTTGCTCAGGAACTGTAAGATGGAACAGTAGATGATCATTCCATTCATAGGAGCGACTAAGTTAAATATTGACTGCTCATCATTGGTGAAAACCAAGGACCACAGGTTTGGTGCTGATACACCAGGCATCACAGTGAGTTTGGTTTCAAGCCATGTTTAACAGTATTCCAGTTACAATTAAAATTACATTATGATGTGTCAGCTTAATGTGGGAGATTTGTTTCTTGTTTATCGATGCACTCAGCAATATTCCAGCTATATGGCAGCAGTCTATAAATAATCAAGTCTGGTCCAGACAATCCAGTGATCAACAGCATGAGCCTCAATCTACGATTGGGATGTGTCAACGAGCCTGACCACCCTATCTCGTCAGTTGCCAATTTTAACCCCAATTTTCATCGTGTAATGTGTGAGGAAAGCCTGAAATGGTGAAAGTCTTGCATGTTCACCACAGGTATGGTGCTGACAAACCTACAAACATAATCAAACCCACAATCACAGATTTCTGGCATGCTCAAGGGACGCAACTCTGTTTACTGAATTGTTGTGCCTTAGAAGACTTGGACATTCATTGCCACACAAAAGGTTTTCACTGATCATAATCAAGGTGAATATAGGATTATAATGATCTTTGTATCTTTGCATAAACAAGGGGCATATTTACGGTCTGGCCATTTTATATCCATATCTATAGACAACAGGCCAAAACTGGAGTGACAGAACAAAACCAATAATATAAAAAAAAAAATGGATAAAAATATTTTCAGTGCAATACAAAGCCAAAACAATTGTTATAATTACAATAACCTGAATTGGGATTTTTGTTTTCCTGCTGACCGACCCTTCTTTTAAAATCATGTCTATGGAACCATAATAAAGCTTATTTGTTCTTGGTCCATGTCAAGGTAAAAGGATAAAATATATTACTGTTTGATGTCCTGTTTGAATGTCCACCGACAGACTGACTCGTGATCATTGGTTGATGAAGCAAGTGAGAGGCAGGCCCCTCTTCATGAGCAGTTGTAGTACCATTACTGCTTCCGTCTCCTTCATCCCTGGCTCCTGTGAACTGTATCCTCTCTTGATCCAGGTAAAGGCATAATTCTTTCAATTCAGTGTTGTCCTTGATCAACTCTTCTTGCTTCTGTTCAAGTTCGCGCAGTTTTTCCTGATAAGCAGCAACTTCACTTCTCATTACACTTGCTGTATATCGGCCAAACCTTTGCCATTCACGGGCAAGTTTTCGCCCCTTCTGTCTGTCATCATCTAAGAAACAGCACAGATCTCTCAACTCCTGATTATCATCTTGTAATTTCTGATTAATATCTTTTAAACTTCGTAATTCCATAAGGTGTATCTGCATCCTCCTGTTAGCGTCCTTTGTAATGCCTGTTAATTCTGTCAACAGGTACTTGTAGTCACATTCTACACGCCTCAGTATCCGTATTAGGTCCTCTGCACCTTTACGTCGCAGCTCTTCGTCTGACAGTTTGGTAAGAGCCGTGACAGACGGACTTGGGTTAAAAGTCTTGTATGGAAGTGCACGAGTCGAACTTGTTCCAGTCGACTGGCTCGACATGCTGGTGGGTGTGGATGGTGCACTAGGACGATGCGTTTCCCAGTCCATTTTGTTGGATCAGGCTGAAACAGGCAATGTTTGATCGTTTATTTAACCAGCTAATTAACATATAGCATATGTTTTTATATGGCACAAGTCCAACCCGTTAGCAAACTACAGAGATCAGGTTGACAATGCAAACGATGTGGACAATTTGTGGTTTGGCAACTTAGGGATACCCGTCACATCAGCGTTGTTATTGCATACAAAAGTAGAAACTGCAAAAGTAAACTGACAATCCACATAAACAACTCACAACTTACTTGTTTTGTCGAAATCGAAAGCTAAATAAAGATAACTGGAGTTTATCAGTCCATTTTGTGAGGGAAATCCATGCACCTCGTCCGTCAATAAATCGTAAACATGGCCGACTTTCCCGTCTCCGGTAAATTCCCGCTAGGTGGCGTGGAGGAATGTGATAAAAAGTTTTTATAGCCTGTTTCAACATTATGATCCCACGGGAACCTCGTGGAATGCAGAAAATGCAGGAAAATGTTACTTGTGTGCCATGGTATATTGCGAAAAAATTTTTTTACTACGTTAATTGAAACTGTAGAAGGGAGGATAATAATACTATAAGCATTGTGAATACACAATGATATTTAGAAAGTGGTTTATGTTTATTTGGGATTACGCTTTCTCAGTAATTTTAAAGTACAGATTCTAGATTTCTATCTGGGATTTGAATCCACCCTCCCAGTCAAGCACCCTGACTCAGAGATCTAACCCACACAGCCACCATGGCTTTCACGGCAACTGAAGTGAACAAAATGGGATCGGGGCGGGATAATGGTCAATCTCCCCATCATAACAAACGGCGGGGTGGCGTTGGTTATACAACAGTGTGCGAAATAGCCACTGGCCCGCTAGCCCGTGGCTAGTAAAATACTAGAGACTGTGGAGATTTACTGGCCCGATTGGCTGATGAATTTTCATGGGATCATTTTTAAATATCCTTCTCTCTCCGACTTGTTAAGTTATAATACACTTTTAAATCATGCAAGATTATGGTCTGATAAAAATGTTCATCATAGTAGCAGCTTAATGATGAAACCCGTGCCTACATTCAAATTTCGGGCTAGTGAATTATTTTGTGGGTTACTGACGTTCAGGCATTGCTATCCCGACTGACTGGCGACATTCTGAAACTATTTTGCACACTGTTGCACGGATTTCAGTTGATGCAAATACAGCCCCCAACCCACCCACACAGACACGCACATATAAAAAAACAACAAAACAAATAAAACCAAAACAAATGAATACTCATATATATAAATAAAGATATAAATAAAGTTTAAAGATCGAATGTAAATACAAAATCTCTCCCACAACTAGATCGAAGGTTTTCTTAAATCCTTAAATAGATCTGACGTTGCAAATTTTGCCAAGGGGAATGATTTTTGTTCAAATTTGGGATTAAATAGCGAAAAACTGAAAAACTAAACAGGAAAAGTTTTCACACTCAATAGAAAGTCCGAACAATTTCCGGGATCTATAGCCGTTTACCAACGCCTTTGACCAATGGCATTGCAGCACACACTCCCATTCAATATAACACTTCTACGATTGTAAATGTGGTCACAGACGGACTGGAACCACTGACCCGGTGTCCTCCCATTTGTGAGACACATTAATTAATGGTTCAGTAGGTGGTGTTTCCACATCCTTAAAATGAAAGTGGGATCAGCCCAGCCCAGTACCCACAGGAGGCATAGTTCATTGATGAGTTGATTAATGAAATAGATTATCAAAGATTATATTTACACAACAGAAATAAATTAGTTCATTGAATATTTTATTTATTCAGAAGAATATGTAATTATGATAACACCTTTTTATTGACTATTATGAAGTTTGAAAGTCATTTTGGTTTAAACATATTTTATTATTATTTATGAAAATGAATTGGGATTGGTGAAGTATTACTGCTTATGTTAACACCGCTCCCATGCAACATAAAATATAAACTGAAATGGAGGATGTGACGTCATCGATATTGACTATTGCATAAATATATTTTTAAGTACATATAAATATATACAGATTACATCAAATACAACTATTCTCTAAGTAGTCATAATTAGAGATTTAGAGTTGTGTGTGTGTCTAACAAGGTATTGTGGGAATATAAATCAATCATGAGAAGGTTGTTGAGTTAATTTCAGTATTTCCCTGTGAAAACTTGAAGGTTGTGTCTTGATGATATAATCGTGGACGGATTCAACTATTTTCTGGTTTACACAAGGAGTAAATTCTTTGTTTCCGTTCAAAAAATTATCCAGGTTATAACGGGTAGTTGATATCCACAAGAGCAACATGCACTGTCTATTAAATGTCTGTTATACTTATCGGCGTTTGAGTCGCTAGATCCGAGCCTGAGGCAGCAATGAACGATTTGACAAAACAAGAGCCATAATTAAGATCAATATAAATCTTGTTTTCGGCTTTGTAATTAGGTTTTAAAATTCTTTGAGACAGCATGACTCTTTGCAATTTGGTAGGGCATTCCATAAATTTATTGTGTCGGGTAGAAAGGGTTTGGCATAAGGGTCATTTCGACTGTAAATTTCAGAGTTATTTCAGAGTTATTTCTTAAACTATAGCTTGTAGTTTCGGAGACGGAATAAATTTGAGTAGGTAAATTAATTTCTCTTTGATCACGAAGTAACCTACACAAAGTGTTTAATTATTAAAGACATTTACCTGAGTATGTTAAACAATTTATCTTATAAAGTGTCATTAAGTTACCTCCACAAGATTCAGTTATATAGCCAATCAGTAATTAGCTAGGGTGAATCCATTCTATCAGACAGGGGAGTATGGTGTGTTTTCGTTGTTAATTACCTACTCCACTGTCTCATAACTGGGAGTCTCACAACTGGGAGTTCTCACAAATGGGAGTAGACCACTGACCCTCCTCTCGCCGAGCAGACGCGCTATCCACTAAACCAGTGGAGCGACTAGTCATATGATTTTAGCTTATTACTTAAACACCACCCATAACAACAACAGGCTCATCGTGTTTGGAACTTAAACGAATCATCTTCTCACGCTAAGCTGAATACCATATCATTGGCATTTCATACATTGATGAAAAAGAAAAAATAATAATTACATCAAAACCTTCATTATTTTCACGAGGCGGGGTAACCTCGTGGTTAAAGCGTTCGCTCGTCACGCCGAAGACCCGGGTTCGAATCCCCGCATGGGTACACTGTGTTAAGACCATTTTTAGGTGTCCCATACCGTGATATTGCTGGAATATTGCTGGAATATTGCTAAAAGCGGCGTATGATGCCACATATGCAACAGAGAGTGTCACCACCCGACCATTTAGTCGCCTCTTACGACAATATATTGGTGTCGCCACCCGTTTGAGGCCTCTTACGTTATAATTGGTTGTTTGAGGCTCGTTATAACTCGGGATCACCGACGCAGAAATTGCCATGTTGGTTTTAGAAATGTTTAATTATCATCACATGCACTTCTTCACCAAACACCGCCTCTACTCCAATCCCTAGATATATATGCTACATGTGGAATGTCACAAGGCCGTGCTTGACATTCCACCAGAGGGTGTACAAGGCCCTGAAATAGAATACCCATACTCTATGTAGCTAGAGGCCACTGTGCAGACGCTAGTTTGTTAAATAGATGGTTTGACAACGTTTTCTTTCAAGATAAGTAAGTAAACAAAAACATTATAAGAAACTATATGAACAACAATGCGTTTTCTATCAAAAAAGATTTGTTCAGCGCAGAAATATGATACAGACTATAAGAAGCCGGAATGTGAGCAATGCCAACTGAGGCTAGGGGAGCGCCTTAAAATCTCAACAAGAACTCTTGTACTCAACACACCTTGTGATGACATGGCATACAATTTAGCGTGCACGCCAAACACGCACAGGTGCATCCTGAGCACCATGTCAAACACGTATAATTAAGTGTTCTACACATCACAGTTTTTCGTGATGAAATGCGTAACCAAGGTAACGTCATTAAATGAGTAAAGTCCTGTCACGACAATTTATAGTTGTTATCCATGTTGCAGAAATGGTTGGTTTGTTGTTTAACGCCCCACTCAGCAATATGTCAGCTATATGGCGGCGGTCTGTAAATAATCGAGTCTGGACCAGACAATCCAGTGATCAACAGCATGAACATCTATCCACGATGACATGTGTCAACGAAGTCAACGAGCCTGACTTCCTATACACAAGTGTGATACATGTGGTGTGTGTATGTGTGAGAGAGCAAAAAGTGAGAAAAGCAAAACAAAACACACAGGCGTTTTCAGCAGTTCATTTCGATATATTTTGACAGCAACCGCCATTAAGACAATTCCTATGTTTGAATCCCGTTAATCATGTCGTGGTTGTTGTGTATTGCGCGCAAACGAACCCCAAAACGTGTTTGTAAACGTTTGTCATAAAAAATGAATACGATACATGAAAAGTGCTTGCAGAAAGTTGTTCCACGTACTGCATGTGCAATGTGTCGGAAACATGAATAGAGACATCGACTACAAGTACAAACCAAGTTAACCATTTCATTACGAAATTTACGATGTAAACGAAGATAAAAAATGCCAAGATCGAATGCTACTGACCGAAATATCGCCATTGGACGTTTGGAAGCAGGGGAGTCCCTGTCTGTCGTTGTAAGACACTTCAACGTCCACCATAGCTCCATAGCTTGCATGGTTATGGCATCGATGTACTTGCTTCAATTCGACCCAAGATCGTCCCAAAGGTGGAAGAGCCAGAGTGACCACTTCTGCTCAGGACCGATTCATCCGGGTGTTTCATATACGTCACCGATTTGCTACAGCAACGAATCCTGCAGGACATATGCCTGCTCTTTCAAGAATTTCCGACCAAACCTTCAGAAATCGTCTGAGAGAAGTGAGAATTCGAGCATATCGACCAAAAGTTGGACCTGTCCTCACAGGACTACACCTACAACGACCTGTCCATTTTGCAACAGGATACATGCATGGAACCTGGGGAACTGGCAACGCGTTTGGTTCAGCGATGAATCGCGTTTCCTCCTGTAACGACTGACTGACTGAGTTTGGTTTTACGCCGCTTTTAGCAATATTCCAGCAATATCACGGCGGGGGACACCAGAAATGGGCTTCACTCATTGTACCCATGTGGGGATTCGAACCCGAGTCTTCGGCGTAACGAGCAAACGCTTTAACCACTAGACTACCCCACCGCCCCCCTCCTGTAACGACGTGATGGGACCCCGGAGACAATGCGTCCATTGACGTCGACACGAACGTTTTGCGCTGAACTGCCTCCGACAGGTGGACACTTTTGGTGGAGATAGCGTCATGGTGTGTGGAACCATGTCCTACACGTGTAGATCAGAGCCATAGGTGGTTCGAGGCAATCTTACAGCAAATGGCTACATCGACCAAATCCTGCGACCTCACCTCCTCCCACTTTTTAACCGCCAGAGGGTGCTGTTTCAACACGAGAAGGCTCGACCCCACGCAGCTCGTGTAACAGGTGCCTTCGCAAACGTCAATGCCCTTCCCTGGCGTTCCAAATGGCCTGATCTGAACCTGATCGAGCATCTGTGGGACGAACCTGATCGACGCGTCAGTAAACGTCACCATCGACCCCAGACACTTGCCTAACTTGCCATCGCGTTGCAGGAGGACTGGCGATGAATTCCCCAAGCAAAAATCCGACGACTTGTGCAATCCCTTCCAATGCGGTGTCGAGCAGTGACTGCTGCAAGGGGTGGTGTCACCAGGTACTGACCTGAACGCCCCCTTGTGTCCACACATGTGCTGTTAGCGAACTGAATTAATGCTGACAATGACAACAATACATATGTTCATGCGTGTGTCGAACTTCCATCATCCAAGTTCAAGCTTAATCGACTTACGTAGACTTAAATACGTTAAATATTAATTTCCTTATTTTTGGCCATTCTCTTCCCACAGAGGTTACTCCTGTCATATCTTCTTGCGTAACCTCTGTTCTAATACGGCCATATTTCCCGTTTCTCGTAAAATCCCCTAGCGGCAAAAGATCGCAACACGAATTATCTCCCCTTCTTTCTATCCAATCAGAACACGTGTTACATCGACTTAGATTCAACATGACTAACACAAGCAAATGTGAGACCACAAATATCCCCCATCTGCCGGGGGCTTGTGTTGATGTTACACACAAGACGTTTAATGGCTAGCTTGTCCGTTGTCAACGAGGGCGATGGAGACGCCACTGATCCGCCATAACATGACTGAGTTCTGTCTAGAAGAAACGTTTGCGCATCGCGCAGAGGAAGAGGTTTAGTTTTCTCGAAGTATACGGAAATTACCGAGGCCATGCGAATGGTCACTTTTGAAACAACGTCGCTGATTGCACAACTAAATCTGATTGTCTCCAATCACGAGTCTTGAACGCTGACACCATGAAAGGGCCGTATTAGAACAGAGGTTACGTAGGAAGACATGACAGGAGTAACCTCTGTGGGAAGAGAATGATTTTTGGCCTGTTCATTTCTTTTTTTTGAAGAGTTTATATAGCTGAAATGTTATACGAAATTAGCATAAACTGCTAGACTAGTTTTTTTGTAGATGAAATGATTAGTGAGACATCTGTTTCTGCAATAACGTATGAAATTTTGGCCCATTGAAGTAAACAACGAAAACACATGTTCAAATTAGAAAGGACATTCTGTGCTGCAATAACACCTGCATTTTCAATCCTTTGGAGAAAAATATTGAAAAATACTTCCAGTGTCTTGTACTTACTTTATATAAACTGTATACATTTCCAATTTGAAAATTCTTCTTGAAATGAACTCTATAAATCTTTATGTCTGAATAGATTGAGGCAAATTGAGCATGATTCTGTTGGATAATGGCCGACATTGTTTGTCCGGCAGCTGGCACAGTATTGAAATTCCCTGCTGACGTCATAAAGTGTTAATTGTGAACATGACGCCTCGCAGTTTGTCCTGGCACTACGAGGTCTATAGAACAGAAGTTGTTTGAATGATAGCAGCTATGGTGGCTTGAGACTGAACACAGAATATTCCGATCCGAGTTTAACCAGGGCCGTCAATATTCCTTCTAAGTTCAGGTGAGCTGCAGAGCCTTTCCTATTTAATCCCCAGAGAGGGGTGTTAATAGTAGAGTGAGCGAGTTTAGTTTTACGCCGCACTCAGCACATTCTCTTCCCACAGAGGTTACTCCTGTCATATCTTCTTGCGTAACCTCTGTTCTAATACGGCCATATTTCCCGTTTCTCGTAAAATCCCCTAGCGGCAAAAGATCGCAACACGAATTATCTCCCTTCTTTCTATCCAATCAGAACAGGTGTTACATCGACTTAGATTCAACATGACTAACACAAGCAAATGTGAGACCACAAATATCCCCCATCTGCCGGGGACTTGTGTTGATGTTACACACAAGACGTTTAATGGCTAGCTTGTCCGTTGTCAACGAGGGCGATGGAGACGCCACTGATCCGCCATAACATGACTGAGTTCTGTCTAGAAGAAACGTTTGCGCATCGCGCAGAGGAAGAGGTTTAGTTTTCTCGAAGTATACGGAAATTACCGAGGCCATGCGAATGGTCACTTTTGAAACAACGTCGCTGATTGCACAACTAAATCTGATTGTCTCCAATCACGAGTCTTGAACGCTCACACCATGAAAGGGCCGTATTAGAACAGAGGTTACGTAGGAACACATGACAGGAGTAACCTCTGTGGGAAGAGAATGCACTCAGCAATATTCCAGCTATATGCTGGCTGACTGTAAATAATCGAGTCTAGACGAGACAATCCAGTGACCAATAGCATGGGAATCGATCTACGCGGTTTGGATACCATGACACGTGTCAACCAAATCAGCGAGCCTGACCACCCGATACCGTTAGTCGCCTCTTACGACAAGCATAGGTTGCTGAAGATCAATTCTAAACCGGATCTTCACAGGTTGTATATATTGGAAGATGTTAATATTTTACACTTTTTATCTGTTAAAACTATATTGAAACATGTATCGGTAGGTTACTTATCTTGGAACTTGCGAATGATGACTTTTCATCTAATATATTTTATTCACATTTTTAATACTGATTTTTCAAATCTTTGTCCAATCTTCTACCCATAGCTCTATGCGGCCAGCTTAGTGTAATGCTAAGTCATCTATCGGTGTATTATTGTTGCCTGAAAGCTATTATTATGTTGATTTGTCAGACTTCAGCCATAGAGATCTTTCCAGCTGTTTTTGGTATATACGTAGATATACACTCAAATCAATGACCGATGGACTATATTACAGTACCTTTAAAATATATTATTATAGTAATTATAACTGCAGCTGACATCAGTACTGTCAGTTGCTATAGCAACATATATAAATATGATTTATTTAATGATGCTATTTGGCTTGAAGCTTTTGGCTTAGTCAGTGAAAACGTTGTGGCACGTTGACCTTCCGAATCACACGTACTCACTATAAGCCTCGTAAATCGAACTCTAAAATGTGAAATCGTCTCTTTGCGAATACAAATCGTCAGCCTGTTAGGGAAACAAGGGGACAGCCTGTTTGCTGTACTATAAATTGTGGTTTGCAAATTCCAAACACTAATCGACTGGTTTTGTTTTCAGTTAGGTTTGGCTATGTATCACTTTTACGAGATTTTAGCTCTGGCACGATAAAATGTAAAGTTTCAAGTTACGTTCAGTACATTTTTAAGTCCGTCTTTTACGATATTCAGCTGACTCATCTTATGTTTGCAGCAGTTTTAGCTGTTTTACCCTGAGTTGTACAGAGATCAAAATCAGGTTTCGATACACTTGCTTTGCCATTGGTTATGTTGTTAGTATATAGTGGAATATTAAGTTAGGCTTGCACGAAGCGTTAACATTGAAACATATAGATCTGGTCTAATAGTGATATATTGTGGACAGTGTGGGCATAATTAATACTGAACATGAAAAGATGTGGAAAAGGATCATCCTCAACACTGCATGACCGCCACTGTTGTCTAGTGAAAAGGACATCTGCACGGAGACCCCCTCCGTGGTCTAGTGGACAGTGCATCTGCCCGGGGAGATCGCCTCCGTGGTCTAGTGGACAGAGCATCTGCACGGGAGGATCACCTCCGTGATCTAGTGGAGAGAGCATCTGCCCAGGGAGATCGCCTCCGTGGCCTAGTGGACTGAGCATCAGCCCGGGGAGATCGCCTCCGTGGTCTAGTGGACAGAACATCAGCCCGGGGAGATCGCCTCCGTGGCCTAGTGGACAGAGCATCTGCACGGGAGGATCGCCTCCGTGATCTAGTGGAGAGAGCATCTGCACGGGAGGATCACCTCCGTGATCTAGTGGAGAGAGCATCTGCCCGGGGAGATCGCCTCCGTGGTCTAGTGGACAGAGCATCTGCCCGGGGAGATCGCCTCCGGGGTCTAGTGGACAGTGCATCTGCCCGGGGAGATCGCCTCCGTGGTCTAGTGGAGAGAGCATCAGCCCGGGGAGATCGCCTCCGTGGTCTAGTGGACTGAGCATCAGCCCGGGGAGATCGCCTCCGTGGTCTAGTGGACTGAGCATCTGCCCGGGGAGATCGCCTCAGTGGTCTAGTGGACAGTGCATCTGCCCGGGAAGACCGCCTCCGTGGTCTAGTGGACTGAGCATCTGCACGGGAGGATCACCTCCGTGGTCTAGTGGATACAGCATCTGCCCGGGAAGATCGCCTCCGTGGTCTAGTGGACAGTGCATCTGTCCGGGAAGATCGCCTCCGTGGTCTAGTGTACAGTGCATCTGCCCGGGAGGATCACCTCCGTGGTCCAGTGGAGAGAGCATCTGCCCGGGGAGATCGCCTCCGTGGTCTAGTGGACACTGCATCTGCCCGGTAAGATCGCCTCCGTGGTCTAGTGGATAGAGCATCTGCCCGGGAAGATCGCCTCAGTGGTCTAGTGGACAGTGCATCTGCCCGGGAAGATCGCCTCAGTGGTCTAGTGGACAGTGCATCTGCCCGGGAAGATCGCCTCAGTGGTCTAGTGGACAGTGCATCTGCCCGGGAAGATCGCCTCAGTGGTCTAGTGGACAGTGCATCTGCCCGGGGAGATCGCCTCCGTGGTCTAGTGGACAGTGCATCTGCCCGGGAAGATCGCCTCCGTGGTCAAGTGGACAGTGCATCTGCCCGGGGAAGATCGCCTCCGTGATCTAGTGGACTCTGCATCTGTCCGGGAAGATCGCCTCCGTGGTCTAGTGGACAGTGCATCTGTCCGGGAAGATCGCCTCCGTTGTCTAGTGGACAGTGCATCTGCCCGGGGAGACCGCCTCCGTGGTCTAGTGGATAGAGCATCTCCACAAGAAGACTGCCTCCATGGTCTAGTGGATAGATCATCTGCCCGGAGACCCCCTCCATGGTCTAGTGGATAGAACATCTCCACAAGAAGACTGCCTCCGTGGTCTAGTGGACAGTGCATCTGCCCGGAGACCCCCTCTGTGGTCTAGTGGATAGAACATCTGCACAAGAAGACTGCCTCCGTGGTCTAATGGATAGAGCATCTGCCCGGGAAGATCGCCTCCGTTGTCTAGTGGACAGTGCATTTTGCCCGGGAGATCGCCTCCGTGGTCTAGTGGACAGTGCATCTGCCCGGAGACCCCCTCCGTGGTCTAGTGGACAGTGCATCTGCCCGGAGACCCCCTCCGTGGTCTAGTGGATAGAACATCTGCGCAAGAAGACCCCCTCCGTGGTCTAGTGGACAGTGCATCTGCCCGGGAAGATCGCCACCGTGGTCTAGTGGACAGTGTATCTGCCCGGGAAGATCGCCACCGTGGTCTAGTGGACAGTCCATCTGCCCGGGAAGATCGCCTCCGTGGTCTAGTGGACAGTGCATCTGCCCGGGAAGATCGCCTCCGTGGTCAAGTGGACAGTGCATCTGCCCGGGGAAGATCGCCTCCGTGATCTAGTGGACTCTGCATCTGTCCGGGAAGATCGCCTCCGTGGTCTAGTGGACAGTGCATCTGTCCGGGAAGATCGCCTCCGTTGTCTAGTGGACAGTGCATCTGCCCGGGGAGACCGCCTCCGTGGTCTAGTGGATAGAGCATCTCCACAAGAAGACTGCCTCCATGGTCTAGTGGATAGATCATCTGCCCGGAGACCCCCTCCATGGTCTAGTGGATAGAACATCTCCACAAGAAGACTGCCTCCGTGGTCTAGTGGACAGTGCATCTGCCCGGAGACCCCCTCTGTGGTCTAGTGGATAGAACATCTGCACAAGAAGACTGCCTCCGTGGTCTAATGGATAGAGCATCTGCCCGGGAAGATCGCCTCCGTTGTCTAGTGGACAGTGCATTTTGCCCGGGAGATCGCCTCCGTGGTCTAGTGGACAGTGCATCTGCCGGAGACCCCCTCCGTGGTCTAGTGGACAGTGCATCTGCCCGGAGACCCTCCGTGGTCTAGTGGATAGAACATCTGCGCAAGAAGACCCTCCGTGGTCTAGTGGACAGTGCATCTGCCCGGGAAGATCGCCACCGTGGTCTAGTGGACAGTGTATCTGCCCGGGAAGATCGCCACCGTGGTCTAGTGGACAGTCCATCTGCCCGGGAAGATCGCCTCCGTGGTCTAGTGGACAGTGCATCAGCCCGGGAAGACCCCCTCCGTGGTCTAGTGGATAGAACATCTGCCCGGGAAGACCACCTCCATTGTCTAGTGGATAGAACATCTGCCCGGGAAGACCACCTCCGTGGTCTAGTGGAAAGGGCATCTACCCGGGAAGACCGCCTCCGTGGTCTAGTGGATAGAGCGTGTGCTGGGTTACGTTGATCTCCGGGCCGTGCCATGCGAAAGGAGTATAAAGGTGGTAGTTGTTACCCTGCGCTCCAGGAAAATGTGTGAGCAAGAACTGTGTCTGAGTATAGTTCCAGTGTTGAAACTGAGCCGTAGTATCTCAGTGGGTTATCGCTGTAGTTCCACTGACAAAACAAGAGTCACACACGCAAACTAACGAACACACACGCATGCACGCTACTATATAGGTGCAATGGTAAGCTTGTCAATAAAACCATGTCTCCAAGATTGGAATAGTTCTTTTACTAGATCAGGTGTCGTCAAAGTTACAAAACAGTTTGGCATGCAAACTTTTTGACAAAACGTAAAACAAACTACCTCAAAAATGCTTAATTTTCATTTTAGTTCCCATCACATGCACAAGTGTTAACCCATGTCGTTTTTCACGAGTCTAATACTGAGGTCAAATATCACGTTCTTATACACCACCATGCCTAGCGCAACCCCTGTCGTTCTACAACGAACTGCGTGACCCAAACTTCTCCATGACCAAGGAGGCACTTAGCTCTTTTGTCTGTTTTTCTCCCGAATATGTCAAGACATAGTTTTTTTGTTGTTGTTTGTCGGTGCCTTGAGAACTATTCTAGCTGAATAATACCACTGCCGGAAATAACCGAGTTACTCAAGCGATCAATATTGTGAGCAGCGGTTAGGTTTGGTTGTTGTTTAACGCCGCACTTAGCAATATTCTGCTATATGGTGAGGTGAAATTGGGTTTAACGTCGTACTTGAGAATATTTCGCTCATATGACGACGTGCATGCGTGTCTATGTGTATGTGCGGCTGCTTGTACTAGCCCAGACTTAAGCTGGTTTTATAGTGCTAGCCCACTGAGGTACCATGCCGCAGTGAAGCATGAATACCCCACTCAGACACATTATACTGACTCTGAGCCAACCAGTCCTTGTTGTACCCATTAATGCCGAGCGCCAGGCAGGGACCAACAAGTACCATATTTTAACCTCTTTTGGTATGACGCGGTCGGGGATCGAACCCGCGACCTTCCGCTCTCCGGGCGGACGCTCTAACCACTACACCACGGAGGCGGTCCTGCTGCTACTAGTATATGGCGGCGGTTGGGAGCAGCGATCCACTCAGTCGACCTTGTCACCGAACTGTTAAGTCGCCTAAAGCATTAAGAGATTAAAATGTTCAATTGGCAAGGTAAAATTACGAGGATTCGCAATATTATTTTACTTCATTTGAGTTATTTTGTTGTTTAAAGTGAAATTCATCGGTACGTTTTCACTGCAAACAGACGTATAGTAATTCCATCCCTCGAAGGGGCAAGTCTAGATAAGCGGAGAGTCTAAGGACCCTAGTCTGCTATTGATTATTTCTTTTAGAAATTATCATTTAAACTTTCAATCTTTACCTTAAAGACTTGTGCAAGTCAGAACAAACAGGGTTTCTCCACCGCAATACGTGCTAAAGAATAGTCCAATTGCCATAACCCCCAGTCTGTTATTTATTATTTTTTAGACATTATCATTTAAACTATTAATTTTTACTTTAGACTTGTGCAAGTCTACTTTCTTCCTTTCTATGTGTCAGAGCGTTGTCGTCCCCACGTGTGTATTTAAGTGTCAGTTTACACCCATGCACAGTGGAATATATATGCACACTGACCGCCCCGCGGAAATCCCACGGGCGTCTTCTCACAAATCCTTACCTTGTCCCAGTCATCAGTAGGAAGCTATATATACACAGATATATTACCACAAGTGAAGCTGTTAACAGTGTACTTAACATGTATACACTCTCACAGGAAACCGGTCGCGCGGAACATTTCTAGCTGCCCTTAATTATAACAGGCATTGAACCCTACAGTTCGACCGTGACGAAGGCATCCTTCACCGCCTCCAACTGTTTTTGTGGGTTGCCAGTTCGCTGTGGGGACCCAACACATCAGCTGGGGTACGAAGCACAACGCGCACCGGTCAAAGTCCACTTGCCTTAACCCTGCACCCAGTCAGACAAGCAGACGTAACAGCTACCCGCGGGAGGAGACTAAACTCGCCCTCAAGATCTCTGTGCAACTGGTTACATTTCCTAAACCAAAATGTAAGTATTTTTATGTGAAATCTTCAGAATTAATTATCATGACAGTGGTTCATTTAAGTACTGGTGCCATAAAATAAGATAAATGTGTTACGTAACGGACCTGTAAAAGTTTAGTCAGAGACCATATATCGGTATATGGTCTCTGGTTTAGTCGAGAGGGTTATGAACGTAAACATTCGCGGTTCATTGAATACTGCCGTGGCCCAAAATAACCCTGTTGATACAAGTCTGTGGTTAGGACTTTCGCTACTGCAATGTTTACTATTGACTATATTCACGTTGGCGTTGATCGAATATAGTATACTCTGTCGGCATTCCTATACAATATGTCTCCTTATAGAAGATTCTTGCTTCATGCTTCACAGTCTCGGTATAGAAGGTTGTTTGTGAATTGAGTTAAGTCAAGGAGATATTGACTAGGAGTTTGCTGTAGCACATGTACAGATTATATACGCCTTGAGCTAGTCTATCTCACAGTCCCTGAACCACATTATTTTCCCTACTGCCAAGCCCTTTCTGTTGTGCTAAAGCCCTAAATAAAGCAAGTCTAGATTTCCTCAGGTTCTGAATCTCTGGTCTCCCTGGGGCTCCTTTTCAATTTAAATGGGTTTGTTTGTTACTATCAAAATTATGCATATTCAGTGACTAAGCATTAGTCTAGCCTTGAGCCTGTTCCTTCTCCATTCATGATTCAGTTGCTAACCACATCTCGGCTATTCTTAACGCAAACACGGCCAATCATCGACACCTCCCCACGTATCCTCAAAGATCCCCTCCCTTCCCCTTGTTCCACCCATGACCGAGTTTCGGAGGAATTGTGCAGCCAGATGTTTGCCGTCATTCGAGAACTCAACCATCTCGGTGTTATTTCATGCGCCCATCTCCAATGGCACCCAAGTGCATCCACAACTAGGATAGAATAGAATTTATTGCATAAGACACCTTTAAGTGACAGGGTACAAACCACACACGCACGCGTACGCACGCAAAACACACACATAGATAGGTATACATACATATGTATATACTAACACACACACATATGCAACTGTATGAGTAATCTAACCGCGATTGAGGAATGTAATTGAATTTACTAGAATCGTTTTCAGGATTAAAAAAGTCTAAATTTATGGCAAATGTACATCTTAAAACGCAACCGCCATTGCGACCATGTTAGTTGTTATTGTGTAATCATTATAAACATATCCTCTGGGAATACCGACGGTGGTGGTTTGGGAATAACATTGGAACTGATATGTGCTATGGTAACATGTGCCATTGTGTGTTCAGGAGGTTGTAATTTATGAGCAAATTTGAAAATGACCAATTGCTAAAAAATGTTTACAGTAACATTAAAGTAACAGCTGCTTCTGTTGATCAAATTCCAGCTTATCAGCGTGTCCGATATAACAGTAGCACCTGCATGCGTTAATATATAGGTCTCCCAGTTGTTCTATAATGAGATAGTAAGGTGGGGAGGTTGGAAGGTGCCAAACCCCTTCTTAATTGCTGAGTGCGGCGTTAAACAACTAACAAATCTTAAAACTATAGACGGGAAAGCGGTCAATAGGTAAACATATTGCATCGCTATGACGCATGACTGTAAAGTTTTCAGTAAAAACAGCAAAAATACCAAACGCATATTGTCAAGCATTATTGGCATCTCTACCACACTTACAGTTATCTTCTTATCACCAAATGCACACAGCTTTTCCAAAACTGCACCCGTCATTGTTCTGTTATAACATGATGCATCAGTATATACAAATGCCACAATGGACCAAATAGTCGAACACTGGCACCAATGTTCGAATGTCAAAAAGACTCCCCAGACATTCATGAACCTCAGAAGTAAGCGCCACGGTGTTTATTCGGCTCAATGGCAGCAAACACCAGGCGGTATCGTACGCAGCGTTGACACCCTCCGGCTAAATACTTTAAGATCTTAATCAGAATGTGGCATAACTTTGCATTGTGACGATCAAAAGACGACTTAGTGTACACCAAGGGCGGGTTATCCACGGGGTCTAAGCAGCGTGACCTTGTCGATCACGTTGAAAGGCAATTAGCATCTTCTTAAAGGGGATCTATTGCTGCCGACAAACAACGCTAATGGATGCTCTACAATGTGTAACTTATGACGTAATTTGTATTGGTATCCATGGTGATAATTGACAGTTAGGTAAGCATGGAGGCAGATTACGTATTTCTACATGAATGATTTAGCCATATCCCTGTCAAATAAGATCATACTTGCTGATCATGATACATCTACCGGTGATGCTGTATCAGGTTTACATTAAGACTTCAAGACTGATTTAACAAATTTAGAAATCGAGACTGAGAAATAATTGGCAAAATTCAAAATATAAAAACAAAGCATATGTTATTTAATCACCGTAACTTAAATATATGGCTTGATTTTCCAATGACTTGGTCTGAATCTAATATTGGACACTTACAGCTGATAGGTGCTCCCAAACAACTTGGTGTAATGTTGTCCAAAAATGTTAAAAAATCAACATATATTAAAGGTGCAAGGTCATTAAAAGCATAAACTGAAAATAACTCGCAAACTTAGTGTGTTTATCTGTTAATGAATAGGAAAGAAAATATTAAAATACACACGTCTCCTTCCGCCATATTTGATGGCCTTCCGCTTTAGTAGATCCCATATAACGCGGTTGTTTTCATGTCCAACCGGTTTTATGAATTAGAGAGTTATATATTATATACGTCGGTCGCACTGCCCTGAAATAGATTTGTGAAAAGCACTTTGAAGTGTGTTTGCATATATGCCCTACGTATGTTTATATTACTGTTGACACATATGCCACACGTACCGACCCTCAGCGTTATATCATTAAGGGATGTTCTGGTATCCCATATATAGTTGATAAACATCATACTCCCTGATTAAATATTGATATTAGTCAATGCTTTTCACTCTCATGAACCTGGCGTACATACAACTGTCGTGGCGTATTGTCCGTCGCAAACTTTCGACACTTTCGTTATACATGTACATGTTGCGCATCATTACGTCGTGTGTATTTTTGGACATGGTTCGCTTCGATTATGTCTGTAGTGAGTGAGTGAGTGAGTGAGTGAGTGAGTAAGTTAGTGAGTGAGGTTAGTTTTACGCCGCTTTAAGTAATATTACAGCACTATCACGGCGGGGGACACCAGAAATGGGCTTCACACATTGTACCAATGTGGGGAATCGAACCCGTGTCTTTGGCGTGACGAGCGAACTCTTTAATTTATTATTATTATAGGATATTTGTATAGCGCCCATTTCCAGGCAACTAGTGCATGCTCAAGGCGCTGATATTTTTTCCCTCGATCATTGGATGTCAATCTTATTATCAATCTCAACTCCCTGGGGAGTATACAACTCTTGCAGCCACTAGGCGCACCGAGTTATTGTGGCTTTCTCATCCTAACGAGGTACCCAATTCATAGCTGGGTGGACTGGGACACACAGTCACAGTACTTTGTCCAAGTTTACTGCACATTGCTGTACCCGCAACTGGGTGTTTGCACGTATTCATGTGGCCACCATCAGGTCATTTACCAACGGATTCGTGGATTCTTTTAAGTGTACAGGATTGCGTACTGTACACTAGGGGTTGTGACAACACTGAAAGAGTCTGCACACAAAGTTGACTCCAAGGTTTTTACACCCGGTCACAGGTGGGCTCGATCCCGACACCTCACGCTCGCTGGATCACTAGCCCGGCACTTTAGCCAGCTCGCCCACCGCGCTTTAACCACTGGGCTACCCCACCACCCCTGTAGCGTTGTAAGTATCATATCCATGCTCGTAGGTTTCACCATGGTGGTAAACGTCAAAGACCCGAATTATTTCGGGTTTCCCTCCCACATTAAACAGACACGCAATGGTAGAACGGGAACTCTGTTAAAAAGCGGCATTAAACTGATCTCACTCACTAATGTGCATTTGCTCCAGGCAATGGTGTCTCAAGAATAGTTCGCAGAATTATGACTGACTGACTGACTGAGTTTGGTTTTACGCCGCTTTTAGCAATATTCCAGCAATATCACGGCGGGGGACACCAGAAATCGGCTTCACACATTGTACCCTTGTGGGGATGCGAACCCGGGTCTTCGGCGTGACGAGCCAACGCTTTGACCACTATGCTACCCCACCGCCCCCGCAGAATTATGAACATGAGTATGTAGTCCTAGACACAAAGCTCTGTGTAGTTTATTCATCAATCACAGTGTCATGTTTGTTTTGTGCATATTTTATGCTGACAGTTTTATGACCTTTATTTCATTTTTAAATTTAGACGTATTACTCGAAATATTTATAAATTTGGACGTTTACGTTATATTTTTATCCTCATGTGATGAATAATTTCATGAATGTAGGTGTAGACATTTATACAATACTACTCACACTTTGCTAAGGATCACAAAAATTCACAACTTTACTTAAACGTAGATTTATAATTTGAAATTTTATCCATTTAAAACTGGATGCATAATAATATGGTAACCGCTCTTTAGGCAAACAGCCACTTTAATCTAACCTTATGCACCTGATACATGAGTAACCATAAAATGGTTTTCATGGCACCAATCAACCATTTTGCAAATCATAGAACGAGTCATTGACAAGTACATCTAGTCTGTCTCACAGTCCCTGAACCACATTATTTTCCCCACTGCCAAGCTCTCTCTGCAGTGCTAAAGACCCTAAATAAAGCAAGTCTAGATTTCCTCAGGTTCTGAATCTCTGGTATCCCTGGGTCTCCTTTTCAATATAAATGGGCTTGTTTGTTACTATCAAAATTATATCTATTCAGAGACTAAGCATTAGTCTAAAGTACACCTGTCAATAGCAGGTATGGGATCCAAAAGATGCAGTGACATACTGAAACCTAGGATCCATGTTTACAATAAGCTCAGATATTTAAACCAAATTTGACCCCACATCATAGTTTTCTGTTGAATCAATGATTTGATCCTTA